AACAATGATGATTGGATAAAAGTGGCCGTTAGCTAGCAATACATGCCTGTTCCTAGACGATCCATAAAGTAATTATACATTGACCCTTTCATTCATGCAAACGTAGCTGTGTTACACAACACGACCCTCTGCATCTTTTGCTCTGCCAGGGTCCAGCTACTTGACAATGAACAAAGACCACTCTTCTTATAGCATCACACTTACAAACATAAAGATGCCTGTATCTCCGAACTTCACAATGAAACGTGGGGTCTTTGATAGAGCAATCTGCTCGGCTTGGCCAACAGCACCTTGTGTGAAAGTTTCGCGTTCAATGTCGCAACTAGCCCAAAAAATATTTTTTTGGTCGTCGTCGTCGAAGGGGTCGACCCCCAGATCCAGTTTGGCTGGTGGCGACATTGCGAAATCTGGGATTGGCCACCTTGATCGTGAAACTTGCACACAGGGCGCTGTTGGCCAAGCCAAGCAGGTTTGTTCTCATAAAGACCTCACGTTTGATTGTAAAGTTTTGAGATACAAGCACTTTTACGTTTCACCTATGCTCGCTGTAAGCGTGATGGAGTTGCTTTTTTGGTGTCGGCTGCATGAACAGAAAGGTGAAGAGCTGCTAAGTGTAATGGCACGTTGTAGTTACACACGAGCGTCCTTGACAGATTGTTGCACAAGTGAAACATGATCATGATTGCCTTGAGGAAGGTAAGTAAATATATAGCATCCAATAGTGAAGGTGTGTCAAGGTTTGTGTATGGCAGTAATGGCTCCATATCGCATTTGGATTCTGTGGAGTGTCGAGCTGCATAAAAAGTGATGCGCACGGACCATGCTTGATGCCTCCACAACCGGGTTAGAAAGTTGCCTGGGGCATGAACAATGAAGTAAAACACATAGTGTATGTGATTGATTGGTAATGTAGAATTCACGTTGCCATAAGTAAAGACCAAACCACTCTTTATTCATGACGCATTCGTTGGATGGGCATTGCTATTTGAGAGTCACTCATACATACATACATAACAAATAAATGCTGGATCAATACCCGTACTGCGCGATGATGATGTATATTAACGTTGCTTATATTCCTGAAGATCTCTATACCTTTACTGGAACTACACTCATCATATCCATAGATGAACAACCCGCTATGGCTTTGGGGCAAGTGGTGTTGTGTGGAAGCTCCCTTAGCCATTAGAGGGAGCATTCGGCCAATGGGAAGGCCTCAATTTGAAGTCCAGTTGCGTCGCGACGAGAGACAAATTGCTGCGGATCACCCTGGCAACCTCCACCTTTTTGCTCTCAACTCAATCGATCGACTCGCATGGCGTGCGTGCTTTTCCTACTATCACGATGTTTTGGCCAAAGTAAGTTGTTTCTATCTTTTCGTTGTGTTGCTTGTAATACTCACATGCCTTGTTTGCAGCGACTTGGGGGACCTAATGGCGTGCATTGGAAACTCTTTGCCCCCTCACCAGCCCGGTTTCCACACAAGGCTTCCATGAATCCCAGCAGATCTTGATACGGAGGTAGCGAGGATGTTGGCCATTCCTCGTAAACTGGCTGCCCACTACGTGTCGGCGTGTTGTATGGGCGTTTGGCCGAGGACGAAATGCAGACCGGTAGCAGTGTCCAGGGTGCACTAATAAAAGACCGCTATCCAAAGATACCAACAAGTGGCTCTTGTTTGGGTAATGCCAAAGGATTCATTGGAAGGAAACTAGGAGGGGAAGATAAGTATTCTTTCACCTATTTGCTCTCGCTCACAAGAAACATGCTACACTTTTCTATCTCAAAGACACAAGCATGGTTTCTTCCAAACGAGGTTTTGGCGCGTCAAGTCCCGGCACCTTAAAGTGGCATGTACAAGCGGCCTCGTCGACCTGGAATTGGTGCCTACAGGTAGAGGTTGGGGATGGTTGAGTAGCGACCTTCTCGTTGGTCATCCCTGTGAGTACTTTAGCCTTGGCTTTAGGAAACCAACAGCTACTTGTTTATTCTAGTATTGTAATCAATAAACCATGTTCTTGGATTAAACATCTATTCTGGTCGTTGCATGTTTGATAACGCACTATCAAGTAGCATTTGATTGATCTTGTATGTAATTGAAAATGATAACCCATGAGTCAAGGGATGTTGTCATCGTGTGCTCATCTTACCTATCAATGATTGCTGTATGTGTAACCAATTCTCTACCTTTATCCTGCAACTAAGACACAATGCTGTTAAAATCATGCTAAGTGGAACAGCTGCCCATGTCAATCATTAAGTTACTGTAGCAGTCTTTGCGAGATGCGTCATCATTGCGGTTGATCCAGATGAAAAATAGAGTGCTTATCCTTATTACAAGACCGATCACAGAGCCACTTTTATTATCCCATCATCTAAGCTGTAATGCACAAGCAACAATAAGAAGGGAATAAGCTATATAAATAATTGCAAGTACCCGAAGAACGATGCTTCCATCATAGTCGCCGTATTGATGACTACCATTCAAGGCAACAGAAAAATGGGATATGAGGGTCCATCAAGCAACATCACCTTGCCATGAGAAAGGTAAACCACGTTTGTCAGTGTTGTTGTGAATCTTGTTATAGGTGGCATCATCGTCTCTATAAAAAAGAAAGTAACTCTGCAGGAATCACATAGCCAAATCACCATCGATGCCACCACCTTCATATTATCCAGGGGCCTTCGTTTTTCTCATTCATCCTCTCCAACAAAGAACGGATAACCTTACCATCTTCCCAATGCTCAAAGAGTAACCACCGACATCAATCACGAGATGAGCGTCAAGCGATCAAAAGGTACAGGCTGGGAGTCGAACCCAAGGAGATGATGATGCCCAAAGTTGCAATGCCTGACCAAGAAGCTATTCAACCACATACACTATAAACATCTTTTCATTGTTCTTGTTCCCTGTATGTACTTGCCTTTTTCATATAGACAAAGACCTTCGTTGTTGGTTACTGGAAACCGAAGTGTGGTGTAGTCGAGTAGATTCAAAAGCCAAATGAGCCAACGTCACGTCAATGCAACAAGTCTTTTGCTTCATTGGAACTTTGAATGTACCTGTTGCACCAAGCTTGGAGCGGCATAACAACGAACACGAAGAGCGACGATATCACCATGGCTACAACCACCCACTGCACTATCTATCTATACATGTTCAGCGCCATAGTAATACCCCACGTCCAATGAGAGCATTACCTTGATGGGATGCGGTGAATGGAATAAAAAGGGAGGGAGGAAAAGAAGCGTTTGTCCAAAAGTCCTTGTTCTGTGGGCACACAAATTAAAATCCCACATTGGGCGCAAGTTAAATATTCCCACTGGCATTAGACTGTGCTCAACCACTCAACCACTCAACCACACCATGATCATCATGACAGGTAACGCTACATGTAACTAGACGTATAGCAGCAAAAGGTGTCATTTTACGTATGATGTTGCAATGACGATCATTGTCTACCAGTTCTTTCTATAGTATCCTCGACATCCTTGCCAAATAGCAGAGTTCAACCTACATCTACCAATTATAACCCCTCCATCTCAAGAGCATCAATAATAAGATCACTTGTACTATCTAAAGATTGCACAATAAAGGCGTCATCGTCATCATTGTCGTTCATAAAGTGAAGAATTTAGTAGTGGATGGCGGGTAAGATATGAAGGAAGAAGGACACTTAACGATGGATGATATCAGCTCTAGTAGTCAACAAGAGCCGCCCCTGAATGCTTTGATGTAGTGCATACTACATGTGATTATAATTAGCAAGAGCCTCAAGAGGTTGCTATCAGATGATTGGAAGGTATGTAGTAATTTTTGATGTAGCAAGAGATTGTAATACCACCACCATCCTTTGAGTATCTTTTGCAACAACAGGCCCACCAGCGAGCAGTATCTAATAAAGAGCAACACCCGCGTCGGGAATTAAACGATGGCTGACGTACGTGTCCAATTCGTCATGCCAATGAGCGCGTTTCTACCCAAAAGTGCCTTGACTCTTTTTAAACCAGTTCTCCACCCAACTATCCAATAACCATGTCATTGGAAGCGTCTATGATTGTGTATGTTGAAAGGACAACCTTGAGATTTATTGCTTATTCTCTTTTCTATCTAGAATCGATAACTCGGAGTGGATGCGGAATGGCGACTATACTCCCACTCGACTAGTAGCTCAAAACGAAGCTGTCAATCTTATCTTTTCCTCAAAAACACAAGCCAATCGGGAAAACACAGTCGGTCTCATGACGATGGCTGGCAAGAGCCCTGAAGTGCTGGTGACATTGACATCGGATGTGGGCAAGATCCTTACAGCGTTGCACGGCGTCAAGATCAGTAACAAGGCCGACTTTATGACGGGAATACAAATTGCACAGGTAAGTAAAGGGAGACGTTACGTTATGATGATGAATGATGATGATGCTGATACATGCGATGGATAGCTTGCCTTAAAACACAGACAAAACCGAAACCAGCGTCAAAGGATCATTGTATTTGTCGGCAGTCCTGTTGAAACCGAAGAACGAACATTGGTACGGCTTGCAAAGAAGATGAAAAAGAACAACGTTGCCGTCGACATTATCAACTTTGGAGAAGAAGCACAAAATACAGCCAAATTGGAAGCATTCATCAACAATGTGAACAATGGCGATAACAGGTACGTCCGTGGTGGTGTACCTTTGTGAGAATGAAAAAGCAAGCGTGCTAATCCAAAGTGGTGTAATCTAGTCATCTTGTAAGCATTCCACCAGGACCACATATTTTGAGCGATATGCTTCTTTCCACAAGTATCTTATCCGGCGAGGAAGGTGCTGCTGCTGCTAACTTTGGCAGTGGTGGTGGCGGTGGTGGCGACTTTGAGTTTGGTGTGGACCCCAACTTGGATCCAGAATTGGCATTGGTATGTTTTCTATCCTGTGGGTAGGAGGTGGGGGATCAAGACGTTTTTGTATTGATGTCATCATTGTTAGGCATTGCGTATTTCTTTGGAAGAAGAAAAGGCTCGTCAAGAAGCTGAAGCCGCAAAGCAAGGTGGCAGTGGCGACGACAAGGCACAAGGTGAATCATCATCTTCAGGAGGTGACAAGATGGCAGTGGATTCCAAACCTACGACGAGCCAAGGAGAACCAGCAGCAGCACATGATACCGAAGATGCTGAATTACAAGCAGCTTTGGCTATGTCAATGCAAGATAAGCAAGGCAGTGGTGCACAGGTAAATGTGTTCATTGGAAATACGACGCATCATTTATTGACGAGTGAGGATCAAATAGGACGAGGATGTGCATATGGAAGACTTGAGTGAACAAGACCAATTACAGCGTGCTTTGGAAATGTCCATGAACAATGAAGGCGGTGGTGATGCGGATGAGATGATGGCAGTCTTGAACTCGCTACCTGGTGTTGATGCAAAGGATGAGCGTATCCAAAAGGCACTTGAAGGACTACAAGACAAGAAGGATAAGGATTCTAAAAAGGATGAAGACAAGGATAATAAATAAATAGCACATCAATAAAAGCCCTCCGTATTGGATGAAAACATTGCATATCATATTTATTTCATGTGATGCTTAATCTTTCTTGGTTGATGTGATATCGGATACGGCTTCGCCAACCTTTTGACGTAGTTGTTCGGCATGCTTGTCAATGTCGCTTTGTGCATTCAAAAGATAGGGGCGTAAGAAACGTCCATATAAAACTTCGGCGCCCTAGATGATGGGTTGGTTTAGTATACATGAGCCCTTTAAACATCTCCCTCCTTTTTCATGACTTACCCGGAATTGAGGCAGCGCAAGCCAAAGAACAAAAAGAGTCTTGATGAGATAGAACATGGGGAAATAGTATAAAATGATACCAGCAAAGAACTCAACAAGCTGCACAAAGCCAATAACCGTCCAATAAACCAGCCATTGCTTATCATCAGCAGAAGAGGAGCTTTCAATGGCCTTGAACGACGCGTAAGCTAGAAAAGAAAAAAAAAGATGGTATCCTTAGCAACTGTTGCTACGTATCCTATTTTGACGCGTGTATTAAAGTACCTGGATACGCCCAAGAGATGAGGCTCGTCAAAAACTTGCCAGCGAGATTGAAGAAGATCATGACAAAGATGACTGCACCACCACCGAGAACCACATAGCTCTTGGGGACACCGGTTCTGCGTTCGAGCTCATTGCAATACTTGTACTGGCTAAGTTCGCTGTCGAGTTTGGCAAGGCCTTCACGGACTTTGGCTTGTACACCGTCCACGCTGTAAAGGTTGTCGTTGCTAGAAGTGGGTGTCGTCATGGTTGTTGTTTGTTGTTAGAGAGAGAGAGAAAGAGAGAAAAAGGAGAAAGGGAAGCGCGTATGGATGGATTAAAATAGGAAAGCTCTTTATCACAACTCGCATATCAACTTTATACGCATCCACCCACACACACACACACTTGTATATCACCCATCCTAGCTTGATTTAGCTTGCAAGGAGTAGTGGTAGCCAATTTGAGGAGTACATTTGTTTCCCCTCGTTACCGTGCTTCACAATGATGGATGGTTCATTGTCACTTGTATGACTCTTTTTTCTTCTATGCATGAAAAACTCAGTTGTGTCCCCCTCATGCATAAACTTTGTTACGCGTCCAGACCACATAAAATGTTTCATATTCGTTCAGTGATTAGAGATGTTTATATCAATGACTATCGCAAGAATAATGAAGGTTGGGGTATATGTAGAGTGGGATTGCATGGCTATATACAAAGAAAACATGTGCGTGCTAGTATTCTTGAGATAAAGGGAACTTGTGCTTTGGTGTGGAGTAAATATTTCGATGAGGGGAATTCTCTGGTAAATCTTCTTGTTGCGCGTAATCGTAAAGAATGCCTTGAGATCCATTCTTGTTGTTTGTTTTTGCTTCAACGACCTGCTGATGCTGCAGTACCTGAGAAATGGTGGGTCGCTTTTGCCAATCCGCTGTGAGGAGCCACCGTATAAATGCTTGTATATCATTGGATGTCCTTGACAGGTCTTGGGACCAGCATGAAAAATCGCCTAGTCGTGATTGCTCCCAAAGTTCACCTGTATCCGGTAGCTCAATTCGGGTCGATAACTCAAGCATAATTAACCCAAGACTATGAGACACATAAAGACAATCAGCAATGCATTTTTGACTACAATGAGACATCATTTCTTTACCTAAAGATATCAGCTGGTTTATGGAAGATGTCACGTAGCAGCTCTGGTGCCATATATCGACGATCGCCTTCTCCTTTAACCCATCGTGAATCCTAAATCGCGCCATGAGTATAAGGGAAACCATCACCAATCTCAATTACTTACCACAGGTTCTCGAACCGATAAGCCAAAATCACCAATTTTTATCCTTCCCATATCATCAATCAAAATGTTGGATGGTTTCAAGTCAAGATGAATGATATCAGCGTCATGGATCGCTTTTAACCCCTATTGTTCGTGTGAGTGAGTGATAAGATACATACACAAGCTCACTTTTGCTTACCTCTGCAACCTCGCCAATGATGGCCCATGCCATTGGTTCGGGCACTTGATCACTTGTATTGATAAATTGATGTAAACTAAATATAGCCCGTTAGTATTCATCGTCGAGAAAACGTGCGGCGATCTTACCTTCCACGACGACATAGTTCCATTTCCATGAATAAAAACCCGTTTTCTTCCCATGCGCTCAAGAGTTCTACGCAATGTCGATTTCCTTTGACAGCATTCATGTGATTGGCTTCGATAATTTGTTGCCATCGATCGTCGTAGCCAGCAAAAGGGTGCTTGGTTCTCTTGATAGCCAAAAGTGTGTTTGAATCGCGTCGACGAGCCTTGTAAACATCAGCGAATTCACCTGAACCAAGACGATCCATGAGCACAAAATTGGTGTCTAAATAGCTCTCTTTGCACATTGGATGTTCTTTCTCGTCAGGCATCTCCTCATCCATGTCGCATGATTTAGGTCCATTCGTTTCAAAATAGTGATTGGTAAGAAAGCGTGGTTTGGATGATAAATAACCGGGTCGAATCTTTTGCCAATTGCGTAAACGTTTGATAAGTTGAGGTGATGGAATACGTTCTGTAGCGATGCTATCTTCTACATGGCTGCTGGAGAAAAAGTCGTCAATGTCGTCGTCGTAGTGTTGCGGACCACATGAATGCGCAGGTTCCTGTAACCAGCTGCTTCCTTCATCCAAGCCAATATCCTCGTCTTCCTCATCTCCAAGAATCGCTTCATAAAGATCGCGTCGTGATTCTTCATATGCAATGTCATCAACGTCGTCGTCATCTTCTGGGTGATTAATTTCACTGCTTTGTAGCTCATTGAATAATGATCGTCGCGCTGATACAAACGAGGCAAGATCGAGTTCATCATCATCATCATCGTCGTTTTCATCATTGTCATCATCTATGAAGCTTGCTGCATTGGGGTATGTTGCTCCATCACAAGGCCATCCGAGTTTGTTGTCTATTGGACCACCATCATCATCATTGTCCTTATTGTTCTCCTGCGTTTGCTGTGGCGTATTGTCTCGAGGTACTTGAGTGTCGACATCGGATTGATCAAACAAATTCGACGTCTCTGTCAGTACGGATCGAAAGCTATCGTTGGACGTCAACGTTTGTTGTAGCAGTGTTGGTGGATCGAGATTCCGAATCTTTTTTGCAGGAGGTGTGTCAAGTGCATTTCCTTCTTGGCTGTCAACATAGTCATCAGAGGCCGCTCTCTTTTGCCCGGTAGGTATTGGTGACACGGACAATTCGCGACGTAATGGCGAGGAAACACTAGTGCTGACTGACTGCATTCCACTCGATGTGACAATACGCCTGGTCTTGACGAGCAAGGAAGAAAAAAGGGGAAGAAAGAGATATGCGACGCTTACTGTTGAACCTCCACCCTCCCTCCCTTATGCTATCGGATAAACGTTTACACCCCGATACCACCACAAGCATATGTACTCATTCATGAAAGGCATATTAAAGCAGCAGATGATGGATAATATGATAGCCGTAACACTGGCTCTTATAGAATACGGCATTTCTTATTCCCTCAAAATGCTTGATTCTATGTATTTTACAACCGTGGATGAGGATGGTGGCTCAACTCACGAATACTTGAAACGACAATGATAGCATTAGGATGATTCCAATATTCAGGATCTGATACAAGGGTCGTTTATTTTCATTTTCATGGCAATGGTAATAGTTTAATTAAGTATCCAAGTGCATTGAAAGTGATGTGTGAAGGAGAGCGGAGTGAGGGTGGTGGTGGAGGTGGTGTAAATAGCGACCAGCATCAATTTTTCTTTACGACAGCACTTTGACACTCTTCATCGATCCGCCAGATCTATCGACTCAATGTCCTCGTCGACTGACAGCAATGCGACCAATGGACAACAAGTTCCAGGCTTATCTGTCACCTCCTTGGTGTCAGCCATGAATTCTGGATCCAGTGTTGAAAAGCTCAAGGCCAGGATCATTTCGACTGATAAGCTAATGCAGCTATTGAACAAAAAGGTCAAAGGTAAGAAGCGTTTTCTTTGTATTCCCTTCAAAGATAACTAACCAAGGCACAAATAGAATGTGAGACGCTTCAACAACAAGTCAACACCTTGAAAGAGGATTTAGAGCGTGAAAAGAAGCTGCGGTATGTGTTTACTCTTGCTTTGTATTACCAAGAAGCTTATAAGGATTTCATTATAGAGAGGAGAAAGAAGACAAGTTCAATGAGGAACGACTTGAGATGCAGATCGATAATGACATGCTCAAAGCAGACTTGGAAGAGAAGGATGAAGAGATTGCACAACTACGAGCACGTGTTGCTACCGCCGCAGTAACAGCTCCACCATCACCATCATCTATTCCAGCACCAGCATCATCATCATCATCATCATCATTTGAACCTTCACGATCAACACCAATTGTACAAGATAACTCACTAGTATTCCAAGAGATTGAAAACCTCAAGAAAGGAATGGTAAAGTACAATGAATGGAATGGGCTTGTTTACAATGACTTCTAACCTGTCACATTTTTTATGCAGCTTGCCCTCCAAACTCAGTTCTTTGAACATATCAAACAATGCACCCACCCACCAGTTACACAATCCAACCATCAATCCATATCCAATTCTATACCATCAACTATTCCACCATCAACAGCACCTCCACCACAACCAGACATGATGATCACTGATGCCATGGACATGTCTCAAGACAAAGCAACCTCACCTGCTGCAGCCTCAAAATCAAGAACCAGCAAACCATCTTCTGGTCTGAAGCCATCTTCGCTACGTTTGCGAGCATCAACTATTACTACTACGGCAAAGACGAGGGAGAATCCACCTGTTTCTCAGCAGCAGCAGCAGCAGCAGCAGCAGCAGCATGAATCAATTCAATCATCAGCTATAACGAATCCTCGAAAGGATACGAATGATTCAGGCTTGAAGCCATCTTCGCTACGTCCTCGAGCATCGGTTGCTCCTATAACGACAAGAAGAAAAGATAATCCACCTGCTTCTCAGCAACAACATGATCCGAGTCAATCGCCAGTTACAACAAATCCGCAAAAGGAAGCGAATGAGGCGGGTGAACAACGTTTGAACGGCCTCATTGTACCAAAACCCAATATGAATCGACCGAACAATGTACGCGAGCATGTGGTTTATGAACGAGAAATCCGAAAGGGAGCAAAGATCTTGAGTAAAAAGGGGCTGGCAGCGACGTCTTCTTCCTCTTCTTCGTCGACCAAAAAGAATGTGCAATTGGCCTCTCCCTCAAAGCGGAAAACGCCTGAGAGTGATCTTGAACCAGATCCAGTACGCAGACCCCTACGCGTCATTGAACCAGAACAAAGACATCCTTCTTCACAACCCAATTCAACTACAACCCCTTCATCATCATCAGCATCCACATCTTCAACTCCACCACCACCACCACCACCATCATCATCAGCCGTTGCAAAGCCTTCCACTGCATCAGTGAAACCATCACCAAAGATTGCTCAAAATTCAGGTATGTTACGTGTGATGTTGGGATACCATCATGGATACTTATTGAGCCTATTTCATAGATATCATTGATAAGATTGTGACGGAGGAGCCTGAATGGGTGATGATCCAACTTGGAGACATACAAAAGAATCACTATCCTGTTCACACCAAGGCTGGCATGAAAACCTTCTTTGTTGAAATGGAGACGTTTTACGAGAAATTGCAGTCTTTCAGCGCTGTCAACTTGAAGAATGCCAAAGTGGTCCCTTATGGTCCATCCGGCGGTGTCACCATGACATGTCCCACAGTGATCCATCACAAGGAACAAAAGATGGCCTGGTTTATCTTTGTATTTGGCAAAAAGAATGCATCTGTAAGTATTCTATGGGGTCAAGTGATCATTTTTTGATTCTAATCCATCTTTTTTTCTTAGATCAACTTTATTCCAAAGTGTATCAAATGGGCATCCAGCCTAGCAGCACAAGCCGTCAAGGCCAAGAAACTAAGTCAAGCATGGTAATGTCACGTTTTCTTTCATCATGAGATGTTTAGCTAATGTCTTTTTACGATATAGTCGATACGCTCGTCTCATCACTCTTCTTTGCAAGAATACCGATCGCATGGAACCCGTTCAAGTGTTTTGCTATAATCTACTTCGATCGATCCCTTGGCAGGAGCCGACGACTCAATGCTATCCCTGGATCATTCTTAATGTGGCCGTTATCTGGAGGGAAGCGTTAGAATTCTCAGCAGGTCAATCTCAAGGTGGTAAGTAAACATGTCATCCACACACACACACACACAATGTAGAGAGAGAGAGAGATGAGCATGGATCTAATCAACAACTTAGGTGCTGATCTTATCATGCGTTCTATGCAAACTGCAACCATGGAGCTATGCAAGCGGAATCCAAAATGGCTTATCGAGGTGTACAATCCGCTTGTCAATGTGTGTGATTGGCCATTCCCTGCTGATAGTCTTTCGGGTATGGGCCGTCTCAATGAACTTGTGGCTCTTATTTCACAACCAGAAATCCGGCAGCTGGCAACTGTCAATCAAAGTAGGTACAATTTCAAACATCATGGGACCTATGACTAACATAGGCATGAATAGGAATGTATGACACCCTTCTTTTCAACGTTCAAAAGGCATTCGAGTTGTCCATGTGCTCTCAACCATTCAAGGTACAACGTCAATTTGTTCAAGATGTCTTATGGCCCAAGGTGATACAAGAAGATGTGGTCGGTAATGTGATTAATTTGATCGGTAAGTTAGCCAACATGCTCAACGAGAATTTGCTGGTTCACTCAACGCATTATGTGCATTGATAGCTTCAACGGCGGCCTTTGAGATCGATGAGAAGCCCACCAAGGGAAGAAGAAGAGGCAGTATTACATCAGGAGAAGTGAAAGAAATGTTGAAAATGCGAGAGGAAACCATTGCACGATTCAGAACATTCCTCATGGCCAAGAGCTTTACAGATTGTAAGGATTCAGGGTGTACCCAAAAGATAGAAGAAATGTATTCACTCTTGCTTTTTTCATGTAGATGATATCAAGCTCCAAACAGCAGCAGCAAAGGGGTTGCTTCTATTATCCTGCAACGACAAGGGTGATCGAGCTCGTGTTGTCGATTGGTCGAACAATGTTAAAGCCCATTTCTTGAAGCAAGCATCCTAAGTTGGATCGATCAGCTCTTTCCCCCATTTGTACTTTCTTTGCGTAAAGCATCCCATTGTTTGTCCTCCATATACCAACAAACAGCATTTGTATATAATAAATTCCCATCATTGGCGATGAACAATATGAGAATTGATATGGAATGTTGTCATCTGCTCTCGTCCAGTCGAAGTAAAAGGCCGCCAACATGGTAGTACACTGCCAGGACAGCTGGTATTTCATAACGCTTCTTTCAGAGAAACAAAAGTGCTATGTTATTCACCGCCATTATCATCATACTCAACATCCGCCAAAGGTGCAAGTGATGTTGATCGTTCAAGGAGCCAACATGTATCGTAGTTTAAGGAGTACCAACTGTTGTGGCACCCATATTCACATACAACTGCATACGAGGAGTGCAAGTAAGGGGTACATAAGAATACATGATGTTGAGTCGTCATACACACATACACACACCTGGCATTAGAAAAAGATTTATAAACATTGGGGCATTGTCTTAAACATTGAAGCGTCGTCTTCAGGCTAAAAGCCAAAGCCAAAAGGGAATGATGAGCCCTCTTGAGATAATGTTCAACCGTGATCATTGCCAAAGAATCGGACAAGCATTTAACGTTTATTCCAAATATAGCTCCTGCTGCATGAAAACTTTGCTAACTCTGAAAGTATAGGTTGCCGAGCCCGACTGGATGCTCTTTTGGACAAGGCATGTAAAGAAAAACGATCAAAGGAGGAAAATTTAGCCTCACTTTACGCCCGCAGATCTCAATCAATTATAAAAGAAGGCGGCAACAGGCTGCATGGGTTTTCTCCAGTCACCATGAAGTTCATTTCGCTCCTCTCTGCTGTTTTGGTCTTTGTTCTCTCTGCTGCTAATGCAGAAAAGGAAGTAGCCACTCTCGAATTCTTGCCAGCTCCTCGCATATTCCCGCCACTGTATAGAATTCGTGCCGACTTTAGCAAGAGCCGCACTAGCCACGAGATTACCTTGATAACCAAGGAACGAAATTGGCTTGCCTCTTTCCCCGAGAGATCAAGCGGCGAGGTTGAATACGACCAGCTTCCAAGTGGTCAATATAGCGCGATTATCAACGACAATGATGCGAAGGGTGGTGACAAGACTTTCAGGATCGATCTTACCAGACCCGGAGCAGAGTTCCACTATGAAGGAACAAGCGTAGCCGATGAAGCTGTCGAAGGTCTGCAAGCTGATGCACACGTCCGAGCCATGAGCGCGGGTGATTATTAAACGCCCAATCCATTCAATCGAAATGCATGCTTTTTCAAAGAGTACATGACTACTTGTGTTGCTACTTACGTTGCGACTTGTGTTGTAAACCACGATAATAAATTTCTCTTTGTAATTAACAAACATCGGTCGTTTTACAGTTGCATTGCACGGAATGGTTGTTAGCTCAAAAGAAAAAAAGGCAAAGATGTTATGTACACGCATCATGAACATGCGAATAACTCATGTCCTTGGTAATAATATCATAGGCTGATCAAGAAACGTATAAGGCCAATACTTGAAATGAGTTACAAGTGCTGAAGCCGGTTAGCTACAACAGCCAAGAATTTATTACACCTTTCGCTGAGACACAACAATCAATGGCTATGTATGTGTAGATGATCACTTTGCGCATAACGAAAACAATCGCCATTTACTCATTGCAAGGGTATCTATCTTGGTTACGATAGAAGCGAGAGGACCTGTAACGGAACTCATCATCCTCGAGCTCGTGGACATATCCATCAGCTGGGAGATCCTCGATGTCTTCATCGGCTACGCTTGTTCCTTCATAGTGGAACTCTGCTCCGGGTCTAACAAGATCGATCCTGAAAGTCTTGTCACCGGTTTTCGCATCATTGTCGTTGATAATCGCACGATATTGACCCTTTGGAAGCTCGTCGTATTCAACCACGCCGCGTGTTTTCTGGGGATAAGAGGCAAGCCAGTTTGGTTCCTTGGTTCTCAAGATAATCTCGTGGCTAGTGCGGCTCAAGAGAAAGTTGGCATGAATTCTATACTCTGGCGGGAATACGCGAGGAGCTGGGAAGAATTGAAGAATGGCTGGTTCCTTCTCCGCATAAGCAGCAGAGAGCGCAAAGACCAAAACAATAGAGAGGAGAGAGATGAACTTCATGATGACTAGAGAAAATCCATGATGCTTGTCGTCGCCATCTTTTATAGCGTCGTTGGTTGTTTGATTGCACGAGCTCGGGTTCTTCCCCTCAAAAGTGCAAGTTGTGATCTTTTGGGCGTAACTGTTTTTTGTTACACTTCCCTTCATTTCGCTGTTTCATCCTTTATCCTGGTCTAGAGAGCATTCACTTGCAGCTGGCACCCTTCTTTACTTCATGGTGTCACCAAGTGGTGTCACCACGATCACTTTCATGCGGCGTATGCCGTTTTTGGATTTGAAACGTTAAATGGCTGTATAGTGGCCTTGACCACGCCGTGAAGGCCACTGCCTTTTTGCTATGAAAAAGAAAACTATGGTAGAGGGATAATGCAGCATAAAGCTGGCTACATCGTATTAATTAGCCAGTGATTGTTGTGAGATAATAAGATGAAGGGGACCGTGTATTAAAGAGCTTTGCTTGAAATACTATCTTATCTTAACACGCGTCGCATGATTTCGGTGAAAGCGAATCCCTTCAGGTGACTAGGCCAAAGCTGATGAGAATCTTCATTAGGAGGGCTGATCGCGACATTCCGTGGGAAATGGGAAAATTTGACAGCGTGTTGGCACCTAGCTTCTTGATAAAAGACGCATAAACAACAACTTGGCACACATGCCTAAATAAGGTGGGTCACCGTGCTTATGTATCTTTGTAACTTTCCTTGTGCAAAACAAAGCCGAATAGGTCTACGTTTTGTCTCCTTGGCAACCAAACTCATATAGTGAACAAATGCAGACCATGATGGAGATAACGGGTGTCTTTGAAGATGCTGATGAAAAAAGTTATCATAGTACAGAGATTGGGTTTGGATGAGCGTCTCTATGATAATGCAAGGCGTTTCTTTTTCTTCCGGACGTGTTGCCTAAGATTGAAAGGCCAGGGATTTAGATAAGGTTTGTTTTAGAAGCATCATCTTATCGATTGAATCTCCATCGGATTATCGCATTTGCCATCAACTCATTATTTCTCGGTCAACCTATCTTTATTTGTATCAGATGAGGGATATAATTCTTACAAGACCGATAACGGAACCACTTTTTTTATTAGATCATCTAAGCTATAATCGACAAGCAACAAGTTAGCTAAGTGGAAAATAAACACTGCTTCCAGCCGTGGTCATGGGAACCATCCAAAACACAAAGAGAGAGGGATCTTGCATGCTTCCTTCTAGATGTCAACGCAATAAGAGGAATTCATCAACCAGGAGCATCATACCAAGAGAAAGGTAAAGCTAACGTGCTTGTCCGTGTCATTGCCGTTGCTACATAATGTAGCCATGGATACCATCATAAAGATTGTCGTGAATATGGTCATTGTCGTCCCTATAGATAAAAAACAACCATGCAGAATCACATGCCCAAATCACCAACAATCCATGGTACGAAGGACATCACTTACTCAGTGCTCAGGCTCATAGTTGTTCTCATCCATCCTCTGCAAAGGGAAATGATCCTCCATCTTTCCAAGTCAATGGCAACTAGTAGGTAGAAGTTGGGTCGACGCCAAAAAGATAATGATGTCCAAAGTTGCGTTGTCTGATAAAGGATCTATTCAATTCGATATTAGCACGCATGCACAATGACCCGTTTTCCACTTGTTATTGCACTTGCCTTTTTCATATGGATAAAGACCTTTGTCGTTGGTTACTGGAATCAAAGCCATGGAGTAGGGATATCAAATCGAAACGAAAAGTCAAATGAGCCAACGGCTTTGCGATCGAATCTTGCTGTCCATACCTAAGCTAAATATAAAATCAATGGAACATGTTCTGCAACATTGGCCTTTGAATGTACCTGCTGCACCAAGCGTAGAGCGGCTAATAACAGCGACAAACAAGTTGACAAGGCTCATCCGACACCACCATGACCGCCTGGATTTGCTTTATCACGTAATAGATGGCTTCAAAGGAGTGTTGGTATCATTCAAACGCCATATCCACCACCTGATTGGAACTACCTTTCAAGCCGAAGCTGTTGTTCATCCATATGATTCATCCTATCGAAAGTGTGTTCAGGTGAGGTCAATCGATCTCTTTGCAAAGCATGCATGTTGCTGATTCCCGTTGCATTTCACATACCTTGATAGAAAGAATAAACATACGATTGGTATCACCTTCAGCTTGATCATAACAGGAAGAGAAGCTTGCGCGAGCTGTTTTGTTGACCAAGGGACACTCTTTCGGTGCAATACAACGCTGAATCATGTTGCTGGCAGCGTGTTCTTTGCTGTAAAGTGTGTAGTTATGTCATTGTCGAACGATGCCAAGACGCCTTGTGTAGTGCCGTAATGGTGAATTGCATGAAACAAAGAAAGTTGGTGGATGTGAATAAAGTGCTACTGGATATACACGCGTCGTTACTACCTTTGATCAACCTCCTCCCATTGATGCCGTTGTATATGATGATGATGGGCGGTCGTTCCTCTTGCTAGTTTACGTCTGATGAATCGTTCCTCATCCTCTGCTTGCATATACCAAAGCACAAGCTTCCACTGACATGATGATTGCTCGTTGTCGCTTACATCCACAGGGCGTTGGTAGCTGTGTACAGATCAAACTGCACGCTATAGTTCTCCTTTCGATAAAGTCGAAATCAACCACTGCATTGCTCCCCTTCGATGTACCAATTGACGTGAATAAAGGCATTGGTGTTTGCTGCTAATGGGTTCCTCCAATGTCGTGTTGTCGTTTATCTTTCGATGCATTCAGTAAGCAGAGTTGTTGTTGTGAGTGATAAAGGACTTGGCTTGGTTACGATGGGTTGGGTCATTGGAGTCAAAAGTAAAAGAGGTGGGAAAGATAGAGCGCTGTTGCATGATTCTCTTTAAACAACGCGAGCTACCCCAATTCAGCTGCATGAAGTAACCCAGCAACATCCACTCGCGTCTCTTCGCCACCTCCCATTTCAATATTTACATCATCCCATTACTGCTCCTTCTGCTTAAAGATATGTATCTTAGTACCTGGGGCTATCAATTGGAATCTATTGACATCAATATCAGGCTTAATGCTCCTCATTCTTACACACAAGTAATCTCGCATTCATCCTGAATGACATGCAACAAGTTTTCCTTTCCTTTCACTACCCTTCAAATATTGACAGCGCCCACAAGGTTTCGTACTTTATACAAAGCACCTCATTGTTTGCCCTTCACATACCAACACCATTTGTATACGATAAACATTGTTCACTGCATCCATCATTGACGAGGAGTATCTGCATCTTGTCATCTACTCTCGTCCAATTAACGCGAAGGGCCACAACATGATAGTCCACTGCCAGGGCAGCTGATATTTTATGATGCTTCAGGGGTAACAAGGGTGAGATGTTATCATCATTCTCGACATCCGCCAATGGTGCAAGTGATGTCTATCGTTCAAGTAGCCAAGATGTGTCGTGTAGTTTAAGGGGTACAGATGTTGTGACGCTGTCATATTCACACACAATTGCATACGGCTGCATACGAGGAGGTGGAGTACAAGAGGTACAAGAATACATGTTGAGTCATAGGTACATACACACATCAGGCATTAGAAAAAGATTTATAAAAATTGAAGCATCGTCTTAAACATTGAAGCGTCGTCTTCAGAATAAAAGCCATGAATAAAAGAGAAGATGAGTCCTTTTGAGATAACGTTCAACCGCGATGATTGCCAAAGAATCGTACAAGCATTTAACATTAATTCCAAATATAGCTCACGCTGCATGAAAACAACTTGTTGGCACTGAAGAAAGGTTGCCGAAACCGGCTGGATGTTCCTATGGACAAGATCTACTCACACATAGGCATCATGTAAAAAAAATAACCATCAAAGAAAGGAGGGCAAATTTAACCTCACTTTACGTCCGCAGATCACAATTAACTATAAAAGAAGGCGGCGACAGGCTGCATGGATTTTCTCCAATCGCTATGAAGTTCATATCTCTCCTCTCTATTGTCTCGGTCTTTGTTCTCTCTGCTATTAACGCGGAAAAGGAACCAGCCGTTCTCCAATTCTTCCCAGCACCTCGCATATTCCCGCCAGAGTATAGAATTCATGCCAACTTGCTCGTGAGTCGCACTAGCCATGAGATTATTTTGAGAACCAAGGAACCAAATTGGCTTGCCTCTTATCCCGAGAAAACACGCGGCGTGGTTGAATACGATAAGCTTCCGCAGGGTCAATATAGTGCGATTATCAACGACAATGATGCGAAGGGTGGTGACAAGACTTTCAGGATCGAACTTACCAGACCCGAATCAGTGTTCCACTATGAAGGAACAAGCGTAACCGATGAGGCTGTCGAAGGTCTGCAAGCTGATGCATACGTCCGAGCCATCAATGATGATTATTAAAAGGCCGCCACATTCCATTATAACCGAAATGCATGCTCTATAACCGAAATGCATGCTCTTTCAAAGACTACATGACTACTTGTGTGGTTAAGCCACGATAATAAAGTTTTCCTTGTAAAACCAACATTGGTTGTTTTACAGTTGCATGGCATGGATTGACCGTTAGCTCAATGAAAAAAGGCAAAGATATTACACACATGGACATGCTACATAAAAACTCGTGGTGTGCTTGATAATAATATTATAGGATGATCAGGGAACGTGTATAAGATACAATGGTACTAGTGTATGCTAGGTATTTCATTTTTCAAGGAAGAGGATATAGTTGTGGTGTTTCAAAAGTGAACGATTAAAGTATGAAGGCGTAGCCATGACCAATACCGGATAAGAATTACAAGTGCTGAAGCCGATTAGCTACAGCAGCCAAGAGTTTATTACACGTTTTGCTGAGACACAACAAGAGATGACCACTTTGCGCATAACGAAAACAATCGCCTTTTGCAACTCCTAGTAACAGTGGCGGTCTTGGTTACGATAGAAACGAGAGGATCTGTAGTAACGGAAGTCGTCATCCTCGATCTCGCGGGCATATCCATCAGCTGGTAGGTCATCGACAGGTTCATCGGTTACGCTTGTTCCTTCATAGTGGAACTCTGCTCCGGGTCTGGTAAGATCAATCCTGAGAACCTTGTCACCACCTTTCGCATCATTGTCATTGATAATCGCATTGTATCGACCCTTTGGAAGCTCGCTGTAATCAACAACGCCACGTGATCTTTCGGGGTAAGAGGCAAGCCAATTTGGTTCCTTGGTCCTCAAGATAAACTCGTGGCTAGTGCGACTGTTGAGGAAGTCGGCACGAATTCTATACTCTGGCGGGAATATACGAGGAGCTGGCAAGAATTGGAGGACGGCTGGTTCCTTCTCCGCATAAGCAGCAGAGAGAACAGAGACCAAGACAATAGAGAGGAGAGAGATGAACTTCATGATGACTAGAGAAAATGCATGCTGCTTGCCGTAGCCTTCTTTTATAATTGATTTTTTGATCGCACGATCTCGGCTTCTTCCCGTCAAAAGTACTACTTGTGATCTTTTGGGCGTAACTGTTTTTGTTACACTTCCCTTCATTTCGCTGTTTCATCCTTTATCCTGGTCTAGAGGGCATCCAATTGCAGCTGGTACCTTTCTTTACTTTCATGGTGTCACCAAGCGGTGTCACCACGATCACTTTCATGCGGCGTATGCCATTTTTGGATTTGAAACGTTAAATGGTTGTATAGTGGCCTTGACCACGCCGTGAAGGCCACTGCCTTTTCGCTATGAAAAAGAAAACGATGGTACAGGGATAATGTAGCATAAAGCCGGCTACATCGTATTGATTAGCTAATGATCGTTGTAAGATAATAAAAAGAAGGGGGAACGTACATTAACGAGCTTTGCTTGAAATACTATTTTATCTTGACACGCATCGCATGACTTTGGGTGAAATCGAATCCCTTCATGTGACTAGGCCAAAGCATATGGGGATCTGCATTAGGACGGCTTATCGCGACATTCCATGGGAATGGGAAAATTTGACAGCATCTTGGCCCCTAGTACTAGCTCCTTGATAAGAGACGAATAAACAACAACTTAGAACACATGCCTAAATAAGGTAGGATCACCGTGCGTATCTTCGCAACTTTCCTTGTGCAAAACAAAGCCGAATAGGTCTACGTGTTGTCTCCTTGACAACCAAACTCATATAGTGCACAAATGCAGTCCATGATGGAGAGAACGGCTTTCGTCGAAGTTGTTGGTGTAAAATGCTATCATAAAGCTGAGATGGATTTGTTGAGCGTCTATATGATAATGCAAGGCGTCCTTTTTTCTTTGGGCTTCCTGAGATTGAAAGGCCACGGATGTAGCCAAGGGATAAGGTTTGTCTTAGATGCACCATCGTATCGATTGAACCTCCAGGATTATCGCACTGCCATGAACTCATTTTTCTCGGTCAACCTATTCTTTATTGTATCAGAAGGGGACGTATGTCTTACAAGACCGATAACCGAACCACTTTTGTTATTAGATCATCTAAGCTATAATCGACAAGCAACAAGAAAAAAGCAACAAGCTAGCTAAGTGGATAATAAACACTGCTTCTATCCGTCGTCATGGGAACCATCCAAAGCACAAAGAGAACGGGATCTTGCATGCTTACTTTCAGATGTGATATGAGGAATTCATCAACCAGGGGCATCATACCAAGAGAAAGGTAAAGCCAACGTGCTTGTTCGTGTCATTGCCGTTGCTACATAATGTAGCATGGATACCATCATAAAGATTGTCGTGAATATGGTCATTGTCGTCCCTATAAATAAAAAACAACCATGCAGAAGCACATGCCCAAATCACCAACAATCCATGGTACGAAGGACATCACTTACTCAGTGCTCAGGCTCATAGTTGTTCTCATCCATCCTCTCCAAAAGGAAATGATCCTCCATTTTCCCAAGTCAATGGCCATTGGTGGTAGGTGCAGGTTGGGAGTCAACACTAAAGGGATGCGGTCATGATGTCCAAAGTTGCGTTGTCCGATCGCGGATCTATTGAATTCATTATTAGCACACATGCACAATGAACCTTTTTTTCATTTGCTATTGCACTTGCCTTTTCCGTATAGGTAAAGGCCTTTGCTGTTGGGTACTGGAAATCAAAGCCATGGTGTAGTATAGTTGAGCCGAAACAAAACGCCAAACGACCCAACGTCTTGGAACCAAACTTGCCCTCTATACAAGCTAACACGTCAATGGAACATGTTCTGCTGCAACATTGGCCTTTGAATGTACCTGATGATGCACCAAGCGTAGAGCCGCATAACGACGACAAACAGCGATCCTGCGTATCTGACAAGGCACATTCGACATCGTCATGGCCGCTTGAATTTGATAGACGGCTTCAAAGGGATGTTAGCATCACTCAAACACCATATCCACCACCTGATTGGAAATACCTTTCAAGCCGAAGATGTTGTTCATCCACCTAGTTCACCTATTGAAAGCGTGTTCAGGTGAGGTCAATCGAACCCTTTGCAAGCATGCATGTTGCTGATTCCCATTGCATCTCATATACCTTGATAGAAAGAATAAACATACGATTGCTATGACATTCAGCTTGAACATGACAGGAAGAGAAGCTTGCGCGAGCTGTTTTGTTGACCAAGGGATACCCTTTCGATGCAATACAAAGGTAAATCATGTCGCTGGCGGTGTATTCTTTGCTGTAGAGTGTGTAGTTGTGTCATTGTTGGATGATGCCAAGACGCCTTGTGTAGTGCTGTAATAATGAAAATGCATGAAGCAAAGAAAGCTGATGGATGTGAATAAAGAGTTACTGGATATACACACGCCGTTACTACCTTTGATCAACCTCCTCCCATTGACGCCGTTGTATATGATGATGATGGGCCATCGTTACTCCTGCTAGTTTACGTCTGATGAATTGTTCCTCATCCTCTGCTTGTATACACGAAAGCGCAGGTCCCCACTGCCATGATGATTGCTGGTTGTCGATTCCATTCACAAGGCGTTGGTAGCTGTATAACGATCAACCTGGACACCATAGTTCTCCTTATTGATTTAGTTGAAATCAACCCACTGCATTGCTCCCCATCGATGTGTCAATTGACGTGAATAAAGGCGTTGGTGTTTGCTGCTAATGGGTTCCTCCAATGTCAAGTTGTCATTTATCCTTCGATGCATTCAGTAAGCAGAGTTGTTGTTATGAGTGATAAAGAACTCGATTTGGCGACGACGGGTTGGGTCATTGGAGTCAAAAGTAAAAGAGTTCGGAAAGAAAGAGCGCTGTTGCATGATTCTCTTTAAACAACGCGAGCTACCCCCATTCAGCTGCATGAAGTAACCCAGCAACATCCACTCGCGTCTCTTCGCCACCTCCCATTTCAATATTTACATCATCCCATTACTGCTCCTTCTGCTTAAAGATATGTATCTTAGTACCTGGGATTATCAATTGAAACCTATTCACATCAATATCATGCTTAATGCTCCTCATTCTTACACACAAGTAATCTCTCATTCATCCTGAATGACATGCAACAAGTTTTCCTTTCCTTACCTTTCAAGTATTGACAACATCCACAAGGTATTCAATATATACATTGATGGTGAATGCCTACTTTCCATATGTTCATAGACCTCATTCAAATGATCAGCTTGATCTTACGGGAGATCATCCATCATCACTCGCATGATACACGACATCGAGGTAAATAAAGAACGACACCCCCTTCCATGATGATATCCAACGCTTCATCTTTAGTGTTGGCTGTAGCAAGATCCTCATTCTTTATGTTGGCACGCAGCATGGCTTCCATCCAGCTTGAATGAGCAGGGCAGATCAGAGCAAATTTGATTGGCTGCAACTATTTGGAAGCAGTGGGTGTGGTGGTGTGGGGGGTGGGTGGGTGATTTTCAAGTTGTGTTGGGATTGCATCCAAAGCCAGCTCATGCTCCTTCGACGTTCTTTTCCCATTCTTTCGAGATTGAAACATACCATGACCAGCACTAGCCGTCAAGCCGAAATCACTGACAACTTGAATGCTGTGCGCGAGGCCATTAAGCAAGTCAACTGCCCTCAAGAGGTAAATACACACCAACTTGATTACACTCATGGAGGGTCGCAAAAGCCCCATGACTCACACGCGTGGTGGTGCTCGACACGTTCGACTCTTGTTATAGGCACGTTTGGTAGCTGTAAGCAAGTACAAGCCTGCACAAGACCTTCTTTATGCATATGAAGCGGGCCAACGACACTTTGGTGAAAATTATGCAAGTATTTCGAAGTGGTATCCATGGATACATAGGGCTCATCGTGTATCCTATAGGTACAAGAGCTGGTCGAGAAGAGTGGAGAGGTAAGGGATATATAGACTCTTTTATCCTTAGGTAAAAAGGCTAATGTCTTCCATGGATAGCTTCCACGTGATATTCAATGGCATTTCATCGGTCATCTTCAAAGCAACAAGTGCAAGGCTGTGGCAGGTTAGGATCCAGTTACTACTACTACTTTCCATCATCATGCCTTTATTCATCTTTTCATTATAGCTATCCCCAACTTGTATGTTGTCGAGACCGTCGATAGTCAAAAGAAGGCCGATACATTGAATAAGGCTTGCGCTGGATTACGACCTGATCCTCTTCGTGTCTTTGTTCAAGTCAATACCAGTGGAGAAGATGGTAAAAAAAGAGATCATGGGAAAGTAGGCTCAAGACTCACATGATGGTTCTAGTCAAGAGTGGCGTGTCTCCTGCTGATTGCCCCAACGTGTGCAAACATATCGTTGAGAATTGTCCTCAGCTTATCCTTTCTGGTTTGATGACGATTGGCATGTTTGGACGTGATCCTAGCGAAGAGAATCCTGATTTCCAAGTAAGATTATAGGAAGGAATGGATGCTATGACGGGGATTCATTGGGTTTTAATATGTTGTCAGTGTTTGGTGGAATGTAGAAAGCAAGTGAACCAAGTGCTCCCTGACCAATCATTGGAGTTAAGCATGGGTATGTCTGAGGATTATCTTCAAGCCTTGAAGGCGGGATCCACCAATGTCCGAGTGGGACGTACCATTTTTGGCGCTCGACCACCCAAGGAAGAGATGAAGAAGTAATAGAATAGAATACAACATGATACTCGAATAAATCCAGCAAGCGGTGTTGAGAGAGAGAAATGAGAATGAGTCGTACCATAAAAGTAGTACCCATATTATAAGCCACCAGCAACACATAAAATGGCGGCGTGTCCCTCCCAAAGAAAGATTCTTTCCTTGTTCTGCACAAGGCATTTTCCCTGGGTCCCTTTTTTTATTATCTTATTAAACCAATACATTATGACCAAGTACGTTGTTGTTTCTGGTGGTGTTATTTCCGGTATTGGCAAGGGTGTTATTGCCTCGAGCACTGGTATGCTCTTGAAGAGCCTCGGTTTGCGTGTCACCGCGATCAAGATCGATCCCTACCTTAACATTGATGCTGGTCTCATGAGTCCCCTTGATCATGGTATGTGTGTGTTGGGTTGCCACGTGATAGTAGTAGGAACCAACTCCTTTTATGATGAATGTAGGTGAAGTGTTTGTGTTGAACGATGGTGGTGAAGTGGACCTTGATTTGGGCAACTATGAACGGTTCCTGGATGTGCAGCTTAGCCGTATCAACAACATCACTACTGGCAAGATCTACAGTGAAGTGATTGAAAAGGAGCGTCGTGGTGATTACCTTGGCAAGACCGTTCAAGTGGTTCCTCATATCACTGATGCTATTCAAAATTGGGTGGAGCGTGTTGCTGCTATGCCCATTGATGATTCCGGTGAAGCCCCTGATGTCTGCATTATCGAATTGGGTGGCACTGTGGGTGATATTGAGTCTGCTCCTTTTGTTGAAGCCATGCGTCAATTCCAATTCCGTGTCGGCCATGACAACTTTTGTTTGATCCATGTCTCCTTGGTCCCTGTCGTTGGCTCTGTGGGTGAACAAAAGACCAAGCCTACTCAAATGAGTGTCCGTGATCTTCGTGGTGCTGGTTTGACCCCTGATCTTATTGCTTGTCGCTCAAGCAAACCTCTTGATGCCAACATCCGCAGCAAGATCTCCATGTTTTGTCACGTGGCTCCTGATCAAGTCCTTGGTGTTCATGATGTTGCTTCCGTATACCACGTCCCCATGTTGATGCGTGAGAATGGTATCGTTGATTTCTTTACGCGTCGCTTGAACCTTGGTGCTTTGCGTATCTCCAATGAACAACGCCTTGCTGGTGAAGAGTTGTGGACCAAGTGGACATCCTTGGCTGGTAGCCATGAAAATGTGCTTGATACCATTAAGATCGCCATTGTTGGCAAATATACCAACTTGCATGATTCATACATTTCTGTTTACAAGGCCCTGGAACACGCTTGTATGGCATCCAAGCGCAAACTTGAAATCAAGTGGATTGAAGCATCCGATTTGGAACCTGAAGCTCTTACAACCAACGCTGTCAAGTACCATGAGTCGTGGCAAAACTTGTGCTGTGTCGATGGTATCCTTGTCCCTGGTGGTTTTGGTGGTCGTGGTGTTGAAGGCATGATCCTTGCTGCCAAGTGGGCACGTGAACACAAGAAGCCTTACCTTGGTATTTGCCTTGGCATGCAAATTGCTGTCATTGAATTTGCTCGTAACGTATGCAACATGGCTGATGCCAACTCGGCTGAATTGGATCCTGAAACCAAGACTCCCGTCATTGTATACATGCCCGAGATCTCAAAGACCCATCTTGGTGCTTCGATGAGACTTGGCAAGAAACCTACGATTTTCGAACCCAACACTGAGTCTTCTATTGTCCGTAAGCTTTATGGCGGTAAGCCATCGGTTGATGAACGTTATCGTCACCGCTATGAAGTCAATCCTGAGCATATTTCCACTATTGAATCTGCTGGTTTCAAGTTTATTGGTCGTGACGAATCCGGTGAACGCATGCAAATCGCTGAGATGGATGACCATCCTTTCTTTGTTGGCTGCCAATATCACCCTGAATATCTCACCCGCCCTCTTAAGGCCCATCCTTTGTTCAAGGGCTTGATTCTTGCTGCCTCTGGTCAGTTGGAATCCTTGTAAATACTCTTTCTTTGCATTTCCTCCTTTCTTATCATCCTCTCGCATTAATGATGTACTAATAGAAAAAAGTAAAAAGCATATACATTAATAAAGTCATCATTTGCTCTATGCAATTTTATTGTTTGAATGGATGAATGAATGTAAATGTGTCATTGTTCCTTGTGTTACGTAGACCAAAAAAGGATGTTTTCATTATGGAAGCAGAGAGTGGGAGAGTGATGAATAGGGTAATACGATATACATTCATCTCGTCTTATGATAACGTACAATGCGAAAAGAGAGAGTGAGGGGTGTCATAGTATTAACTACTGTATGGATGACTTGGAGAAGGGGGAACACGTGGAAAAGCTAATGACTTGGCGCTTAATTCATTCAGCAGAGGTGTCTCTCTCTCTTATAATATCCCGCAACCCACGCAATCGTTCACCATGGCTCCATCTTCCTTTCGGGCAAAAGGATGGGATCCACTCTTAATTATTGCTCAGGCAAGTCGTCTTTTTATCAAAGGTGAATAGATAGCTTACACTTCATTGTAGATCGTTTCACTACAGTCAGTCTACTATATCACCATCAGCATTCTCCTCCTCCTCGCTTTGGCATTGACCGGTGATGAGCTCTCCCTCGATGCGATACTCAACGACAATGAAATACGAACGGATACTGTATTCGGGTGGACATTGGCACTTGTATGGGTAGTAAATGCTGCTATTAGCATACCTGTGATCGTGTTTCTTATTCAACGAGCCAAGCTTGTTCTCGACTTTGTTGCGACATTGCATGGAATTCATATGGTGCTTATTTGGTCACATACGGGTCATTTTCCCACTTGTGGAGCATGGTGGGTGTTACAAGTTGTGAGCATTATTGGCATGACACTTGGCGGTGAATGGGCTTGTATGCAACGCGAAATGGAACCTATCCTCGTAACCAGTGGCAACAAAAACAAAGCGACTCGAAACCGCGACTCTGACAACAATCAACAGCAGCAGCAACAAGCACCCTCTTCTTCATCAACAACAGCAGGAGCAGCAGGAGCATCATCGTCATCGTCATCGAATATGATTGAGACTGAACAGGAGGATTGGGTCCATCTCAGCAGCAGCAGCAAGAAAAAGAGGAAAACATCCGATGTATCATCAGCTATTTCAGACGATGAGCAACAAGAACAAGAACAGCAAGCACCCTTTACACGTGTTGTGGGGAAGGCAAGGCAAGCATTAGTAAAAGGTGCACAGCGTGCAACATCAGGGAGCAAAGGCAAACTCTATGATATCATCCCCATGAAGGACGTCGATGGCTCATCCTCTTAGACTTGGCTAAATTACACCCACCCCACCATCCCCCCCAAGATATATAGCACACACTCTACTCCCATACAACCCTCTCATCCATACCGTGTACATTGCAATCCCGCTTTCACCTATGTACAAATATACTTGCTTTTAATGACGACACGTTTTGTATGATCATCTATTTGCTTGCATGATACCGGAGATGTTGAAAACATTATTCTAGAATCAACTATTAAGCTTATAAGGGGTATGATGCATGGTCCCTGTCAGAATTATTAGCTACCAGTCAATCACATTCAACAATAGATGGATTTGAGTTCTCGTTTTTTTGCTTTAATAAGAACGGTGTAATAAAGGTAAACAGAGAGGAAGGAAGAAGAAAAAGAGAGAGAGAGAGAAGGAGAAAAAAGAGGAAAAGAAAAAAACACATTACAAGGGCTCGTATGTCCAAATTCTTGCACGACTGTCGCCCGAGCCAGTCGCAAACATTGGCCGCCTACCATTAGGGCTTGTTGCCACCGAAATCACTAATGGATGGATGCGTGTGTGAGTGTCACTATACTATACATACATGGAAGGATGATGATAAAAAGCCCGTACCTGAGTTTTTGTGTCCTTGCAACATGAATTGTGTTTGGCCTGTAACAGGATCCCAGAATTGTACACCACGATCTTTTGAACCCGAGACGATCCAGTTGCCATCGGGAGTTGTAGCCACAGAGAGCACAAAGTCCTTGTGTCCAGAGAATACTTGCACGCATGGGTTTTTACGCTCACCGCCGTACACCTGTGTACCGAGCTGCCACATTCGCAAAGTCTTGTCAAGACTGCCACTCACCAACGTCTTGCCATTGGGCATGAATGCCACCGAATACACACTATCCTTGTGTCCTTCAAGTCGCTCAAGCAATTTGCCCGTTTGTGCATCCCATACGCGTACCACCTTGTCCAAGCTACCAGCAGCAACAAGTCTTCCATCAGGAGATATGGCAACACTCGTCACACCAGGATCCTTTTGGTCAAGCTCTTGAATTGGCAAGACATGTGTGCATCGTTGTTCCTCCCAGTCCCATATCCTAGCAGTGCGATCACCCGAGCCGGAAACTAAAAAGCTGCCATCACGACTAAACTCGAGGGAATAAATGTCTTGTTCATGTCCTTGAAGCACTCTGCGAATACGCTTCTTTTGGATATCCCAAATCTAAAACGAAATACTTTAGTCTTCCTCATCATCATCCTTGTCTCATCATTACTTACTCTGATTTGTTTGTCTTCGGCACCCGTGGCAAGATGCTTTCCATCAGGACTAAAGCTCACCGATCGAATGTAGAGATCACCTTCTCTGCTAGCATTCTCATCTTGCAATACACTATCATCACACATTTTCGGATCAGTATTACCCTTATCTATAATCCTCTCTTCTCTCCTTGTATCACTTACGCAACGCAGCTTGCCGTGTATGTATCATAAATGTAAGTAGCTTGGTTGCATCCTGCTGCCATCAAACGACCATCACTGCTGAACTTGACACAGCATACAACACTGCCATGATCGAATGTATGCAAAAGATCCACCTTCAAACGACGTTGTACCTTGGGATTAAGTCTATATGAATCCATCCAGCATGAGTCAACTAATGTTGCATATATATAAACCCAATTCCAAATGCTTACAATGCAAACCAATCTTGACCTTCTACTTTCATGTTGGCTGGTACAGCTTCAGGATCCATATCTGCTAGACCTGCTGCAGGAGCACCAGATCCACCACCAAGAGGTCCTGCTCCTGGCGGTGGCGGCTTAGAAGGCATGCCTCGGCCTGCAGGCACCATTTGACCTAACAAACACGATGATAAGTATACAATGGGTATTGATAAGAGTAATACCGCTTACTTTGAGGAGGTGGAGGAGTGCTACCAGGATGATGAGGTGCACCACCATTGAGATAAGGTGTACCGGATGGCATAGGTGGAGGAGGAGGAGCATGAGCACTACCAGGATAATGATGTTGGTTGTTTTCCATCATGGAAGGTGGTGGAGGTGGAGGTGGTGCTGCTGCCGTTGGTGGCTGCGATGGCGGAGGTGCACCTGCGGGATATCCTATGAGAAAAAACAAATCAAACGCGTCAGTTTGAGATCTACAATATGAGACACACACACACACACACACACACGCATGCACATCCTCTTATTGTTGTCCCATTCAACCTACCTCCATAACTTCCAGGTGGAGGAGCACCACCATGTTGCACCTAAAGATGTATGTATTAGAATCAACAAAAGCTATGCATGGATCACAATAGATATTATACCTGTTCCAATTGTTGACGCAGTCGTGCAATTTCATCTTCATATCTATAATCAAGAGCCATTGAGCATGGATGATGATTACATAATGATATCTTTTTGCTTACTGTTTCTTTAACATTTGTTGCATTCGTTCCATGTCCATAAGGTTTTGTTGAAAGAGATTCATTTCTTGTATTTGGCTGTTCACTGTGTTGTTGATGCCATGTGAGCATTGGGTGGATGTGTTTTGCTGGCAAGGGATCGACTTACTCTTTAGCTCGTATTCGTCTCGTTGATTTTTGACCATGATAGCCTCCTGGGCCAGTTGATCGAATTCGGCTCTGACGGCATCGAGAAGTTCAATGAGGCGGCTTTGGGTCGTGGGGACCATGGGTCGATGGTTGTAGACTGACATTGCTGAATAAGGAAAATGAAAGAGATGAGCCTGATGGGTTTGGATGGTAAGATGGTGGGTGGCGGCGATGAAGAGTAAGGGGGGGAGTGATGCGACCACTTACGGCTCTTGACGTTTCCAAACCGTTGAGAATGTGCAAGTCGATCGGGAGTTGTTGTTGTTGTGTGTCGTCACAAAGCACACTCACACGCACTCAAGAGAGAAGAGAAAGAGAGAAGAGAAAAAAAGGGGGGAGGGAGAGAGGAAGAGAGTGAGAGAGTGGGTGTTGGAAAGAAAGAAGACAAGAAAAAAAAAGATGGATGTGAATGGACCAAAAAACAAAAACAGCTACACACCCCACTAAAGTTCGGGGGAGCAATGGAATTGGGGTGCAGTAGATTTGAAGCACACATACATCAATCCCCCATCATCATAATAGACCCGCCCTGCAAAAAGATGTTATTTGTTTACTGAACAAAGAGAGTGCATGGACTCAAGACCAGGCGTTCGGGGTATTTCAAAGTAGCCTGTTCCTCCTCCTACTCCTCCTCTTCATGCTGCACTTTACTACTGTTTCCATGACGACGATCCATTACATCTCATCATCATCATCACTATCACCAAGGAGGTATATGTTTGCAAGAGGATGGTGTTTATGTTTGCGTTCCACGAGGCTGGTCTGTGTAACCATTCGCTGACGAAAGCGTATTTCCCTATATCCCACCCCCAACTTCTTTTGGATCTCCTCTTTATCCATCATGCATGGTCATAGGCTCGTTTCTATCAGTTTCTTTTTTCTGCAACACCAACCTTACGCTGGGTCCACTTTACAACTACTTCTTGCAGATCATTATCATTCACACACACACTTCTTTATGTAGACATACATCCCATTCAATGCTAAAAGTTTTTTCTTTCTCACATGATGACTAACAACAATGCATGCATACACTCACGCACACATACACATCGCTTGTAAGCATACATACATACTACTACATATGGGGAGTTTATTGATGTCGCTTCTCGACAACTACCTTCATACCATTCTTCATGGGTAATGTAAGAGAGATTTGATAAGTGATATCTTGGCCTGATGCTAAGCTAAACTTGTATCGTTTGATCAAAAAGACAATGGCCACCAATGCCTCGAGCGTTGCAAGATGTTGCCCTAGTATTGACAAGGTGTGAGTAAAACAGATCCACTAGCACATATAGAATTTTCAGGAAGATCATGCAAAAAGGGATGGGTTAGGGGAAAGCAAAAAAAAAAAAAAGTTGTTACCTAAGCAAGTGCGGGGGCCTGCGTGAAAAGCTGGCCATTGACCTTGCGACTCACGCTTCAAGTCACCGGTTTCAGTGAACCATCGCTCTGGTTTGAATTCCTTTGCATCGGGACCCCACACATTGGCACTACGACCTTGAGCATAGGGTGCCCATAGAATATAATCGCCTTTTCGAATATGGGTGCCATCGGGCCAAATGTCGTCATCAAGTGCATACTTTTCATTCACAGGCACTGAAGGGTACAAACGTAGCACCTCGTAAAACCTATACATCCATTCACGTGAGCTACATGATCGTAGCCATGGTAATCATTGTACGTACACTGCGTGCGCATATTTCATATCTTTGATCGCTTCGTATAAAGCAGGTGGATCATGCAATTGAGAATCATCGATATGATCCAAGATTTCTTGATACAACTTCCTCTCGACACGAGGATGGCACATCAACATGTAAAATGTCCACGACAACGCCTGTGCTGTTGTATCTCTCCCGGCAATGACAAAGTTGAGCACAATGTCACGCAGCTCGTCGGTGCTTAAAGGCTCGCCATCAGCGTTGGAGGCATGCATAAAGCGTGAAAGTAAATCTTGTCGATCAACATGATCCGCTGTTTCCATTTCTTGTCGTCGTTGTTCAATCACTTCACGCGCAAATTGGTCGACGGTGTGCAAATGATTGCGCATACCCGCACGCCATGGTGTTAGCAGCTTTTGAATACGCTCTGTCATGGGCCATAATGGATTGAGGAAACGAAGAAATGTACTCTTTTGAGCTTCATCAAAGGAATACGCAAATGGCAATTTCTCTTTGGAATCAAGGGCATTTAGATTCACACCAAAACCAAGCCTAAATGTCATTTATCAATAAAGGTCATGATCCCCAATGATGAGACTTACAGGATAAAAGAGTCGAGTGTAAACTTGAACATGATATCGTGGAAATCCATCACTTGGTTCTCGCCAGCAGCCTTGTCCCAAATGTGCTCATTCATATACTCAATCTCTTGTACAAACACCCTACATGTAAAGTAAATAAGTAGAGTAGCTGGATGCATGGTACACAATGATTCATTACTTTGTGAAATGGTCTCGAAAGTTCTTCACTTGAAAGATATGGCTCGCTGTTTTACGTTGGTAACGCCAATCTTCTCCGTTAGCATTGAAGATACCATGACCAAACAAGTCGTTCATGGCGTCTCGAAAAATAGGTCCCTTGACGTAGTTTTCAAAGTTGTCTAGATTGCATAAGTATAAACGTGTTATTGGTGATCCATAGTATACATACTCTTGAGAACATGTTCAACGTTGCGTGGATCAACGGTCCCCACGATTCGAGGAATACCAAGTGCCGATACGGTGCTAGTAAAATGGGTCATTGTTTGCATGCCATGCTATGTACTTGGCTGACAAAGAGAACATACATGTTTGGCTCATTCAAAAACGTGAATGCCTCTACAAGGAATTCGTGGATCATATCCTTCCACTGGAGGATAATGGGCAAATTACCCACAAGAGGCCATCCTGGTTGTGTGACAATGTCTTGTCGTCGTGCATCAAACACGGCCCGATCGTGGTAAATAGCTGCCAGAGTACCCAGTGCTGCCAGTGCGACGCCACCAGCATAGCTTGTAGCAGATGATTTGGATGCCATTGTTGTTGTGTATAACAAAGAATGGCTCCCATACCACTTGCCCCCCTTTTATAACTCTTTCATTGTCTATATGGTTTGTGTGGGGATTCACATGCAAGCTTACTACACAAACACTAGGCATTCCCCACGATGAACAAACGTGGAAGTAATGTGTACGTGTCATGGGACAGCAAGGAAATGACAGCGGACCATTGGAGACGAAAATTTTATAAAGTCATACGTATATACATCGACAATTTACTCATGCATACATACAAAGGTTGTTGCCACAGCGTAGTATATGAAAAGGGGGAAACTTGCACACAAGGAAATAAAACGAGGGAAATGGAAATTCAAATGCATAAAGAAAAGAGATAGAGAAAGAGAGAAAGAAAAGCATACAAAATGTCCAGGGGTGATATGTAATGATGATGTTAATAATCAAGGATGATGCGTGCTGTGCCATCTGATTTGAGCTGATATCCAGCAAACAGCTTCAGATTGTCGTAGAATTGATAGTTGACCACTGCATCATCCACAAGCACCAATAATTGATTGCCTTCTTTACGTCGCCATACGACTTCGGAAACCGAATCAGTACACAATGACATGGCTTTGCATAGCCTGAGAGTAAGTTCCTGTGCAGTCATTTCTTGCAATTCAACGGCCTTAAATGAAGCATCTTTGGATACTTGAACATAGAGCGTGCGCACTAAAACGATCGTGAATGAGTGGGGTTGCATGGATACCAACAATCAAAGAGAGATTTGAATGTACCTGGCTGTTGTTGTTGTTGTCGCTTTGTATCATTCATAAAAGTAGGAGGACTAGCACATTTTTGAGGCGTTGTTGTTGTGAGTGGATACAATGATGATGAATGAACATCTGCTGCAGCAGTGGATGGTGTCGATGTTGTTAATGTGGATGGTGATGAAGGATGGGGTGGTGGAGGAGGTGGAGGTGCCACAGCTTGGTAGGACAAAAAGTCATGCGCCAAGTCAGGCCAACTCTTTTCAAGCAACATTGCTGGTGGAGAAGTGGATGGCGATACAGATGATGCAGACATGGGTGGATCCACGTGATGTTGGTATGGATGGTGGGGATGCATGGTAGTAGTAGGCGGTGCTGTCATTGTACGGCTGTGCCTTTGAAATGCCATCAAGGCCGTATCGGCTGCTGCTGCGGGGTGTTCATGGAATCGTTGCTGTGGCAACATAGCAGGAGGTTCGTTTATATGCGGCATGGCGTCCATTGTAAATGGGCTGTAGGGCATGGGCTGATTGTACATGATGTGGCTTCCAGGCATTCGCTCAATTTGCTTTCCCATTTGCTTTGCGTCATCTTTACTCTTGCGTTCAGCTCCCTAAGGTGTGTGTGTCTTCATTAACAAATATCATTTCAAAGGAGTAAGTATACAAACATACCTTGTCACGAAAAAGTTTGATTTTGCAAAGAGAACGTTCATAATGCTGATACTTTGCCGTGTAATTTTGTAGCGATACTCGTAATGGGATACCCTTGACTCCTTTGATTCTTGAGAAATCCGTGGATAAGCAATTGAAGCAAACATAAATCCTTGCACTGCCTTGCCAATCAAACGTGATACGGTCAAACGCTGGATATTGTACATTGCTGATACCCATTGATTTCACGTCGTCTACAAATAAAAGTCATGAAAGGTGTCTATATGGCGATGTATGTGTTTGGATTACATACCAAGGTCGATGGCTCGTGCCTGATGGGGTTCCTTTTGTTGCGTGAGCCAAAATTTCCAATAGTTGTCAGCCACACGACGATGCGATGGCTCGTGAAACATGATAGCCACTGTGCTGGTGACGGTGGTGCCTTGTTGTTGTTGTTGCCTTGTATCCCTTAATTCGATCACGTACCACTGTCCTCGGTTAAGGTAGGTTGTGGCGAGGTCTTCAGTCTTTTGGCTAATAGCTGTTGGTGCTAAAGAATGCCACATGTAAGAAAAGAAAACAAACATTGAATGACACGTGCTCACCTTGAAGGATGGCTTGGAACATGAGTGACGAGGTTGAAGAGTGCTGGTGGTGTCTGATGATGAGAGTAAACGTGTGAGCGTCGATCATTGGGTACACAGGATATCACTTACGATCGTTGTTCCTCGCTGAAAAAGGCAGGTTGTTGGTGCTGATGGTGGTGCAAAGGCATAGCAGGCACCACATCGTCATAATAGTAAACCGAGTTGGTGGGATTGTACATCGTTGGGATACCTGTGGGGAAACCACCTGATGATGCAGTACGTTGGCGTGGTTGTTGGTAGCTGTTATACATCATGGGTGTTGTTGATGCCGCAACAGAAGATGTGTCCATAACCATGGATGACGATGGTGGTGCCACTTGATTGTTGTTGTTGTTGTAGTTGTGAAATGCCATGGATCCTGAATTACTAAAAACGAGTCAGATGCACGGATCACTTTTTTTTTGAATCAACACACTATGTATTTACATTTCGTTGGAGACCGCGGTTTCTTGCGGTGAGCAAGGACTATAACCCGTTTGATGCGCCAAGATCATTCCAGCCAAGTTTTTCTGTATAAGTGATCACACATCATCTATCCAGCTGTATGTAAAAAGAAAAGGCAATCATGCACCAATTTACCTTGAAGGTTGAATATGTAAATGAAGGGAGAAAAAGACGTGTGTGGAAATGTCAGAAGACAAAGGAATATTTTAGGATCGCTCTATTGAATAATAGTCAAGTAAGGGGAAAAAGTAAAGAAAAAAAGGTAAGAGAAAAAGATTGACAGAGTAAATGTTTCTTATATGACAATCGCTGAATAACAAATACAAAATACAGTATGCAGGCACAGATTCATGCTCGCGTTGTCTTTAACTGCAAGATGGTTCGAAAAAGGGGAAAGGGAAGATGATGATGATAATGATGATGATATGTTGTGTGTGCGCGCATGTGTGAATGTGAGTGTGTGAGCAGTAATGCCCTTGTGTAAAACGTGTGGGCCCGTTTCATTGGTCTAGTGCTCGAGCAGGTTCAACAAAAAACCCAATATTGGATAAAGGAGAGTGGTTGTACTCTTGGTCTGTGTTGAGCTTGCTTGTGCTAAACCAAGCTAGCCTGATCTTCTCTTTCTGTTTGGACCTTTATCAACTTTGTGAAAACATGCGTCAGCTCTGTGCTCACTATGTTCTATTTTGGGAAACATCTTGTATGTAGTATTCTGTCAGAATAAGGGAGAACCTAGACTTGCTCTTGAATCCATCGCATTAAAATTGTGCAAGTATACGTGGATCATTCCCTCGTGTCACTTGCAAATGAGGAAACCAGTGGAGTGGGATGTGCTAATAAAAATGTCCTCTCGGGAACTTTGTCCGAGATATCAGCACTATTTTATAGGTTGCGTATCGATGAGCGCAATCGACATCAGTAAACGCTAGAAGATGCATGCATGTTGACATTGCTCGTATGATGCATGTGTGCGTGTATGTGCGTGTGTGTGTGTGCCTTTTAACTTGTATAACGTAAACTTTCCTGCGCCCGACACGCACACCATTTGTGTGCCCATTAAGGTTTGTCATCTCATTAACAAATCCAACCTGCAAACTTGTCAAAAGTTACAGTGAGATAAAAGGAAAGCAAGCACGATTTGCTGCAAAGCACGTTGTTTTATATTATTTGATCATTCTATCCAAGCTGTCTAATTCCATTCGCCACCATCAAATCCAATAAAGCCCTTGAAAACAGGATCAGTATACATGCATGATAGCCGCTTCCATCGACAACGACGACATCAACTTACTGTAAGGAGGAAAATCGGAAAGAACCGTTTCTTCTCTATTTGCGAACACCCTGCAGTTGTATGTAAGAGTTAGTGATCGAGAACCATGGTGGCAAAAAGATTTACTACTCACAATTCCATGCAGACGTCAATCGTCCATCGATGCAGCTACCAGCATCAAAGTAATTGTCGGCACCAGATCCATCAAAGCCATACGTGAAAAAGTCGACTGCAAATACCCCCAATGAATACTTTGTAAGCACACATAGACCCCCAATGTAACTTACAGCAAATGTCCTTTCGGCAATTCTCGACGCTTCCATACTGCTCATTGATATACGCTGCTATTGCTGGATCTTCTGCAATCTGATCTATCCGATCGAGTGTGTTGACGATAGGTGTGAGAATTCTGGATACTTGATTGTACTATCAACAACAACAACAGCAGGCGATCAGTCATATGGGGCAATCAAATTTCCCTTTGTCTTATTGGTTTACCTTGTCAATAAACATGAATGCATTGGGAACATCTCTATCACCAAGATGTACAGCGCTGCTGCCAACCCATGAACCACTCTTTTTTTGCGTTCGGCTAAGGATCTTATGCATCGCCATTCCAATGTTGCGGCATGGTTGTATACGTTGCAGGCCTTGACCCGTGTTGGTCAGCCGATATGGGCTCGAGGATAAGAGATCTTCATCGGATAAACTCCAAAGCATAAACATTTCATGCACAATTTCCCGCCACAGAGATAGTGATTGGTAAACGTATTCGTATTGGGTCTTGTGCGTGTGAGTAAGTCGATGACCATGTCGTCCAGCAATGATGGCAAGTGAATAGCCGCTTTCAGTCTTGTCACGATTAAAGTACTTTGTGAGGTACTTTATCATCTTCTCGCAAGGATCCCTTGTTGTTGATGGAGAAGCATGTAAGTGGTTGGATGATGACTTCTCTCCTCCTCACTCACACACGTTACCTGTTGGCTTTCAAGTATGCGTGATTGTCGGACAAGGATGCCACACAACGTGCAATGTCGTCTGCCGATATACGATCATTGGCGTACTTTTCACTCAACACTTGAACAGCACGTCGTTTGCGATCCACTTCAGCACTGATTTGGGTTCTTGACTTGAATTCAGGATTGATCTCACGGGTGGCAAGGGCAATCATGTCGTCATGTAAAAGTTCGAGGCTGTCTTTGGACTCCAAGAAATCGTAAACGGTCTTGATTGGCACAACACACGTGAATCCAAGAGCATCTTCAACATCAGGTGCAGTGGAATCCTACGTCATGTGTGTCAAAGGGTTGCCCTCTTTCTCTCTCTCGCTCACTCTCACGTTACTACACTTACCATGAGCATATACATGAGCTTGCCATAATTGGATCGCAGCTTTTCTGGATTCATGATCTTGTGTCTTTAACAAAAAAGATGAGTAAACATATGCCAAATGATAAAATCATATGAGACTAACCTTCTTCCCACTTCAAAGATTTGCTGATAAAATAGCTCGTTTTGCTTTGGGCTGGATTCAGAAAATAATTGATTGCCAAGCTTGTAGTCGCCGGCCACCAAAAGACCTGCGATGATGGCACATAGATCACGGATTTGTGTCACGATTCTCCTCGTCTTGTTGGCGTAAGTCAAGATATCAATCTTATCTATATACGCCATTAATACGATTCCTCTCTCCTCCTGCATTGTCATCATTCTTTCATACCTGTGTATTCGGAAACGTTCAAGGCCGCATCCAATCTTCCATATGCATGAGTATAATCCTTCATCCCATTGTCTCCAAAGATATACTTACAATCGTAGCAGGTTGCGTTCATACGAATCCAATCGAAGAGGGACATATTTTGCTCTATGCCATTGTACATGAATATAGGACATTGACAATGAACCACCCTTTTCATTATACCTTTTCTCCATCCATTGTCCAAACGTTGAACTACTACCACTTTGAATGATGGTACCATCCAATTCGAGCGTCACTGGTTGTTTCTCATCCTCCTATAATGGGTCCATGTTATTATGAATGAACAACAACAAAGATATTCCAAGTACTTGCCTTTGGCTTTTCTGTATCAATTAAGCTCATGGCATCAGCAGCAGCTGCTCCAGTATCTTTAAGAGGTGTGTCGACCTTGAGGTTGCGTGCTGTGTGTTTACGGCGGTTGCCAGTGCGATGAAGCATAGCTATATAAAGAGAAGAATGGCCACGTTATCTATCATGTGCTGTCATAGTAGTTCCTAGTCGTATCCGTCGTACCGTGGCATACTTCACAAAAGTCTTCGTCGCATTGCTCACAGAATACCGAAGCCTAAAGGACATGGAGGGTTACAATGGACGATCTCAAGGCATTAGCGGTTGCATTACCTCCTGATCACTGCATTCGACACAAAACAAGGGATGAAGCGAAGACGATGCGACTTGGAATTCCATATCCGTGATTAGCAAGGAGCGAGAAGGAAACAGAAAGGGATAAAGCGTCGATCCGAAAATGGCGACAGTAGTTCAGCTACCGAGAACGACGACAACGCACCCTCCCTTTTCTCCAGCAAACCCTGCTGCCACCGCCACCAATGCCGTCTCTCCAAAGTGCACTCAAGCATATACAATCGTCTGACGCCATGACAACTTTTTTGGAATCACACACCGTCAACGTCAACGAGAAGGATCAGCATGGCGATGCACTGGTTCATTTTGCTGCACGTGCTCATGCCGTCGACGTGTTGCAAGTGTTGCACGACCATGGTGCTGATCTCGGGGCTGTCAATGAGCACGGTATCGTTCACAGCATGATGGATATCCACAATGGTTGCAACTAACCTTGTCTACATAGGACGCCAGCCCTTGCATGAAGCTATTGATTCGATCGATTGTGTTGCATATCTTGTCAAACATGACAGCGTGGATGTTAATGCATTGAAACGAGGCGATTGGACACCCTTGATGAGTGCAGGTAAACGTTTCCATTGAAGACCCTCATGATACTCTATATATTAACATGTTGCATTAATAGCATTGAAAGGGAATCTGGATATCATCAAGATACTTGAACAAGCAGGTGCTCAACTCGATCGCATCACCAAAGATGGCAGGACGGCATTGCACCTTGCAATCCAGAATGGTAATAATGAAAACAAGTGAACGATGATATTGCTTATGTATTCAGGATGTTGTGTATATAGGTCACGTGGAAACAGCCATCTATCTTGCTGAACACTCGCCATCATCCGTAATGAAATGCACAAAATCAGGTCGCCTTCCTGCACAATTAGCAGCTGCACTTTCACCACCCGAGACATCCTATGCCATCACCTCTTTTCTCCTCAGCAATCCTTTATGGACCACACCTATACTCAATCATCGGGATAATTCAGGACGTGGTGTATTGATCGATGCAGCAGCAGCACGCAGCTTCCAATTACTCAAAAAGTTATTGCTTGAATATGACATTGATCCCAACCAAACGGATTCGATTCATCGGAGTATGATCCACTATGCTGCCATGATGGGCCATTTAGATACGCTCGAATTCATATATCACCTACGATTACCAAAGGATGTTTATTGGGACGCACCAGATAGCTGGGATCAATGGACACCTCTATTACATGCCGCTCGAGAAGGTCACACTCCCATTGTGAGATTCTTATTGGAAAACAAGTTGGCTGACAAATCATGGAAGGATAAGCGTGGAAGAACAGGCTATGACTTAGGTAAAAAAGGAAGAACCCTTTGCCATGCACGCACACATTGATTAATAATCTACATACAATAGCCAATACGTGGAATCATAGAGACATTTGTGAATATCTTCAGGGGATCTGTACATAGAATCGACTTGACACGTTTATAATAAATTAAGCTTGTCTATGCAAACAAACAATAATGCTGCAATGATGCGTGTTTGTGTTCTAGTGTTAATTCTACTGGTCATCGTCAAAGACATCAACACCCCAGAAAGACTTGGGGTTAATGAGACGCTTGGATTCAGTGACAAGGGAGTTGAGCTTGTTGAAATCTTCATCCGACAATTGCACATCTTGGAAGTTGGAAATGATACGGGAGTCAGTGACACTCTTGGGGATCACAGAGGTACCACGTTGAATGCCCCATCCAAGAAGAACTTGAGCGGGAGAAGCATCGTACTTTTTAGCAATAGCAGCCTACATAGCTCATGATGAATAATTTGATGTCACTTTTTTAACGTGTTGATCTTACCACTTGGTCATCCTTCATCAAAGGAGAATCGGTGCTACCCAAAGGAGAGTAAGCAGTAACTAATAAACAATATTAGTTACCTCCTATAAATGGATCTTCAATGTCAAGGAGGCATACGTACCATGGATACCATTCTTGCCACAGAATTCAAGCAACTCCTTTTGGGCAAGGTAAGGATGCAATTCAACCTAAGCCATTGGGGATGATATGTCAGCTCTTTTGCATTTGTAAGCAACTGGTAGAGAACATGTTACCTGGTTGACAGCGGGAACAATCTTTGCCGATTTGATCAATTCCTCCAACTTTTTGACGTTAAAGTTGCTAACACCGATAGCACGGACCTTGTCACCAACCAACTTTTCCATGGCCTTCAAAAAGTATTTGTAAGCATCGATGTTGACATGTCCACATCAACTACTTACGGCATAAGTCTCGGTGAAGGGGGTGGAATCAAATTGAATGTTGCCTTCAGCATCCTTGGGTGCCAAATCCTGGGACTCAGCAAAGGCAACAGGCCTAATATGCAAACGATCAGGGTTTGATTTGTCAGCTCGGACGCTCGGGCATTGAATTCTTGGTAATTGGGACAAGACATGGTCCCATCCCAAAACCACACTTACCAGTGCATCAAGTAAAGATCGAGATAATCAGTCTGCAAGTTGGCAAGCGAGGTTTCCAAAGCCTTGGCAACAAGATCAGGACGATGGGAGGTGTTCCAGAGCTTGGTGGTAAGGAAGATCTCCTTACGGGGGACACCACTATCCTTAAGAGCTTGACCCACTTCCTTCTCATTACCATCTACAAGGCTGTTAATATGGAAAAAAGTTATATGCAATAGATCGGTTCACTTACAAACAAAGGCAGTGTCAATATGGCGGTAACTGCATGAATAAGGGGGAAGTAAACACGTCATATTAGGAAAGAGCTTTATGCCAATGCTTCCAAAACACATCTTCTTACCCTGCCTTGAGAGCGGTCAAAACGGCTTGGTAGACTTCATTGGGCTTGGATTGCCAAGTGCCCAAACCGAGACATGGGATTTCAGCACCAGTGTTACTATGGGAATGTATAAATAGGTATTAGTGGTGATCAGTGACATGGCTGAGGCATCGTTTGGGGTGATGTGGATGATGATGGTGTCATCATGTGCAACCATCCTCTCATATGAGTATATAAACATGTACACTTACAGCTTGAAAGTACGTCCAGAAGCCATTGCAACAAGAATACGAGAAAAGGGAGAGAGTATAGTTTCTTCTCTCAATCGACGGGACTCCCTTTTATATACGCTATAAGCTGGGTGAGTTGCATCATCTTTTTTCCCTCCGCATTAAATAACCCCAGTACCAATAAGGAGGGGCCGACCAGCGAAACCGGCAGTACCAGCACTCAACTCGATTTATAAGCTATGCTGTGGATGGCGACATTGGTGGCGGGATTAGTCATTGCTCTCGTCATTCGACTATGGATCGTCATTCCAGGAAGGACTCCTCATTACGCATCGACTTCATCACCGCGTCTTCGGCGGCAGCAGCCTTGCAAGACGTGTATCTTTCTCGGTTCTGGTAAGCTCCTGCAGCTCATTTTAAAATCCAAGCTACTCAAGCGTGCTATTATATCATAGGTGGGCATACAGCCGAAATGTTACAGCTTGCACAGTATCTTGATCCTACCAGGTATACCCCACGTACGTATGTGATAGCATCATCGGATGCATTAAGTGCATCAAAGGTCCATCCGGATGAGGTATAATGTTCCCTTTTCTTGGTCACTTGGCATACGTAATACTTACTATCTTTTATATGTAAGTCCTACTTTATACCTCGAGCACGTCATGTGGGACAAGGATGGATCTCTGTGCCATGGACGACGTTGAAGGCTTTGTTGGTGGCATTTCAAATCATTTTCAAAACAATGCCTGATCTGGTAAGTGAGAGCTATGACAAAAGACACGTTTCATGTATGTGTGTGTTAACATAAACAAAAAAGATTCTGTGCAATGGTCCTGGCAGTTGTGTACCCATTTGTGTGGCAGCTTATATCCCCAAAGTAAGAAAAAAGAGGGTAGCAGCATCTCATCAATCCCATCCATTCATTCATGGCCTATCTCCCCCCAATAGATATTGGGTATCCATCCTATCCAGATCATCTATGTGGAATCCTTTGCACGCGTCAAGACACTTTCTTTGACAGGCAAATTGCTTTATCTCTTTGTGGATCGATTTTTGGTTCAGTGGCCCGAGTTGCAGGAGCGGTATAGTAAAGCTGAGTATAGAGGAATTTTGGTTTAGCGTTTCATTCAAGTAAAAAAAAAAAAAGTACGGCTGAAACAAACTTTGTGTGTATGTATAAGGAGCAAAACAAGTATACAAGTTGGAAGGGGAGAAAAGAAAAAGACGACTTTTTTTGGGGGAATTGTGTATGAGGGAGATGTTGGTGAGCGTATCAAGTAGAGCGTTTGGTGGTGAAATACGTGTGCTGTGTGTGTTGAGTGAGTGAGTACAGTAATTGGGAATGGAGGGATATCTTTATTCGCCAATGCGAACTATATCAATACCATCATCTATTAGTATCCATGATCACTTCTTTTTGCCCTTTCAAAAACCCCCACTTACGGTAAAAGTTGACGAGAATCGCAGCGAGCAAAAAGATGCAAAGCACGGTGGGACCAACCCTGTCATCGTAAGGGGCTGCTTCACGGTTTCGAATTTTGGTGGCTCGCCAATGGAAGGTATACAATGCATACATCATGACACCCATAGCAATGACAGTGAATAAGACAGCTGACATACGACCAATACGATCACCAAAGTTGAGCAAACCCATCGCGAGACCTCCAAGCACAACTGTAAAGTTGAGCCATGACAAAAAAGTACGCTCGTTGGCGAAGAAGACCTTGGGTTCAACACGAACCGGGAGGGCGATTCTTTTGCCTGTGGTGGATTCAAGGACGTTGTTGTTGTCAGCCATCAATGAAAAGGGCGAGATGAGAAAAAGGAACAAAGGAACAAAGGAAGAAAGAAAAGATCAAAAGAAAAACGAGACGAGATCCAAACTCACTTTTGTGGGTGCACGTACACACAGCCGATTGTGACGAAAGAATGTCATTGGATAACACGGGGCACGTGCTGTCAAACAGACGCCATAAAGCAGCAGCTGAGACTAGAACATTAAAAGTAGAAAAGCCCGCTCCCATGGTTGTACCGCCATACACTACAGCATGCATGCACACATCCCTATTGATCATCATTTCCCTTTCCGCGGGTATCTTTTTTTTGTGTTGGGTATGAAAGTCGTATTTATATGCATAAGAGAGAGAATTCACACATCGCTTTTGTACAAAATGATCTAATTTAACAAACAACACCAGCGTTGCTACCACTGTTGCTGTTGCCATTGCTACCGTTGCCATTGCTACCGCTGGTATTGGATGGGTCCACAGCTACCCGCTTATCATCACGGCCACTTTCTGCATGACGATCGATATATACGGTAGGATCATTCTCATCAGATGACGCGTCCGAAGTAGAAGATGACTCGGTCGATCCTGTCACTTGTTGTTGTTGTTGCTGTTGTTGATAACCAAGTCTCCTAGCAGTAGCATACAAGGGTTCATTGTCATCAGCATCTTGTGCAACCGACGTCATGTTCTCTTGCTCTGCCAAGGAACGTCGAATAGCTTCCATGACCATCCATTCCTCCAAATCCATATCCATGCCACGCATTGTCGATAAAAAGTGATTATACTCTGATGCTGTAGCTGATGATGCTGATCGATTTGAACGAGGACCATGTTGATGATTGTAACCAGTGGGGACAGTGCGTAAAAGAGTTGAACTCCGTCGGCTGTTGCTGCTTGTTGTTGAAGTCGTAGCCTGGGTCCTATGCCAATTGGGTCTCACATGATCTATGTGCGTGTGTGTGTGTGTGTGTGTGTGTATAAATATACAGCCCGTTATTACCAAAAAGAAACACCCATCATCATGGTTGTTCTTTATCACTTACCAACAAGGACAACGCTTGGATCACGATGACTAAGGGTAGCTCTACGTGGCCTACTTTCTGCAGCAGCAACGCCGGATGTGGTGTGGCGTGTACCTTCTTGCACTAGCGTGGTCGGTTCGTTATTACCGTTCCGAGACTATACGGAGTCAGATAAATTGGCAAGAAATGATATCACCATTACCACTATTTACCTTTTCGCTCCAAGCTGGGGGATGATAAATGATACCAAAGTTCTCTTGCATACAAAAGGGACATGTGGCAGGGGTATTGGGTGTTTCTGTGGGTCGTTTGATTTGTACAAAGCACTCTGTGCACAATGGTTGATCACAGCACCGTGAGTAGTTGATATTGGCGGGGTAATACTAAACCCAAAGAGTCAGTCGACCCATTTTCTTGCATTGTATGTAATGCGTCTAGACTCCTCCTCCATCACACTATCACCTACCAAAAAGCATATCGGACATTCGATAGCATTGTTGTAAAGCATTTCTCTTTGTAAACGCATACGCTCAAGTCTTAGCTGCCTTTCGGATACTGGTTTGGTGGCTGCTGTATGATGACATTGTTGTTGTTGTTGTTTTTTGCTGCTGTTGCAACTAGAGCTGGATGCACTACGAGGTCTTCCACCATTACTTTCAGCACGTCGTGTAGAGGAAGAAACAGTGGACATGGATGATGATGCAGCGGGAACAGGTGGTTCAAGTAATGTTGGGCGTGTGAAGGTGGGTACAACCACTTCCGGAGGCTCTGGCAGCCCTAAAGATAACAGCACGAGTATTATGTCAACGCGAATGACCCAAAACGTAATACATAAACCATCACCACCAACACCATCCTTGTGTGTAGTATACCTTTATAAAAGGGAGCAAGCTTACGACTCAATATCAAGTTGCGTACACATCTTAGGTCATAGTCTTGTAAAGCCGTGGGATACAATCCATTGGGGAGCACGGGCCCAAAGTCGACAAGGTCCTTGACTTTGTGGTGGGTGGAGGAATGAGAAGAGTGGTTTTCAGGGTCATTGGCTTTTGAAGTGTTTGCACCCATTGCGTTGTGGAATTGTATATGCGAGAAAGAAAAGAAAAAAAGGAAAAAGGAGATAGGAGAGAAAGAAGAAAAGGAACAAGGAACAGCAATAACAGCAGCAACAGCAACAGCAGCGGGTTGTCAATCCTTTACAAGTTCCTGCGCAGCATAGTGTGAGCTAACGACGGCAACGGGAGGTGGGGGGAGGGAAAGTGACCATGCGGGAGAAATGCCACGGTTACCAAAAAAGGAACGATGTGTACATCAGCTGGTGCAGTAAACTTTATTGTTCAGCTAACCATTTTGCCTGAAGTATGTCCTGAGCGCACGCCCGTTTTGCCACATCCACTTCCAGCATGGGTGACAAGAATTCATTTAATCCATCAGCTTCGGCAGGTGGCATTTGGAATTGATCATGCAATACATCTCTTAATCGTCGATAGCGCAGCTTTTTGATCCTTCGTAATTCCCCTTTGCGGTTAAAGAACTCTCGGGAGAATTCCCCATCCATAGTAAGACTCCGAGGTACACGTAGCATCAACTCAATAATTTGCGCCAAATGATCTGCAAGTCATCTCGCGTGGTCAGCTTATTAATTCCTTATATCCAATATGCTTCTTCCTTACCATCATCCTTATCATATTTAAGCCCTGCACGAGGATCAAATAAAAACTCGCCTGTGAGAAGCTCAAACACCTAATAACGACACTCTTAGTTCCTTTCTGTTTTTCCTCTTCACGTTGTTATGCATATGCACACACACAAACTTACCAACACCGCCATACTCCACATGTCGGCCCGATCATTCCACCTGGCACCAACAATGACTTCTGGACTACGATATTGTCGTGTTTGAATAATGTGTGTATTGTCGCTTTCCAACCAACAGGCATTGCCGAGGTCTGCAATCTTGACGACGATATCCTCAAATACTCGACTTGGGTCACCATTATCGGGGATGATGGCTGCAAAATCCAGTACTGCTGATCGGATGATAGGTGTATCATTGTTGTTGTTGTTGTTGTCGTTATCATGATGAATCGCCATTGAACCCATTTTGCTTTCTAAGCTGATACAACAAATGTGAATCAATCATGAGCTTATTTGCTACATCCCAAGCACGCATATACTTACGTGACACCATTCCCTTCATTTTGTGCTGTTTGAGCCTCCTTTGCAGCCTTTTGCTTGATCTTTTTCTTTAACCTTTTCTTGCGAGATTTGCTCATGCCGGTGGTGTCGATGCCTTTGAGTAATGGTTCCTGATGTGCTGATGATGTTGTTGTTGTGTTGGATGGTTGTTTGTTGATGTGCTGTGAAAGAATCTCTGCTGTTTCCTTTTTCAGATAGGACTCAACATCCGGTATCCAAACCAATACATTCTCAGGTTTGATGTCTGTGTGGACGATGTTGCATTCACGATGTAAATAATCGAGGCCAAGAAGAACTTGCTTGGTGATACGTTTGACAATGGATGGTGGGATGCCCTTGTATCGATAGCGTTTGATGAGGGAGAGCAAGCTTTCACCAAGAACTTCAAATGTCATGCAAACATGTTTCCCATTTGGGCCCGTGTGCCAGAAATGATCCAACAGCTGTGCGACATGTTGCCATCCAACTGCATTCGGATTCGACACCTTGACAGCTTCCAATAACTTGATCTCTTCCAATGCACTCTCTGTAAAATGCTCAGCTGACTTGACAATCTTGAGTGCAACATGTCGCTCGGCACTAGAGAGGTATGTATATACATAGACGTCAATCCCTGCTTGGTATCAACCACCATCATCATCCTCACTTACACTGTATCATAAGCTAACCACACTGTTGAGAAATGTCCCCAGCCGAGCTTACGCACCACAATGTACCGATCATTGCTAAACCGATCGCCAATCGACACTGGATGGTAGCCGCCCTTTTTGTAATCTTCGAGGTCCTCCTCGTCATCGGATCGGATCGACTCCGCATCTGAATAGTCGCTTCCGCTGTCATAATCATTCAAGGGCCTAGGGGGATGTGGAGCTGTCGGATTCATGGTGCATGTAGCCGGCTTGGGCGTTGCCTGTTTTTCCCTTTGGTGTGTTTTGTAGAGAGATAAAGAGAGATAAAGTCGCACGCTCGTTGTCCCCCGCAACCAGATTTTCATGACCGTGGTGATAGTTTCCATATTAACAACAATAGGAGTCTCTCTTTTCCTCTCATCATTGTACCCTTATCATGATCCCGTTCTATTGTATCTTGTCTTATTTCAATGCTTTACAACATCGACCACAATGGAATCATTTACCATCATCATCACCATGTTTTGTCATATCCTTATTTGGAATGAAACAATAGCAACCATCTGATCAGCCGTCATCAGTGCGTGCACATCCTCCCCCTCATCCTCCTCCTCCTCCTTTTACGAATCTGGCAAACAACTTGTGACGATCATCATCGAACATGATGATGTATTATGGAGTGATAGGATGGTGATGTATCATCCACTCTTTGTGCTTGAATTAAACAATGGCTTAATAGGAAATTAAAAAATGCTACATCCAACCTTATTTATTGAGCATCTTCAAAATGGATCATACTACACACTATGACGATGTTGCCTTGACCATGCTACAGATATGAGATGCAACAACCTTGTTAGATCGACGAGTTGAAAGTTGTCATTGACCCCCCTCATTCACTTTGGCTTTTGTTCTTTTTCATCGTAACATGTACATAGATCGATCAAACGTCCATCAGCTGAAGCCTTACCTTAGCTAATAAGAGCATCCACTGTATCCTTTAAGAGGGTTGGTATGTAAGCATCACGTGAGCAAACTATATCTCAATAATGCAACGTGCATTTCTTCTTACCCATAAGAGGGCATCAGGCTATTGATCTCACTCGGTAGGTCACGCGCATGAATTGACTCGGGTCATTGTTGTGTTACTCGATGCTACAATATAGTGGACCATAGTAGTATCTATGTCGCTCAAGTAGACGGCAGCTCATACACATTTTTCACAATAAAAAAGAAGTAGACGCAATTTCCTATTTGACAAGAAACATAATGCTATTTGAGAGAAAAGACAAAAAGGAAAATGGTGGGAGGGGGGCGTAACTATACGGGAAGTAAGAGGGAGAGAGAAAGGAGAAAGAGAAAATTCATCACGATGGATCATATGGCGGATCAAAGAGGTAGTAGAGTGGATGTTGGAAGAAGAGGATGATGGTTGTGGTGGTGGTATGTTGTTGTGGTCAAAGCAATAATGTGATGTGAAAGAGAAAGAGAGAGAGAGTAAATCTGGCTAAATCGACAAATAGATTGGCATTACTCTTCCATGCGATCAATGTTGTTGTTGGTGGTGGTGGTGGTGGTGTTGGTCTTTGTGAGGTTTTTCAAGAGTCGCTTTTGAAGATATTCCCAACGTTGTTTGCAACAAGAGGATGAATGGCGACCACCAAACTTGGCTGAAAGGGCGTACCAGTTGTCTCCTCGCATTCTTTTGAGAATATACTCCATCAAAATCTTATCGTCGTCATGGGTCCATCGCTCGTATCCACGGATGGTTTGGTTGTATTTGCGTACAGGTGGTAATTTTGACTTGGTGATGACTTGCTTATTGTTGATCGCTGTTGTCGCATGGAGAGGAGGTGATGGGGGTAAGAAAGATTCATGTTGCTTCAATGCAGGTGATTTCTCGTCGCTACTAGAATCCCTTGGCGGTGTGAGTGGTCGCCAATGTCCACTTGTTGATGATGATGGTGAAGAAGCAACAAGGGAGGGTGTTCCAGGGTCTTCAATGGATGTTGACGGGGATCGTTCATGGATCTATATTCCTTGTAAGAGATCTCACACAAAACATGCCACTCAAAAGATATCTTTTTACCCTATCATTGGTGTTTTCAACTACAGGTGATTGATGTACTTGATCGACCACATAGGCAATGACGTCCTTGGTGGAGGGGAGACGGGCAATCTTGCTTGTGCTGGGTTTCGGGACCTGGATGTTCAAATAGCGTTTATTAAGCACGCATTCAATTATGCCGCACCACCACTCACGAACGCAACGCCATCATCGACAAGTGGATGATACATACCTCGTTTGTTTCTTGTTCATCATCGCTACTATCGTCCAAGAGATTTCCTTCTTCGTCGTATTCAACCACAAGCTTTTCTCTCACTGGAATGACGCATGTTAGCGGATGAGCTCAATGAGCAATAGACAACAATGGTTGCTACCTTTGCGTGACAAATGCTTGGGTAATGAGGGGATGCCGGTTTGACGGTAGTTAAGGTAGATTTGCCTCACAGCTGTCGATGAGAGACCTGAGATACGTGCCACTGTTCTTTCAGAAGCTCCAGCCTGGAAGGCACCAACCACCAACCACCGCTTTGCTTCGTTGGAGTCGTTTTGTATTCGACCTCGAGGTGCCATTTGTGTGTCAATGAAAGAGATGCTTAAAAAAGTTGAGTGTTGATAGGCTGCTGCTTAAGCAGGATAGTGTTCTTGTGTGGGAAGAAGAAGCTAGAAAAGGAGAGACACTAATTCCCCGACTGCCTATGGACCACCTAAACCGGTTCCACTACCGAAAGGATCCTTTTGGGCCACGAGATCTCCACTATCTATCATCAAGAATACCTATATATAATATATACGCATACACATACACGCACATTCAATAAACGAGTTCCTTGGTTACATGTTGCTATGGCGTTGCTATGTAATCCAAAACGATAACAACCATGAATCCCTCGTATCGATGTTGGTAGTCATTAGTATCCTCGCGTCTTTTCATTCAATATGGCATGTTTATTATCTCTACAAGCAAACACTCATGATGCGTAAAATGGATGGGTCATTGTAAATGTGGTTTCTTTATGTTGAAAATCATTGATAAGGGTAACCTGCATTCATCGTTGTGAAGGCACCTGGAACAGACAAGGAGGACCACAACATGTAGGAACCCTGGATAGCGGGTTAGGTGATCGTTTTTGGTTGTGTTGTACGTGTATATATGTATGTGTGTGTGTTGTATGCAAATGAGCAGTGGGGAGGTGCAGTGTAACATTTCTCATGTGCATTTGCCAAGGTCAGCTGGGGGAGAAACGACTGAAATCTATGAGTGTCTATATCACCTTATTGGGTTTTGTGAGGTATTAAGTACAAGAAACGCCATGTTGCGCGCCAAAGAAAGGATGAAAGACTAGGAATAGTAATTATGAATGACACAATGGGCGGGATTGTATTGAAACAGAACTATGCGTGGACGATCTGGCTAATTAAGCTACAGCCTTGTTCCCTTCAAGTTGCCAAAAGAGAAAGCAATTTTGACTTTTGGTGTATGGTTTGTTGCACATGCGAATCCGACAACGCCCTCCCCCTCCCCCGAAAAATCCAATCAAGCAAACCGATAGATTGGTGTGCCAAAGTGTGTTCTCTTCTCTCTTTGTCCCCCAAATGAATTGCCACGTGCAGTGGAATTGTGAATGGGTCTGTGGGATTGTGATCATACTGCAGTCTTTATACAAAGCAAACGAATAATACATATGATGGAGGATGAAGGGGAGGGCTTAAAAATATAATGCATGCTATAATGATGGGAATGGGCTGCAAGTGGCCGGGACAATGAAATAATGACTGACACTACGCAAACATCTTTTTGAAGAAAAAAGGGGGATATACTGAATCGCTGATGATGGTGGTATTGTTGAGCCAACTACTTTTTCTTGGCATGTTCAATATGCTGACGCACAATAGCCTCTGCCAACTGTTGCATGGATGAACAATTGGAAGAACGCATAGGTGTTCTCCAACGTGGTGTCATTGATCCACCAGGTGCAGATCGACTACGTCTTCGATCATAAGGCGAATGACGTGCCATAGCCTTGAAGCGTTCTTGCTTGTAAGTCTCGTACATGGTTTGATCCAACTCGATTGCATCAACTAGCACGTCGAGTGAAAGACGTTGCTTGTCTTGATAGCTTGGCATTCTCAATGGGGCTGATACAGTGCGTGCATGGTTTCTCGTAGTAGCGGTTGTTGTTGTAGTGGTGGTAGGTTTGGTTGAGGTATCAATGGGCTTGCACAAGGATTGAAAAGATGGGAGGACCACCTTTTTCTTGATACCTCCACCCTTTGGCATCCATACATCCTGATTTTGCTCTTGCTTGATATACATACTACACACAATTGACTATGGCAAAGAAAAGAAAATGGAAAGGAAAAAGAATCGTGCTGAAATTAGATAGAGAGAGAAATCATGTAAGCTTTATAATCGCCCCTGAATTCCAGTGTATTTTGATCTGAACCGACAACCACTTACTACTTGCACATCATTACACTCACCGCCATACGGAGTCGTTCTTTTTCTATCTTTTGCACACACACACAGAGCAAGAGAGGAGAAGGGGTCTATGATGACTGCTCTTCATCATCAACCGCTGCCCCCCTTTTTAATGCGGATGGTGGTCAGTTGCATAAACATGTGCTATCGTTGTACATGATTTTCTATTATAGTACCCGGATGTCGTGTATGCAAGCATGGTAGCCATGCTGTATGTAGAGGATCCATGTTGTGCATTGCATTCAAGGAACACGACATGTACGGGCGCAATGAATATCATTGTTTGGTTAACGACCCTGTTTTTTGGGGAGAGAAGGGTGAAGATGGAATGCATTTGAGTGGCGTTGCCGTGATACACGTGTTGATTTTTACGAGCGAGATGGCTTTCGCATTAGGAGCCGCTCGTTAGTATAAAGACGTTGATGCTTGTATATTAAGGGAGCCTAATGCCTTTATTAGTACTTCCATCATAGCTCAAATGTCTCTTATGGGACACGTGAAACTGGAATCAAATCAAATAATCCTGTGATGTGTCAGTTTCATGAGAAAAATCTGGAAAGATATTAAAGATGAGATTCCTTATGTTGCCATAGCAGCAAAATACACCCTAATTCCTAATACGTGAGACCCCCACTAAGCAATCCATAGCTTATTGTTATCAAGCAAATGCATCTATTTATTACATCAAAGCTTGCTTATCGTGTAAGAAGCAAATGTGATGTATAAGACGTATGTAAGAGTGTCGGGTTTATCATGCCATCCCCTTACGCATAGCGATTGCTATTATAAAGCAGTGCTGATATGAGTGATTGCATCATGCACTTTATTGTCAAGAAATGGGTCTATCTCAATATCGATTAAGCAAGATTGTATCTTATCCTTGTGCATCCATCAATGGATCCAGTACATGGAGCGGCTGTAATGGTAGCCAATCATGGGCTTGTAAGCTGATTCGGATTTCCTGTTCTCGTAGTTTTTCGCAAGCTCTCTCTCACCTGTGCCTTTTTCTTCTTTGGATTCCACGCAAATACTCGTCGCAAGATTCTCCTCGCAGGTCAATTGCAAACTCGATTCTGACCATCCTATTACCGGTACTTGTCCTTTTCGTTGATTGCTTCTTGCGCTTCTCCTGGCTACAATGCACCCAACAAAAAGCCCTTGCAACACCCACATATTTCACATTCATACCCCCATGCACTCTCCCCTACTCGATCGGGCATTTTCAGTCGCATTGAGTCACAGCATACCCTGAAAGAAGCTTAATTGTATGATATGAAGGGCGTATTCTCATTGCTATTTCTTGTTTCTGATCTCTAGAACGGACGGCTTCCACAACGCACATCATCGAGTCCTTCAACATACACGATCTTGTCTGCTCGACTGCTTTTATCACGCTAGTGATCGACCTCTGCTTCATCTGGATCTTTATGCAAATGACAAAGTCGATGCATCTGTCCAAGAAACAACCGACAACCATGCCAACCGCTTCTGCCAACACAAACACCGTATCCAACAATAATAACATGACAACGCTCCCCACCACCGACAAGTCAAAGAAGAAGAAGAAGCCAACAAAAAAGGCGAATGACTTGGATGAGGATGCAGCTGTAGCAAACGTGCAACAACATCATCATCAGCAACAACAGCAGCATCCATCAACAACACACCATCAACACCATGCACATGCACCACCACCTCCACCACCGACAACAACAACAACAACAACGCATGATAACTTGTCCACATCATCCAAGCGAAAAAAGAAGAAAAAGACCACCTCATCCACATCACCTGCAAACAAGTCACCATCAAGAGCTGATCATCCATCAAGTGGTGCTGCTGCCGCTGCCGCTGTCGCTGCTGCCGCTACTTCATCTTCACCTCATTGGCTTCGTGGATCGAAAAGTACTGGAGATGCTTTTTGGTCAAGTATGAGCAACAGCGAAGAACGACAAAAGATTCGAGAATTCTGGTTACAATTGAGTGAGGATGAACGACGATCACTTGTCAAGGTGGAAAAGGAGGCTGTCTTGAAAAAGATGAAGGAACAGCAAAAGCATACATGCAATTGCTCGGTCTGTGGCAAAAAGCGGTAAGCATGTGGTGGTGGCATTGTGTATGTGGATTGTCAGCTGATAATTTTATTGTAGTACGGCCATTGAGGATGAGCTGGAAGTGTTATACGATGCATATTACGAGGAATTGGAACAGTACGCGAATCATCAACGACAAACTGGTATCTATGGCCCATCACCAGAACAAGCCGCAGCTGTGGCAGCAGTAACCGCTGTCGCCTACAACAGCAATGGTGCATTTGGAAATGGTTATGGTCCACCACATCACCTTGACGACGACGATGACGACGACGATGATGGAGATGATGAAGAGGAGGATTATGACGATGACGAAGATGACGAAGACGATGAAGATGAAGATGACGCTTCTGTACAGTCCGATGATATATCAGATGGTGATCACAGCTCTTGCGATGATGGTTCTACATCTTATCCAGCACAAATCAGCACTACCGCATCAAATAAGGATTATTTGAGCTTTGGCAACAGTCTTCAAGTCAAAGGTTAGATTCAAGACATCATTTCAATATCCTTTATGTATGCTCACTTTATGATTTAGGTGGCATATTGACAGTGGCTGACGATTTACTTCAAAATGATGGGCGAAAGTTCCTTGACATGATGGAGAAGTTGGCTGAACGACGACTACAAAAGGAAGAAGAAGTCAGCGAGCAAGCTGAGGAATATTTGGATGAAGTCGATGAGGACGACGATGAAGTTTACGAAGATGAGGAAGAAGAGGTATGTGGGATACAATGACTACTTTATGCAAGCCGTGATTACTCATGCATGTCATTGTTTATAGGACACGAGGACTGAAGAACAGCGCATGGAAGAAGGACGACGCATGTTCCAGATATTTGCTGCACGAATGTTTGAACAACGTGTACTTGCTGCTTATCGTGAAAAGGTCGCTCAAGAACGGCAACAGCGACTTCTTCAAGAGCTTGAGGAGGAAGATCGTCTTCGACAAGAACGTGAACTCAAGAAGCAAAGAGAAAAGGAACGCAAAAAGGATAAGAAGCGGTAAGTAAATGTCTATGGGTATCCTATAGCATTGATTACTAATGGCATGATGTATGTATTTATTAGACAATTGAAAAAGCAAAAGGAGGAAGAGCGATTGGCTTTGGAAGCTAAGCGTAAAGCTGAGGAGGAAGCAGCAAAAGCAGAGCGCGAAAGGAAGCTTGAGGAAGAACGGCAAAAGCGTGAGCAGGAACGACTTCGAAAGGAAGAAGAACGACGACAACGTGAAGAAGAGCGTATACGAAAGGAGGAAGATAAACGACGACGTTTGAAAGAAGAACGAGAACGCGCTGCCGAGAAAGAAAAGAAGCGAAAGGAGAAAGAGGAAAAGGAGCAACGGGAGCGTGAAGAACGAGAGCGTCTTGAGCGTGAAAAGAAGGAAGCCCTTGCAGCCAAGCGAAAAGCTGAAGAGGATGGACGACGTGCCAAAGAACAACAGGAAGAGCTTTTACGACAAGAAAAGGCAAAAGCTGATGTCAAAGCTGATACGACAAAGAGCTCAAGTCCATTACCTGCTACAGCAACAACAACAGCAACTCCTATGCGACCTGTTATTGACGAAGCTGCTCGACAAAAGACATTGATGGATGCTCTTGTTGGTGCCCCTGCTTCCTCTTCATCATCATCATCTCCGCAACCTTTACTCAACCGTACCAGCTTGCTTAGTGCGGGTATCGCCAATATTCCTCATTCAATGCCTGGTGATATCAAGCCGCTTGGTATGGATATGCCACAACCACCTCATCCTCTTTTCCCTCCACATCCATTTGCTGCTCGAGACATACCACCACCTATTGGTCCTGTAAGACAAGGTGAACCTGCTACAAGCCCTACTCGAGGATATGCACCACTTGGTGGTGGTGGTGGTGACCGAGGGATGTTACCTATTGGTCATGGTCGTCTTTCTTCATCGTTTGATGCTGGCCGCACTGTAGCACCACGACCAGGAGCACAAATTGCACCTATTGGACAACCTGTCAATGGCAGACGACCCTCTACTACAGCTGGCCCAGTTGGCAGCCCAATGGGTTCTCGAAATCATTGGCTCAATAGCGGCGCTGATGATGGTAGCAACAAACGGTCGCCACTGGCAACGAGTGATGCCGAGAATTCCTTCTTTTCAAATTTCCTATTTGGGGATCATGGCAGAGGTATGTATATATGGATTGTTGTTATCAGTCAATTCTAATATGCATTGTTTAGACATGTCTTTGATGCATCCAGAATTGGCAACTTCCAGGTTACAAGAGAGGCGATTTTCCCTTGAAAGTGCTGGCGTTGGCTGGACCAATGGTAAGATTTGCAGCATAGCAACCCTATTTTATTTGAACCTTACCTATGCAATTAGGCTGGACTGCATCAACAGCTTTATCGGATAATGTACACGGCAAGCTTTTCGGAGATGTTTTGGTAAAGCGAATATTACTTGATCTTTTTGCATTTTCCTTTTGACTGAGCATTTTGTATTAGTGCGATCGTACAAGTACAGTATTGGAACGAGCACGGACGGCATATCACAAGTTGGATGAAATCACTCAAGCCAAGTACTTTATGAGCCCGCCTCAATTTTATACACTTGTACAACTGCACCGTATGATGTGTGATATGTATTATGATACGCAAGTGGACATCCAAGAGCTATATGAGGCGATCAATACACCTGGTAGTGGGTTCCAATGTATCAGCCACGCACATCACGGTTATATTGTCCGCTATGATCGACCGTTAGGGATGTCCTCCAATTCACCTATTCATCCGCCACACTTGACATCACCTCCCCTAGCACCCCCACTTGCAACAGCAGTATCAGCATCGTCATCTACTACACAGCAACCTCCTACGCAGGCACAGCAACAATTGAAAGGAAATCAACAATTGTTTGGTAGTCTGTCATAAGGATGGGGAATAAATCATTTCATATCATTCATCATCATTGCGACACATGCAACCTATTCATAACGTCTTTTTCCTTCTTGTGATGTGGCTGGCAAAGTGGCTCTGATATAGCTAGCACTATATAGCATAGCTTTTATGCAGAAACCAGAAACCTATATCCTCTTTAGGTAAACAAGTGCAAAGCCCCTATCAAATAGCTCATCCAAGCCGTGTGTGTGTATGTGTGTGTGTGTGTGTGTGTGTGTGTGTGACAATAACTGTATTACATGTAAATGAGAAGATTCTACTTTTGTGTATCTGTAACAACCATAACACATGTGGCTTCATTGTCATCTCGATACGTAATCAACCTTCATACATCACTTGCCTTGTCTTCTATTCCGCCCATTCACCCACGTCATGCAGTATTATGCATTTACCGACATTGATGAATCATGTGAGCACATACGTATGCCAGGGTTGGCCTTGTCATTTTCGCCTTTTCCAAACAAAAATCCCTATCCGTGCATTAGGTTTCACAGCAGCACCACGCTTGGCACAAAGAGAGACATCTTTTAATTGTTACACGTATGAGTGGCACAGGTTGGTGATTTGGTTTGACTGTCCCTGAAAGAGTAAAAAGCAACTTTATTGGAACGGGATCTCTTTACAAGGGTGAAGCCAACCCTATTGAGAGGTTTTAATTGGGCAAAAGGCCAACCAACCTGACGAGCAAATCAGGAGACATCCGCCGATAAGAAATGCTTCTTGTTTTGTCTTCCCCATATAAAGTATTTGCAACGTATAAGGAGCTCTCTATCATCACACATTTTGCTGTTTGTAAATTTCAAAGGAGACTTGAAGACCGATGAGCCTCCTAACTTATGGCCAGACCTTGTTTTGCTTGGGCAAAAGATTTGCTTCGAGAATATGCAACTCCGAGGGACACTCACACACGTAGTTTGCATATATCAACAAGCTCTTTTCATAGATCTACTTTTTCCGTTTTACACAAAGATGACTTTTTTCTTCTTGCTATATGGTACCGGGGAATTACAAGTAAACTTGTCAGCAAGCGTTTGAGGCGCACGAGTGTGAGAATGGCAGTAATAGGCTAATTACAATCATCGGCGTTTGTGACGACGGACCTTTGTTAACTCGTCCCAAGCTCAAAATAGAAAAATCGGTCTTATAGTACCGAGTCGTGTAAAAAAAAAGGATGAGTGAACGATTTTCCTTGCTCCTCTTTCACTTTTTGTTTCAACGATGCGCATTACTTGGTCGTTTTGGGTTTTAGCAGCCCTCATATCGCTTCAAACATTGGTTACCGCCCAAATACTTGATCCTCTTCCATCAGCTAGCGACCCAGCACCTACTTCAGATTCTCCAAAACCAGAGCCATCATCCCAGGAACCAACACCTTCTCCTGACCCAAAGCCTGAACCTTCATCTTCAGCTCAACCTGAGCCATCGACAACACCAGCTCCTGAGCCATCTAGCAGCAATAACCCTACACCTCAGCCATCTAGCAGCTCTGCTCAACCACCACCACCTTCGTCATCTGATGTTCAACCTTCATCTTCTGCACAACCACCACCAAGCAGCAGCAACAACCCATCTCCATCTTCGTCAGCATCTCCTAGCACCCAAAGCAGCGATACACCTTCAAGCAGCGCATCTCAATCGGATTCCTCAAGCAGCTCTTCTAGCACAACTAGTTCATCTCATGAAGCTTCCTCTTCTGCTGCATCCAAGGATGATGGTGGTGATGATAACCATACTGGTGCCATTGCTGGTGGTGTTGTTGGCGGTGTTGGTATGTATTTAAACATGTAGCTATGGTTACCTTTTTTTTCTCACATTTATTTTCTGTATCAGTGGGCCTTGCATTGATTGGTGGTTTATTGGCTTGGATCAACCGAAAGGGTGGATGCACTTCTCGTAGCAAGCCCAAACGCCCTGCCGACTTTGAAGATTTTGGTTTGGCTGAAACGGACTTTCCTCATCATCGTTCACCACCCATGGCAGCTGCTAATGTTGCTCCTGGTATGGCAGCCGCTGGTGCTGCAGGTGCTGCAGGTGCGGGTGCTGCTGCTGCTATGGCATCGCCTACGATCCCACGTCTTAATGAGCAGGGCAACTACTATGATCCCTCAACCGCTGAATATGGTACCAATCGCATTTACTATGAACCACAATTGACTGGACCACCACAACCTGATTATCAATATCCACCTCACCATCAACAACAATACTACTATCCTCAGGAAGGTGGCTATTATGATGAACATGGTTATTATTATGAGAATGGAAGCACAGCGGTATCAAGCCCTGGTCAACAACAGGCCATGTATGATCCCGTTGCTGCTGGCGGCAACAGCGACTATTACAAACCTGATAGTGCTGATGGTGCAAGTGCTGCTGCTAAACCCAATCAGCGCATGTAAAGCAAGCTATCCTCCCTTTCTTTTCCCCATCATCCTCACACACAAGACGACATCTCAAACAACACACACACACACACACACACATCCTCTCCTCCTTTTTTTTGCCCTTCCCCTTTACTTCTTCTTTTTTCACTCGGACACATCATGTTGCGCAAGCTATTATAGAGAGAAAGCATCTTGTAGTCTGTGATTTTTTTGTACTGTATTAAGGACTATCATCATAATATCGACTATTACTCCATTGAATTGAATCGATACCACTTATGGATCATGCTGATTGTAGTATTGGGGTTAAGCGTGTGCTGTAGGATAGAGCAAGGATGGCAAGTGGTGGATGTAGACAAGGTGGTAGCAATACATGATATGCATCAGCATTAAGGAATCACGCGTGAGATGGTGGATAATGCAATAAACGACAAGCCGCATAATTGACGCACTAGGGATTCACGTAATCAAAGCCAAATACAGCGTGACAGCCTTGTCTAGTCTATAAATTCCTGAGGGTATTCTTAATCCGCTCATTGAACTACGTAGTAGTACCCTTCTTGCCAAAGAACAAAATAGGTAGCAAAAGATGGTTGGCCTATTTTTGAGATCCAAATTACCCATCATGTACAGCACGCTACTCAATTTCCCAATCCAAAGAGTGGTTGCTTCAACGTGGCTTATAGACTCATATATAACTTCTAATCAAGAATACTTTGACAAAGCCCACCATTGCTCGATTCTTCGCTGTGGCTCTCCGCTCTTTGAATGATAGGTAATATAATTCTCTGATCATGGTCATTGAAAGCATCTATTAATGTAAATGGCCCATCACGTGACCATGCTATGAAATGCTTTCTTCAAGCACCTTTCACAAAAAGCGGCTTGTAATAGCATGCAGATGGATGAGCGTAGGACATTTAGATACTTGATTATGTCAATTGAGAGGGCTTTCAATAAAGTTCAATTGTGGAGAGTGTTTGGGTGTAGAACCAATGGATAATCCATGGTACCTTTATTGTCAATAAGCATATTTTAGCTAAGGGGGTTAAGTGGGATTGTCTTTATAAGCAGCGTCCATTTTGACGTGAGAGAGTAGAACGAGGGAGTCGGGATGTCATTGTCAAAGAGAGGCAAAGTCCGGCCCGGACTCGATTTCGTCACCCGCATCGTCTGTTTTGTAGCTCTCAGCTCAATTGTTTTTTTGTTGAACCTCCACCCCCCTCCTCTACATTTTGCTGTTGGATCCCATCAACCCCCCCCACTCCACCACGACATGTTGCGGGTTCTTAAACACAACAACATTGCTGTTAACAGCACTCGCTCAGCTCTTTTAAACAACGGTACCATCGATTGTAACAGCATCCACTCGAAACAGTACAATTAACGAGAGCTTTAATGTAGCACGACGTACACTCTCGGCTACCGCCACGCGCCGTGAGCAAGTTGAAGTTTTCGTCGATGGAACTCCCGTTCAAATCGAAGCCGGCTCTGCAGTTATCCAAGCTTGTGAGGCTGCAGGAAAGGATGTGAGTGTCATTTTTCATATACATAAACACGCGCGCAAGTTGTTCTTCTTCTTCAGCTTACTCATCATCCATTCAACTCGTGTAGATTCCTCGTTTCTGTTATCACGGTATGTATCCTCGAGCATTGTGTTTATATCAAAAGTGGGGGTGATTAATAATACATCATAGACCGCCTTGCCGTTGCTGGTAACTGCCGTATGTGTTTGGTTGAGGTGGAACGTGCTCCTAAGCCTGTCGCATCGTGTGCATACCCTGTAATGCCTGGCATGAAGATCAAGACTGATACTCCCATGGTACACAAGGCTCGTGAAGGTGTTATGGAATTCCTGCTGTACAACCATCCTCTTGATTGTCCCATTTGTGACCAGGGTGGTGAATGTGATCTTCAAGATCAAAGCATGCGTTATGGTAGTGACCGTGGCCGTTTCCATGAACCCCGTGGCAAGCGTGCTGTTGAGGACAAGAACTTTGGCCCCTTGATCAAGACTGAGATGACTCGTTGTATTCAATGCACTCGTTGTGTTCGTTTCGCCAATGAAGTTGCTGGTGCCCCTGAACTTGGTACAAGCGGTCGTGGCAATGATATGCAAATCGGCACCTATATTGAACGCACCATCGACTCTGAAATGTCCGGCAACGTCATTGATTTGTGCCCTGTTGGTGCCTTGACCTCCAAGCCCTATCAAATGAAGGCTCGTCCTTGGGAACTCAAGAAGTATGAGACTATTGATGTATCGGATGCCATTGGCAGCAACATTCGCTTGGATACTCGTGGTGTGGAAGTTATGCGTATCTTGCCCCGCATGAACGATGAGATCAATGAGGAATGGATTTCTGACAAGACTCGTTTCTTCTATGATGGTCTTAAGGTTCAACGTCTTACCACTCCTTTGATGCGTGATGGTGATCGTTTCATTCCTGCTTCTTGGGAAAAGGCTCTTGAACGTGTTAGCCAAGAATTGAGCAAGGCTGAAGGCAACAGCGCTAAGGCTATCGCTGGTCACTTGGCTGATGCCGAATCTATGGTCGCTTTGAAGGATTTGTTCAACCGCATCGGCTCTGAAAACTTGGCTATTGATGCTCCCAACGGCTCCAAGCCCCTCGCTATCAATGCTGATTTCCGTTCCAACTATGTCTTGAACTCGACTATTGCTGGTGTTGAAGAAGCCGATGTCGTTTTGCTTGTTGGCACCAACCCTCGTCACGAAGCTCCCATCCTCAACACTCGTCTTCGTAAGGCTTACCTCCACAACAATCAAGACTTTGGTTTCATTGGTGAAGCTGCCGACCTCACTTATGACTATGCCCACATTGGTAACGATGCCAAGTCTATTGAATCTCTCTTGGATGGCTCGCATCCTTTCTCCAAGCGTCTCGCTGAAGCTAAGCGCCCCATGATCATTGTTGGCTCTGGTGTTGTTGAAAACAGCAAGGATGGCGAATACGTTCTCTCCAAGGTTTCAGAGCTTGCTGAGAAGCACAAGAACACCATCTTCCAAGATGAATGGAACGGTTTCAACGTCTTGCAGCGTGTAAGTAATAGTCAAGGATGGGAAAAGGGAAAAAGGAGATATGTTGATCACTTGGCAAGGGAAAACAATGGCAACAAGGAGTACTCATCAAGGGATTGTATGTGTTTTCTTTATTGTAGGCTGCCAGCAGAACCGCTGCATATGAGCTTGGCTTTGTTCCCTCATCCAAGGAGGCCGCATCGACACCTGCCAAGTTCTTGTACCTCTTGAACGCTGATGAGATCAATGCTGCTGATATTCCAAAGGATGCTTTCGTTGTCTACCAGGGTCATCATGGTGACGTTGGTGCTCAATATGCCGATGTCATTCTTCCTGGTTCAGCCTTCACTGAAAAGAACGCCACGTAAGTTTTTTTTTACCATTTGCTTGCTCCCTTTGTAAAGCCCCCAACTCTGTCACTATCAACTATCTTTTTTATTTGAATACTAATGTATGATTTCTTCACTTCCCATAGTTACATGAACACCGAAGGCCGTACACAAATCACCCGTGCTGGTGTCAATCCTCCCGCAGCTGCCCGTGAAGATTGGAAGATTATTCGTGCACTTTCCGAATTGACTGGCAAGACTTTGCCTTATGATGACCTCCCAGCTGTCAGAGCTCGTCTCTCTGAAATCTCACCTGCTCTTACTCGATACGACGTTGTTGAAACTCCCAGCATGCATGAACTCGGTCTCGGCTCATTGAAGAAGTCCGGTGTCAAGCCCTCTGGTGAAGTTTTGTCTTCTGTCATCAAGAACTTTTATCAAACCGATGCCATCTCTCGTGCCTCAAGCACAATGGCCAAATGTTCCAAGGTGTTTGTTCAAGGCAAAGATGTAGATGACGCTCTTGAAAGAGCACACGCTTAGAGATTATAATTTTTTTGTCGCTTAAAATGGCTTTCAGTTTTTTTCGTTTCTGTCACTATTCGTGTGTGTGTATGTGTGTGTTTGGATTCTGGAGGGAGAGCAAATTGACGGAGATAGGTGAATGAGCTTAACCCATTTTGAACGACGCAGGGACCGCACGCATGGTAGATGTGCATGGCGATGACAAGTAATGCTAAATACCCACGTTGAGTCTTAACTTGGTTGCATCATTTCCGAGATTGGGGTGAGCGTATTTTATAAAGTCTCCCTTATTGAGCGCGCGAGCAGCTATCGTTCAATTACCCCTACCCTGCTTTAGCTCGCTTGTCCTTTCCCCAAATTGGTCTTGTACCCCATTCCCGAGAAATCGGTTATCTCTCAATGGTAAATACGTCTCCTAAGTATGTGAAATTGGGGGTCTGTAAAAAGTCAAAAGACAAATAAAGCACGCCCCTTTATTGCACGCATAATCGCACAATGGATGTTGCGTCCTTTCTCTCTGTCTACAATATACACAGTAGGGAAGCACATACATACATACATATACTGATCTTACCACTCTATCTGTATTATGCATCTCTTTTATGCAGCTACTCCTCTCCACGCGACGTATTCTCTTATAGGGTGCAATAAGATAAGATCTCCATGGCCATTGTAATGGATACATTACCCATTCAATGGATCTCTTTCTTTTGCCCCTTGCACTCCTCCAATGCTTAAACGTAAATGAACATGGAACATAATGGATCAGCGACCTGCAGTGTCACATTCTTGCAATTCTTCCCCTTTCTTTTATCTCTGCCAGTGCTTATTATCACTTAGTTTATGGTATACTTGTCACTTCTTATTCCAAAAATGCTCCCCCACTTTGCCCCCCACTCACTTGCCCCCTTGTATAACTTGAAGCCACATCTGATTCGCTCATCATCATGTATATACGTCGCGTAGATGGATCGATAGATTTGATGACGGTAAAGGGGCTTTTGATGCGACGTGATGTACATCCATCCCTGATTCAATGGTACAATGACATGTTGTCCCACTCTCGATATAAAAAACGACGTATTTTGTTTCCCTTTTGAACTTTACATTTGGCATATTATTCGACTTTTTTTTTGCTCTACTACTTTAATCGTCTTCCATCACCAGCTGATAACTACTACCTGTATAATCCCCACTAAACAAAACATTATGTACAGCCCCATGTATGCAACATTCTCCATTGGTAGCAGTGGCAGTAGCGATAGCAACGCAAGCACACCTCCTTCTCATATGACTACACCCCATGATACGTATTGGATGGATGCATCGTCATACTCACCTCTCCAAGATTACATGCAACCACCACCACCACAACAACCCGAATGCTACCAATATCCTGCTTCTTCATATGGATCTGCAGTCGATACGGGAGCAACAACCGCGTTTGATATGCTGGAATTCGGTGCCAGTGGTCTTGATTGTTTTTACAATGATGCATCGTCACCACCACCACCATATGAATTAACTCTTCAAGCAACGTCTTCATTGTATATGGAGCCTAACAACGTGCCAATCACCACCACAACAACTACTACAGAGACCACGGTGCGTCCACTTTCGCCTCTATCACCGCCTCTGCCATCTTCAACATCCACTATGCAGATGGACTACAGCAATTGGTTTGTGCCACCGCCGCCATCACAATCATCATTGTCTTTGCAATCAAACCAAGAAATTGTGATTCCTCAGCAACCACCCTCAAAGCGTAAATCATCATCCATCAGCTCTCAGGGAAGTTCAAGCGTGAATGGTGATATTCGACCTTACGCGTGTTCAGCTTGTCCACGTGCCTTTGCGCGAAAACACGATTTGCAACGCCATATTCGCGTCCATACAGGCGACAAACCCTATGTATGCCTTTGTTGCAAGAAGGCTTTTGCACGCACAGATGCACTAAAACGACATTTACGTATGGAAGACACTTGTCGCATGAGCCCGGAAGTGCAAGCCATGAAGTGTGCAGGAAAGCGTCGATACCGAAACCTATGAGCATCCTCATGTCAATTATTATTGTCCCTCTATTTGGCGGTTTATTATTATCCACCTACACACACGCACATTCGCACAATCAACACATACACAATCAAACAACCATCAATGTCCCCTTTGCCTTTGATCCCCTGAAATTCTCTTCCCCGCGCACTCCTTCCTTTGTGTAGAAAAAAAAGTAGACTGCTATATTCACTTACTGGCCCATCATCGCACACACATACACTCCAACTCCTATTCTTCCCGCTTCAAGACATCTCATATACAAAGATGATGCTCACCCACACACATACATATGACATACAGCTCATCAAGCCTTATCTATCCCCCTACTCCATTATGTGATTATGATCCCGTGCTCGCTTTCAATCAATCATCTCTTTCTTATTTTTCCCCTTCTCCCTTTGGGTCTTTGTTTATGCATGGATAACGATAATATAAAAGCTTTTCCTTTCTAGTACGCAATTCAAGGAGGTGTGAGTGATTTTGGGGGTGGGGGATAAGAAGCAAAGGATATTTTAGCAATGGAGGATTGTTGCCTTATTCAAAGTATGCCCGTGTATATTAAACCAAGATAATGTGGATCGCACCATAAGGCGTTGATTGCTGTGGCTTGACCTTTTGTTGGGTTGCAAGTACTAATGATGTAACAACGCCGTCATATTAAGACATGCCATCATGATGGATACAAGTGAAATGTCATAACGTACATACCAAGCACATTGTAAAAGGATCGTGCCACATGTGACTTTGTGCTGGACGACACGAGAAGATCCGCCAATGCAACCCGGTCCTGATTTTGAGCAAAGAGACGTGCATAGCTTTAGAGTATTCGGCAGCAGCAGTAATATATGTGGGTAAGTATTCGCATTAACCATGATCAACCTTGCATGACTCCCTAATTCTTTGTTCTTGTTTTCTCACCTCAAAAGTGCATCCGGATCATCGTCATGCATGCTTCCAACATTGATATCATCCAAGAATAGATCATCGTCAATATCTGTCCAATGTTCACCAGAAGAAGAATCTGTTAAAAGAGATAAGGGGAGTTAATAAGGGAGAGAAAGACACACACACGCACTCGCATTTTTCATCAATCGAGTATACACACATACTTTGACCACTACTGCCACTTGCGGCAGCACCAGCACCAAGACCCGAGGTGATAGTAGCATCAGGGACCACAGGGATACCATCCATCCAATCATTGACCGAAATGTTTCCTGAAGATGAAAAGAGCTGCCCAGAGCTAACGCTCATGCCACCTTGTCTCGACCCTCTTCTAGCCATTTCGACTTCGCGAGGTGCCTCCGTCTACATAAATTATGCATAGACTTTAGCTTTATTGCCATATCGCACTCCCCATCGTTATCCCCTATTTCATTTGTCACTTACCGAAAGTCCACGCCATGTTGGTCGTTGCCATATGATATGCGATCCTGGAATACCATGCACTAAAGCACACATGTTGGTAAATCATATATCAAGGCACCTTGTTTTCTTTTTTACCTGGTACAAGTGGTGCCAGCAATGACGTAGAAGATGTTCCACGCTATGATGTGGTATAATAGAGATGAATAAGTGACATCGTAAACCGGTCTTGTATCATGAAATGGATGATAAAACATACCTTACGAGACGTTTGCATTGGTCTTGTAGTTGTAATATCAGCCGTCCGCCCATAAAAAGTGGCAGGCAAGATGGTCACTGGATCCGTGGTAGCAATACGAGTTGAGCGTCGGCGACGTTGGCGAGGACGACGATGTTGAATCGACTGCATTTGACTGCTGGTATCACTGGCGGTAGGTGATAAAGGCACAATCTGTGAATAGCCTTGAGTGTCTGTTTCAGATACTGCATCCTCCGGCACGATTGCAACGTCGGCGTTGATGTCATTTCTCTGCATGGGATCGAAGCCATAGTTGAAGTCATCACTAAAAGAGGATACTAAATGATGGATCATAGCACAATATAATATAGGAAGACTTACTCAAAAAACATGTCATCGTAAACGTCTGATAGCATCGGCGCGTTTTCTTGCTCTTCTCGATTCTCCACTTCCATTGCAAGTACTTGATCTTGATCCTCTTCTTGATAGCCATCTTGCTGTTGTTCTTCGATCTGGGAGCTTATTCTTGCGTCTTCCAAAAGATGATCCGTCAAATCAATGGGTTCCTATAATCGAAAACGTATGAGCTGGATCTTGTTGGATTTCCTTTTGGCATAATAATAATCACCCAGTCAGCATCAAAGTCAAGCTGTAAGTCTTCAAGCTCTGTCAGCGTGATGTTTCGTGCCCTTGTAGATCATGTTATCAGTCATCGTTCAGCCCATTGCTATTGTGGAGATAAACAATCACATACTTGGCACGTGGTACATGCATGTCAATTTCTGGATCTGCCACTTTGCCTCCCAAATCGAACCGCAATCGAGACCAAAGCTGCATCACTTCAGCTATGTACACAGAAAACAGAAAATGAATGAGCCATCCAAGATCACCCTCTTGTGTGCAAATCCCCCCATGCGTACTATAAACCAGCGAAGATTGCTGCTGCATGATCTTGACAATACCAAGCAAAAGACCCCCAGAGACCACCAAGCCCAAAGGTTTGTCCAAAAGATACCCACTGCACTCATTCATTCAACGTCAAATTCCCTTCATTGTCCTTTCTCGTATGTATGTACATACCACACGGCTGATACATCAATACTGGAAAGATCTCGCTTTGTCAGGTGTTTGGTACGCATTGTTCGGGTCCCAAGTGATCCAGCACGCCTGGTAATAATATAATGTATGCAACATGAACACAACATGATCATGCATAAAGTAGTCAGCAAAATGCTTGCCATATGGTCAATAGCTCTTGACGATCCCTTGGAAGATTCAACATGATAAAAGTGCGGATGAAGAGAGAGAGAGAGAGAGAGAGACAAAGCAAAGAAATTGGATGAAACAGTGTTCTTATTGGTATAATATCAGCTGTCGAGATCAATGAGATTGCTATTTTGTTGCTCCCGCTCGCGTTTGATTGCATCAATCTATGAAAAGCACAATTAGATGAGGGATAAATACATACAACACTTGCAAATATTGCTGTGCTTACCTGCTTTTGCAAAGCGATCGCCTTATCTTCTAGAACTTGCGTAGCAGGGCATATGACATTGTCTACCAAATGCACAATCGATTGGCCGTATACACCCGTATTATGCAGCTGTGTCATCATCTCCGGTAAGGTGGTAGTGCTGTGAAATTCACAGTATAAGCGTCGTGTGTATACCATATTTACGCATCCCAACTTTGATGCTTACCCATCTTTGCTGTTCTCGTATTGTATCCGCTTGGTCGCCATTTCATATTCCTTTTTGTGCTCTTGATACATGATCCGTGGTAATGATAAGAAGGTCTCGCGCAGGAAAGGTGACACCGAAGGCTCAGGCACGACTTCAATAGGCACATTGGCGCGTTTGATTCTACGATCCATGGTCATTGATTGATTTCCAATGGTTTGTAGTTGCTGTAAACTTACTGGCCATTTTCATCCTCTTCCGCCTGAAAGCATGTGATTTGTACTCGTTGCATCTGCAAAGCCATATCCATGCGTTACAACTTGATAAACCACATCCACATTGATCACCCCCTCCTTACCATATCCGATCTTTCATCAAAACAAGAGATGATGAGACCAAGAAAATGGCTGTCCATATACTGGTAGGATTGCTGCGTTCGTAGATCTACACCCTAACAATAAGAAGAGCCATCCCAAGTATCCACACACATGCACACGAACATACCAACATGAGATGGGAACACCGTAATATGTGGATGACTATGATACTGATAACATTGATTAGCCTTGTATCGAAGCATGTCTTATTCAATGACAACATACCCATCCAATAACACACATTGTTCGATCCATCTTTTTGCTCAATTCCTAATAATATCGCATGTAAGGTTTGTATCGGCATACCAATCCAAGTATAAGGGGAATAGGTACCTCGGCAGCACAAGCAGCAAGATGCAGTTGCTCTGGTGCAATCTCGACCCGATCCTTTCGTTTGTCCGATCGTGTTAACAAAGAGACAGCATGAATGCGTGCCAATGCCCGAGACGCCATGAATGGATTGGTGTTCTTCAAGCCCTGTTTCCAGTCTCCATTAGAAGCACTTTTCGACTGTGGGATCCACCAACACTTGCCTGCCATTCACCGATCAACATGCCGATAATCTCTTCCTACGTGATGGGAGTTAGTATTCCAAAAGTATGAGGCAAGTGTGTGTGTGTGGTATGCATACCTTTTCAGTGGAAAGTGCATGGGCAAGCATGATTTGATAAACACTTGCAGGTATCTCGACTTTCATCAACATGGTTGTGGAGTGGACGATCAAGAAAGGAAACGACAAAGGAAGGACCTGTGGAACGGAATGGCCCCGCATAAATACTACTCTTGGAGCGAGATCACAGGCTTGTGTAACACATCCATTCACTGCCATGTCCTCAACATAGAGCGTAGACCACTTTAAATAAAAGGATCTAGATGGAATATGAATGATGCTTTGGGTACCTGGTGCATGTAACTTGTTGAGAGCGTAATAGTGTAAGCGTTTATGATGAAAGCATATGGTATGTTGGTGATGATGGGTACCACATAAAGATCCTGCAATTTGGATCTTCCAATCAATCCATGACATACTTTGAAGATAGCGATAGAGGTATTAATTAGCGAGGAGTCATGTTGGCACACTCTTTTGATGCTATTGAGCAAGTTGATAATGAGTCCATTGATGATGCGATGCGACTATTGTGATAAATGAGCAACCCATTTTTGATCGAGGATGACATGAAGGATTAGGCACCTGGGAAGAGGCCATTGACCACAATATGGATTATGATGCATAAATTCAAGTATGGCTTTTATTTGACAGGGATTCAGGACTAGTTTATTGGCAGCTGGGTAGTACCATAGCATATCAGTTTCCTATTGGATGTGTGGTATCCACGCACACGAAAACTGCCGACTGTCAACCGTTGGAGTAGTAACTTGGAAACAGCACCCACAACACACCTATCCAAAATGCCGATTGTAAGAGAAACCAAACCCTTCGAGGAAAAAACTGCTCGTTAACACTGGAAGGAAAAACGACATGACGATAGGGATTGAAAAAGGAGGATCACTTGCAGCTTATGGATCAGCCTGACTGGTACAGCAATGCTCAAAACTACTGGACAAGCGTGTCGCCCACCGTCAATGGAATGCTTGGAGGATTTGCCGCTGTCGATCCCATAGAAACCAGGAGCTCACTCAACTTTGTCCGGGATGAGTTGAAGGGTACAGGCTATGCATGCGACTGTGGAGCAGGTATTGGACGTGTTACCAAGAACTTTTTGTTGCGCGTGCCATTTGATAAGGTGGATTTGGTCGAGCAAGCACCCAACTTTGTCGAACAAGCCAAGAGTGAATATCTCAAGGACGAGATAGAGCAAGGACGCGTAGGCGATGTCAAGTGTCAAGGTTTGCAGGATTTTGTTCCCGAACATGGCAAATATGATTTAATCTGGTGTCAATGGGTACTCGGCCATTTGACTGATGGTAACTAAAGATGGAGCAATGACATCCCCATTCATAGGCTTATCATTGGCTTGTAGATGATTTGGTTGCTTTCTTTAAGCGTTGTATCAAGGGTCTCACACCTAATGGCTTGATTGGTATCAAGGAGAATAACTCATCCAAGGACTACGTCGTTGATGAAGAAGATAGCAGCGTTACTAGGTAAGATGATCGATAAGATCATGAATCCAAGGAAGATTGTCTTCTTTGTTAACGAGAGCAACAATAGACCCAATGACGCCCTTAAGAAGATCTTTGAAACAGCTGGATTGCAAGTCATCAAAGAGGATGTGCAAAAAGGACTTCCTGCAGGTTTATTTACGGTTAGAATGTAAGCATACATACATACAATAATTGATGGGGGTGGATATGATAATTGATAATGTATATGTTAGGTACTTGTTGAAGCCAATGTAGGAGGAGGAAGGAACATCTTAATTGAGGAGAGCATGGGTGCATTGTCCACATCTAATTATGCAAGGAGTAGAACGCATGATTGAGAGACCACAATAGCATTTCGTATGAGCATCTTTTTAACTCGCATATTAAACATTCATCATCATCATCATCTCCTTCCCTCTCTCTCTCTCTTTATCTTTCACCATCATCTCCTTTTTCTCCATCCATTTGATACGAACAATATTGCAACGACTGAGTAAAACTTTAATACGTCAATGGAAAGCACTTTATTTCTCCTATAAAAGATTCAGGATACACACAATGAGCACATGGCTGGAATTCAGGGGGGGGGACTTGATTTCAACTTACGGGAATTTCGACCTCGCCAGCATCGATGGCATCGCACAAATCTTTGGGGCTTTGACCGTCAACAGTGCAACCAACAGAGTTGGCAGTACCAAGGATCTCCTTGACAGTACCCTTGAGCTCACGAGCGAAAGACTTGTAACGCATGGTGCGGGCAATCTCAATGATCTCATCAAGAGGGATGTTGCCAGTGTGCTTGACTATAGTAAGATGATACATGTACGCGTGAGTTACGGTCTCCATGGATACCGATAAAATGACATCCAAACTCACTGTTCTTGTCTTTCTTGCGATCACGTGGGGGCTCCTTCAAAGCCTTGATGACCAAAGAGGAAGCAGAAGGAACAACGGCAACTTGAGCTTGACGGTTTTGGATGGTCAATTGGATAGTGACGCGCAGACCCTTCCAGTCCTTGGTGTTCTTCATGATATCTTCGCCAACCTTCTTGGGAGACAAACCAAGAGGACCGATCTTGGGGGCTACATTGAAATGAAAATGAGTACAAGAGCACGAGCATAGACGTTGTTGTTTACATACCGAGAGCTGAGGAAGCAGCCAATTCACCACCTGAAATGAAAGCATGAGCATGTTAAGCAGTAGTAGTAGAAGAGTGACATTGAATGAGACATACCGGTGGCGCGCAAGTAGATGATCTTCACCTCATTGGGGTCGAATTTAGGAGGCATCTAATGGAATGAATGATGGATGAATGAGATGGATGGATGGATAGATAGATGAATGCATCATTGGATGTGATAATATACCGTGCTATATGGGTCGTGCGGAAAGGAAGATCCATCGTTGGGCACTCCACACCTCTTGACAAATGCTTCCTCCGAGCGGTCTCAGAAATTTACATTCACACTTGAATCAAGTTATATATAGACTACTACTCATTTATTCCAAGAGGCTTACTACCAATCTAATCTTCTAGAACAGCCTGCTTCAAATACTGCACGTAATAAATCTTGAATAACTTTATCTTGTAATACGGATTGATCAATGATTTCCCTGCAGTGGCATGGGGTGACACGGCCATACCAAATAACCCGTCGGCCTTGATGTGTGTAGATCACTAGGTTGCCTGCGAATGCATGGCTGTAATGACTTGTGGATGAATACATATATCATTTATGCATCCATTTCTCTTATAGTTACCCTCCTAAATGGCTAACCAGGGCCACTTTGGCATCTACATTTGTCTTTGAAATAGCATCGTCAAGGGCCTTTTTCAGCATAGGTCCAATAGTCCCACAACGACGGTCTTTACGACCATGACCACAAACGAATAGCAAGTTGGTATATGGATTTGGATGCACTTGAAAAGATTCTGCATTGGGACGATGATATATAAAATCAAGCAAAGCGCGTGCTCTACGCGTGGTGACGTTGGCGATAACAACATTGTCCGGCATCAATAAGACGTCATGAGCCGATCGACGAGTGGAAAAATGAGATGGCAGCTCGGTATTGGTTATCAAAATGCGTTGATATTCAGTGTTGGTATCGTAAGGTGATTGAAATCGATTGGCTTCGGTACGCTTCCACACCTTTTTACGTTCATGGATGATCTCCACAAGCGCCTGTGCTAGTCCTTCATCCTCAATATGAGCAGGCCAATCAGCCTTGCCAGTGCAAATAATAAGATGGATCGCATAGCCTGGTACCGTATTGTGCAATGAACGTGATTGGTCAATACCAAGCTCAGTGGATGGCACCACTGCAGGATGCAAGGCACAAGGCACACTACACCCAGCACAGCTTTCTGTAGCAGGAATGATTTCTGGTAAAGATAGGGTCTTGAAAGGAGGAAGACATACAGCGGTACAATCATCTGGACATGCGCATGGTGGCGTGCTGCTGGTGATGCTCAAGCTGTTGACACACCGTGAAAACCACTCCATGGCGGCGGCACATTATCTGGTCGTGGTAAAGGAAGCGTGGAAAACAAAAAGTACATTCGTGCCACTCAAAAGAAACCACGCTTTTATATAGCGCCGTTTGAAAAAAAAGTTGCCTCGTCTCATTGGCGTTCATCAGGCCAAAGCTGTTGTAATCAAGAAACTCCACACATCTCTTCATTGTTACCTCCTCTACAAGCTGAAGACTTGATTTCTTTTTCTCATTTCTTCTTTATAGTGCTCATGTTGATTCTACTAATGATCGATAATGCAATCCTTCGCACGAGTAACTCGATCCAGATATCACAAGCGATCACTGCTGATAGGCCACATGACGCATCCACCCACATACATACACCAATCCCCATTCTCAAAATTTTTGGGTGATAAAAAGGGACAATGCATATTCCAGGAACATTCTTATTAGCACCAAAAATTTTTGCCACCTGATACGATGATGTACGTATCACCATCATCAGTGATGATGATCTTGATCTTCATGTTGCAACCATGTTTAGTAGGATTAACAGCCGTCGAACCCCTTCCAGGTAACATCGACCCTCCCTTTATTGTATCAAACGAGTAATGTGCTCTCCTTTCCTTTGTAAGCCAATGACCTATCCTCTGCACCAAAAATCCCAGCATTCAAACAGCAGCGTCATTGTCGATAGGCGATAAACCGATTGAATCGCTCTCTTTTGCGTAAGTCGACAAAGGCGCTTGTACACCAATTTGGGAAGCTTCGATCTTCTGGGTGCAAAGGGTGAATGGCTGTACGCGAGCTGACGCTTGATGCGTGATGGCGAATCATAAGCAATCGGATCAAATTATGCGGTTGGTCGATGATGATGGTGGTTGACAGGTTGCACAAAGGATGATGATATAGTAGCAGCTGCCATGGATACACCGATCGTTCAGGACGATAGCATCAAGGTCAAGTTGACAATGAATACATATGAACAAAGACCCCCTTTTTTTCACGCGTTGTATAATACCCATATCCTTCCATCCAATGTACCAAACCAATATCCAAATTCATATATCCATGGAAAATCGTATGTATTGAAGCAAGTTGCTACACGTAAATAAAGCTGCTTCTATATAATGTATATCTGCTGTGAACGTGAAGAGGCTGTAAGACATGTTGCTGCAGGTAAAAAATGCTGTTTGAGACCATGGCGTAAAGGCCCTGCTAATAACAGCTGCTAGAATGAACGCTGTTACGATTGGTTGTGGCAGATGAGTATGTAAGAGCGTGCGTAGCATCAAGAAGAGGCGTGTGTTGTAGAAGAGTGACAAGAAGGGCGCGTGGACGTCATGAACTTGCCATTAACTCAAAGGCCATGGGATCAAGAGAGTTGTAGAATTGACATGATGGGCTGAAGCAGGACAATCGTTCGCAGGCTGTAGTTGTACTTGAATGGACCAACAGATGAGAATGGGAGGAAGAGGGAAGTGGAAATTTAAGTAGGCTGTGCTGTTGGACACCTCTTGTATAAATCCATGAACACTGTAATTGATCCATAACCTTGAGATTGCCCATCTCGAACCTGAAACTTTCACACAAGATGGTCTTGGACATGCTGATCACGTTGTTCTAAAAAATACCTCATGTTTCATTTGAAAATTTGGAATGGGAGGGTGCAGTGTGGGTTTACTATGTAAATCGGAAACGGAGGACAGCGCCGATTCATGATTTATCGAAATACTGTGTATTACCTTGGGATTCCCCATTTCGTACTTGAAACTTTGTCAGGAGGTTCGCTGGAACATGCTGATCACCTTCATTCATTTAAAAATCGTAGGCTTCATTGTGAAGATTTAAAATGCGGGGGCGGTCCAAATGGTGGATGACACGAACAAAAGAGCGGACGGCCCACCGCCCCGAAGTTGCCCACCTCCAAGTTGAAAATTGATCAGAAGGGTGCTCTCGAGCATGCTGATCAATTTGTTCCAATAAAGACTCCATGTTCATTATCACGATTTTGAATGGGAGCGTCCCAAAGTTGGAGAGACGGAGACATTCGCAGGGTCTGCGATTCAAGAATTGACATGTTTGCTGTTCCAGCGTAGCTCAGCCAAATCAGCTCGGATCAAGAAAGTTGAATGATGGAAATGTTGGGCTGGAGCAGGAGAATCGTTCCCATGCAGTGGATTCGAAAAAAGATGGAATGGGGAGGAAGGGGTTGTTAGCTGGCATTTTATGAACTATTATCACAGCATGTATTATCATGCATTGATCCTTTCCAGCACCACCCAATGAGCTGTGTTACACAAAGAAGTCCCTCTGCATCTCCGCTCTGTCAGGGTCTAGTTGATTGACAATGAACAAAGACCATCTTTTGTATTGCATCACGCTTACAAACATAAAGATGCCTGTATCTCCGAACTTTACAATCAAACATGGGGTTTTTATTAGACAATGTGCTCGGCTTGGCCAACTGCACCTTGTGTGAAAGTTTCACGATCAAGCTTGCCAATCCCAGATTTCGCAATGTCGCCACCAGCCAAACTGGGGTCGACCTCTTCGACGACGACCAAAAAGCACGCGCAGGCTAGACCCCCCCCCCCCCGATGAACGAAACTTTCACAAGGCGGAGTGCTCAACCACCTTATCGCCGTCTCGTGTCGAGGACCTGCTCGTAGCAACTCAACCTTCTGCATATTCGTGAAGCATGGAAGGATGATACTGTATACTATTGACTATCCCGTACATTGCGAGCTAACGACCATTTCCTCACAATCGACAATGTTGCCCATACGCAAACCGGAACGATTCTCCTGCTTTCGAGCACATTTCCATGATTGGATTATGTGATCGAGTTGATTTAGCTGAGATACAGCAAAGAATTACATCAATCCGCATCAACCATACTCATGTTGCTCAACTGAAGTAACGCTTGAGCGTAGCTCAGCCAAATCGCTCGAATCAACATAATCAATCGCGTGTAGATACCTGAAGCAGGGCATCGTTCCACCAATAGAATGGGCAATGCCGATTGGCAATAATGACAACTCACCAATAGTATTATCAATAGTATGCAATCCTCCTTCATGCTTCTAGTCTTCAAAGGCGTAGTTAACGTCCCTCTTTGCTCTGTAAATTCAACGACGAACAAAGACCGCTTGTCATGTAGCATCCGCACAACATAAGAACGCCCACTATCTCCGATTCATTAAACGTAGGGTTTTTATTACAGCAATGAGCAATACGTAATAACTGGATTATGGGTTCAAGATACAGGCATCTTATGTTTGTGACTCACGATGCAATACAAAAGATGATCTTTGTTCATTGTCAATCAACTAGACCCTGGCAGAGCAAAAGACGCAGAGGGACCTCTTTGTGTAACTCAGCTACTTTGCATGACTAGAAGCATGGAAGGATGATACTGTATACTATTGACAATATCCCGTACATTGCGAGCTAACAGCCATTTCCTCACAATCGGCAATGTTGCCCATACTATGACAGTGGAACGATTCTCCTGCTTCAGGCATTCATTTCCATGATTGGATTATGTTGATCCGAGTTGATTTGGCTGAGATACAGCCAAAGAGGATTACATCAATCCACACATCTAACCATGCTCTATGGTACTCCAACTGAGGTAACCTTGTATGAGCGTAGCTCAGCCGTCAACTCGGATCAACATAATCCAATCAGCGAAATGAATACCCCGGCGAAATATCGTTCCACTGTCATAGAATGGGCAACATTGCCGATTGTGAGAAAATGGCTGTTAACTCGCAACGTATGGGGTATTGTCAATAGTATACAGTATCATCCTTCCATGCTTCTAGTCATGCAAAGTAGCTGAGTTACACAAACACGTCCCTCTGCATCTTTTGCTCTGCCAGGGTCCACCAACTTGACAATGAACAAAGACCACTTGTCATATAGCATCACGCACACAACATAAAGACGCCCATATCTCAGGATTTCACAATCAAACGTGGGGTTTTTATTACAGCAATGGGCTTGGCTTGGCCAACAGCACCTTGTGTGAAAGTTTCACGTTCAATGTCGCAACTAGCCCAAAAAGTATTTTTTTGGTCGTCGTCGCCGAAGAGGTCGACCCCCAGATCCAGTTTGGCTGGTGGCGACATTGCGAATTCTGGGAATGGCCACAATGGACTTCATACTTTGACACAAGATCCCTTTCACCCCGGCGAGTAACCTTGTTCTATTAAAGACCCCACGTTTCATTGTGAAATCTTGAGATATGACTGTCTTTATGTTTTTACTATGCTGTAAGCGTAATGCTATATGAAGAGTGGACTTTGTTCATTGTGAAGTAGCTAGACTCAGATACAACCAAAGATGCAGAGGGGTGTGTTTGGGTAACACAGCTGATTTGCAGGATTGGAAGGGTCCATGTGTGATACTTTATGTCGGATCATGAATTGCGAGTTAACAGCCATTTCCTCAGAACCGGCACTGTTGTCGATTCTATGACATGGGAAGAATGCTCCTGCTCCAGATATTCATTTCCATGATTCTATTGCCTTGATCCGAGCCGATTTGGCTGAGCAGCGGGCAAAGAGGGAATACATACGGTTTAGTTAGGTGACAATGGTTCTTGTGTGTTGCGTGGATTTGGGATGGTGCGCTTGTCGTTCACAGGTAAAAGATAAAGAGATACCGCTAGGTCATTTAGAAAGACACGGCCCCATAATAGCGTTTTTCAATCAAGTATTAAAACATGCCTATGTCGATCCAGCAGCAGCTGCACCTAACAATGAATCATATGTATGCGCGATCATTTTTGAGATGTTTTGCAGCTTTTGCATGTCATTGATCTATATTTATTCACAGCGTGTTTTACATGTTTGCTTGTGATGATGGCCTATGTATGTAGAAAGTGAACACTTTTAAGTATGAGGTTCATGATGTCACAAAGGAGAACAAGCACTCGTTGGAATTGTTGGTATTCAATCACAGCACCACAATGTGTCAAATCATCGTGGCACATATTATGCGTACGACGCAGCGTCTTAATCATTGGTGCTCCGAGACTTTACATGATGGACGGCATATTGTTTTTCACGTTGCTCGGCATGTTCATGCGTGTAACCTCGTGGGGCAAGTTGAGGAAATGAATCAGTGAGCCGCCATGATTGAATGACGTTGAAGACCCACCAAATAGGTTAAGGTATGGTTGCAAGGGGTGAGAAAAGAGATGTTTGATCTGCGTTAGAAAGGAACGAATGGTAGTGGAATGGAAAATTGTATAGGCACGATCCTCAATCTTAACGTTGAGCGATACATGGTTTTGACCATAAACGACAGGGCATACCAAAAGGAGCCTATCAATTGGCACATCCAGCAATTATAGATCGGTCCGGATTCCGATTTTGTGCGATAGTATATTTTTCCCAGGATAAGGCTCAGACACCATTGTGAGTACGAAGAATTTTTCTGAAAGCAAAAAACATGCAAAAGTGGAAGCGAAAAGGCTTTGTAAAGGAAGTGATGTGGTCAACAAGTCTTTTATGCAGCACGGCTCAATGATTATGGATTGTGCATTTCCCAAGCCGGGAGTTACACGTGAAAGTGAAGTAAGCAGGTTGAGGGTTATTCATCATCATTGGCCACTAGCTGTTGAAAAGCACGAATTGCTGACTCACATGGCTTAAATCATTTATGTCTCTTTTGAACACGCATTATCAGGGCTAACAACAACAAGAATCGCTTGGCATGTGTGAGCATATGTGTATAGCTGCTGTTGATGATGATGACGATGATGATGATATGCTGCAGCAGTAATTGGATAATGATAAAAGTCGTTGAGTACGCAATCGAATTCTTTTTAATGCAAAAAGTTGTTTGTTTTATTGAATCAAACAAACAACGAGTGAACAAGATGCACAAAGGGTTCAAGCGATAGATGATGGAAGGGGATGTAGATATATGTGTCAAACGAGTACTATTTTTGCTGACAAAGTCAGTCGGGGAATATAGCACACATTAAAGTGTTCCTGCTCCGTAACCTTGCCCCACACTTTCTTTCACTTTTCCAATCATGTCTGCTGTAAGTTGATGGAGGAACATGGGAGAGCTCTCTACGCATCATACGCTCTTGACATTAACAACACGATTGTCATTGGTAGGCCAAAGGACCCAAGACCCCCGTTGATCCCACCGCACCTGGTCCCATGTTGCGTTACCAAAAGAACTTGCCTCGCATGCCAGTTCCTCCTCTTCAGGACACCCTTGCCAAGTACTTGACCACTTGCAAGCCCTTGTTGTCGGATGCCGAGTTCAAAAAGACTGAGGCTGCTGTCAAGGAATTCATCTCCAGTGGTGTTGGTGCCGAGCTTCAACGTCGTCTCGAAGCTAAGGCTGCGGATCCCGCTTGTCTCAACTGGTTGGATGATTGGTGGCTCGATGCTGCTTATCTCGGTTATCGTGATCCTGTTGTCGTCTATGTCAGCTACTTTTACTTGTTCAAGGATGATCGTCAAAGAAAGTTGCCTGCCAAGCGTGCCGCTGCTATTACCACTGCCGCTCTCGAATTCAAGAAGCAGGTTGTTGAGTAAGTATACAAGCGTGAGAAAATGATGGAATGGAATGGAACGGCATATTGACCATGGGGGCAACAACGATTAGGAACACCCTCGAGCCTGAATATGCAAAGGGCGAGCCTCTTTGTATGGATCGTTACAAGTACATGTTCAACAACTGCCGTATTCCTTCGACTCCTGCTGATGTCAATGCTATGTACGATCCTATCAAGAACACCCACATCATTGCTGTCCGCAAGAACAAGTACTATGTGATTGATACCGTTCAAAATGGTCGTCAGCTTTCCACTGGTGAACTTGAATACCAATTCCAACGTGTCATTGATGCTGCCGGTTACAGCAAGGGTTTGGGTATCGGTGCCTTGACCGCTGATCAACGTGACAATTGGTACGAGAACCGTAAGCTCCTTTTGGCTGCTCACCCCAAGAACAAGGAGTTGCTTGACAAGATTGAAACTGCCTCTTTTGTCGTTTGTCTTGATGACTCTTCTCCTGTCACTCGTGATGAAGGCTCTCGTGCTTGCTGGCATGGTGATGGTCGCAACCGTTTCTTTGACAAGCCTGTTCAATTTATCGTGTACGAGAATGGCAAGGCTGGTTTCAACGGCGAGGTAAGGGAAAGCGCGGGTGATTTAGGAATGTCACAAGGAGAATACCGGTATTAAAAAAACGCCCTTGTAGCACTCTATGATGGATGGTACTGCCACTTGCCGTTTGAACGAATTCGTTTGCGATGTGTAAGTATTTCAACGACGATGCATACATAGATGACATTGGCTTACATGGAATATGCATGCATGATGATAGTGTCGCCAAGTTGCCTCTTGCTGTTTCTCAAGCTAACGGAAGCCTTCCAGCACCTGAGGAGCTTCAATTCCATGCCAATGCTGAAATCGATCAAGCTGTCAAGGCTGCTGAGACTCGTTTCGATAACTTGATTGCCAACCACGACCTTACTGTTCTTGCTTACCAAGGTTTCGGCAAGAACCAAGTCAAGAAGTTCAAGGCTTCGCCTGATGGTTTTGCCCAAATGGTGATCCAGCTTGGTTACTTCAAGATGTTTGGTGTTTGCCGTCCCACCTATGAATCTGCACAAACTCGCAAGTTCCAATTGGGTCGTACAGAGACTTCTCGTACCGTGAGCGAAGATTCGGTTGCTTTCTGCCGCGCTATGGAGAATCCTAGTGCCACCAATGAAGAAAAGATTGCCGCTTTCCGTAAGGCTATCAAGTCGCAAGGTGCTTACATGGGTCAATGTGTCAACGCTCGTGGTGTGGATCGTCACTTGTTCGGTTTGAAGAAGAGCCTTCGTCCTAATGAGCCTGTGCCTGCTATCTTCAACGACCCTGCCTTCTCTTATTCTCAACACTGGTACTTGTCCACCTCCCAGCTTTCTTCTGAATACTTTGATGGCTACGGTTGGGGTATGGTTAACAATGATGGCTACGGCGTTGCTTACATGATCAAGAACAACGCTTTCCACTTTAACGTTGCCAGCGTCAAGGACCTCGAGGTTCACGGCAAAAAGTTCTACAACGGTACCCAGCAATTCAAGCAGTGCTTGGAGGATGCTATCAACGATCTTGGTGATGTCTTGAAGACCGAGCTCAAGCCCCAAGCCAAGTTGTAAAAAAAAGAAAACCTATATTCCCTTATCGTATTGTATTGTGCATTTGCCATTTCTTTCACCCATCAACTTTTTTATATACACACGTCGCGCCTCCTACGTTCACATCCCTTACTCCCATCGACTAGACACTACACTTGTTGTATGGCAAATCAAAAGAATGAAAATGATGGATTCTTTGTTTATCGAACAAAATGTGGATGAATGATCTATGTCTTTTAAAATACATTGGATTAAGGGGAATGATGGTGTTGGTTGTGATGATTGTTCTCCTCTTCATTGTCGTCGTTGTTGGTGTTGTGAGGTGAAGGTGAGGTGCCAAACTCCGATAGTGATGGAAGATGGGGATCCGAGTTGAGCAAGTCGTCATAATACGTGATGCGATAACGTGAATTTGTGTTGGAATCAGCTATACTGGAGCGTCCTGGTGTTGGTCTGAAATAATGCGTATAAAAGTAGGATGACAGACGACTGCTATCCCGTATGCTGCTACTGGTTGTTTCCTCGCCGCTTTCGACCCAACTCTCACGTATACTGCTGCTGCTGGTTACATTCTGGGTATCATATGCCGATTGATCATCTTCAAAGAAACTTCGTCGCCTTGCTGGTAGCGTCTGATGTCGTTGTAAGGATGATACTGGTGGTGGTTGTCGATTGCCAATCAATGGTTCAGAGCCACGTCTTCTCAACGATGGTAGCAATACTTGCTCTTCTTGGCCACTTCCATCATCATCATCATCATCATCATCATCGACCTGCTCTTCGATTGTGGTAGTGGTTCCCATATATTGCTTCAAATCTGGCATGGATCGTGGTCGCTGTTCTTGTCGCTCATCATCCTCCATCTCAGGTACAAGGGGTGTGATGATTGGCATTGATTGAGGTCTTGGCGGTAATGGATCATCATTCTCTTGTTGCTGATGCATTGGCATATCGACACCATATTGTTTCAAGAATGGCATTGAACCACGACGCTCATCGATCACTTTTTCTTTTTCCGAAACAGCTGCGATAGGAAGGGAATCATGGCGTCTTTGTAGAATAATAGCACGTTGTTGTAGTTCCTCCTCCTTTTCCTCCTCGTTGTCAATATGATCCACTGGCTCATTGTTGTTGTCCATAGAAGAGCGAGAACTGTCGATCAATATGGATGGGATCAAGCTTGTCGTAGAAATTTCAGGTGCTGGGATATGAATGGATGGTAATGAAGCTTGTTGTTGCCAAAGACGTTGCATGTGATCATGTTGCATTAATCCACGTTGACTTTGCTCATCGTCATCCACATCATCAATCGAGCTTGCATGATGGCTGTTTGTATCATTGTAATCACGTCCATTGTTATGCACCAGCACTGGTTCGACATGAGAGCTTGTTGCATCATCGTCATCATCCTCATACTCATCTTCATCGGTGTCCTCAGGTTCCAAAGCATCGCTTTCAGATACGGTGCAGAATTTGAATGGTGCTCCATCATCCATTTCAAGTACAGTGAGTCGACGTGTGTTGCGCCGGTGATCTTGTTGCACAGCATCTTGAACATCTTCTTGTTGATGATGATGATGAAAGCCATGTTGCTCTTTCAGATCCATACGTTTGCCCACCATCTCAAAAGCATTTTCAACAGGCTGCACAGTGTGATGATATACTTGTGGCAAGAGATGCTTGACATCCTCATGGATCATGGGTGTCAATAGCTTCTTGTGAATAGCAGGATCTTGGAACTGATTCGACAAATCTTGCTGTTTGTTCTCCTTCTTGTGCTTTTTGCCATGTGATTTCTTTTCAGTGTTGGCGGGTGCGAGTTTTTCTTGTTCCTCTTCAATGATAATAGGTGCAATTGTACCAGAGGCAGTGCCAGTCAAGAAAGCGCCCAATGTCTGCATGCGTCGATAATAAAAGTACTGAAATCCAAGAGTGAGCACTGGCAATGGGATAAGAACATAGGACTGCACATGGCCACCCTTGAGATTCAGAATAATGATCATGAGCACTTGGAAGAGAATGGTGGATGTCAAGAGTGCTTGGAAGAGCACGGGCCACATACGACCACCGCTTTCGATCTTGGTGACGAAGATATACATGAGCATGTACTTGTACACGATGGTAGAGACGACAAAAAAGAGCAATGCAAAAGGAAGCACGAGAGGGGCGATGGCTGAGTATAACAAGGCAATGGTGAAAAAGAACAACAACATGTTGTATGCCAAGGGATAGTCAAAGGGTGGAGGTTGTGCGAGTTCACGTAATTCACGAGGACTAGGACGAGTGATCCATTTGCGTAAAGTAATCAGTAGCAGTGGTAACACTTGTGCCATCTCCATTGTAAGACCAAGTGCCTTGACACATACATAGTTGATCCAAAATGTTGACACATTGGTGATGTTCTTTGCAAGCTGTACAATGTAGGTTCCCAAATCAATGTCATCTGCGACAGTGCCGTTGAGGATGAGTGAGCGTATCTGGCCATAGATACCAATAAAGATGGATGCAAGGGTGAATACAAGCAGGTTGTTGATGATGAAGAAGATGTACAGCTTTGTAAACACCTTCCGGTCAAGTGTCGTTTGTGTGTGATAGCCTTGTTGCTTTGAAAGAAAACGGAATAACATGGGTAGCACCAAGAAAAAGAGAGCCATGACAATGGGTGTGAAGTAGGATTGGATCATTCCCATCAAGAATGCATTGTTGTCGATAAATTCCTCTGAATTGGGCAGCATACGGATCAAATTGACAATGTTGGATGTGGCCGAAAGTGCACCAACAGGAATCATCCACAAAAAGATAAACACCCAAAAGAACCCTCGTCCTACCCATCGACGTACAGTCCGTGTCTTGTCATCCAATGGCAAATTGGGCCATATCAAATCGCTCGGTGGTGGAGAAAGCCGTATCGAGAAAGCCTTTTGATGCATCAGGGATTGATCAACAGCATGTGCATGTGGGATTTGCTTGAACGATGCCCATCCATAATTGGCCACCTTCGCGCTGCTGTTGGCTCTAAGCTTCTTAATCTGGGATTCAAGCTCTTTGACATGCTCGGTGTAATAATCGATCGCATCGACCTTTTTGCCACCACAAAACAAGAATCCACCTGTACGCATCGTGGGTCGTTTCTTGTTGCCCATTGCTTTGCCATCTAATGTACACACAACTTACTTAATCACTTAAATCCTTGATGTATGTATATCACTTACCACTCAAATAAGATGACAATGAGTTCTCTAAAAGGCGTACAGCTTCCTCGTGTTCTTGTGTCAAATTGGTCAACTTTTGGCTGTGGTATCCAATCATGGCTTGCTCCACCGGATACTTGAGACCCATTCCATTCATCCAATGCTTGATGCCATCGTCCGATCGCTTGTTCTCTGGAATGTTGGTGACCAGCAATGTACGTGCTGAGAGTGCATTGGGAGGGTGTCGAAAGTAGCGTTGTCGCATGTCAATGTAGTCGCATGATGCCCGGAACATGAACCATGCAATGAGGATAGAGAACACCCAAGTGGCCACTGTTGGAGACCAATACCAGCGAATGTCGTTGCGAGCTTCATCGTCCGAGTAATTGATACCAGAAATGGAGAGAAGGTCAAGTCCAGCAGCTGGCGGCCAGTCCCTGTGTTACGCGTGCATTGTATGTTTGTGTAACGTGAGTTGAAAAAGCTTAAAACGGGGGAACCCTCCCTGCTCCTTATGAGACCTTACCCAGTGTGGTAAGTAGCTACAATATTAACTGGGATCAGGGCACAAACGCCAATGACGCTCATGGCAATTAGCAGACGCCGCAACAATCGGATAAACCTCAAGAACAATACGGCATCAAACCCAATGCGTTCCATTAAGAAATCATCATCGGCCTTGAGTACCGGTTTTATCCATGCAAACCATCCTGTCCCAATCGCTGGGGGGCGTTGTCTAGTATACATAGGATACATGTAATTTGATGAGTCAACCTATCTATATACATAAAAAAGTTGTCCCCATTTCTTCCTTACTCGGGTGAAGAAAACTTGTATTTGGGTGCATAGACAAGTGTGTGGCGTGGACGTAGAAAACTGAAACCAGCAATGACAGCCAAGGAGACACCAAGGCTGATCCCCATTTGGGTACCCATACTCTTAAGTGTCAAAGTGGCATCCGTGCTTATTTGCTCCTGGAATGGGGTGTAAACATTCATGAAAACAAAACCAAAAGGAAAGAAGAGAAGAAGAAGGGATCAAGTGAGTTTCAATTGTGCGCAAAATGAAAAGGTTCACGCAACTATATTTGGAGGTTCTTCCTCGTGTCACCCTCCTCCTCCATCGCTGTCTTTTTTTTGTGTGTCGTTCTTTAATTGGGATCAAACATGGTAGGTAGAAAAAGTATTACAGATTTGATCTCTTTTTTTCGCTCAGCAAAAATAAAAGTGAAGAAAACGTGGGGGGAAGTGATTATTCTGGTTGTAGGAGATGAAAATAAAAAAAGGGATTCCTATTTCTTTAAGGGTCCCCTTTTTCCAGTTGCCAATCGCGATTTGGGCTTATCATAAATGTGGCACTATAAAAGAGTAGGGTATGCGTGTGTCAGCATACAATTGATTGTGAAAAGAAATAAAAGATAGCTACCTTGTGTGCATGCCTGTACCACAAGACACTTGTCTTTCGTTTGGCGTTACAAATAGGAACGAATTGACGGCATTGGTGGCACAAGCCCTCGATCACATCATGGTCACCGGCACGCCGTTCCAGCGGCTCTGCAAAGTGTTTGCCTGATACCGAGGAGATACCATGATAGAATTGTTTATGATACCAATAGGCACTATTTTTGAGCTGAAGCCATTTGCCGGGCTTGCAATGATCACAATAGCCTTCTTTGAGTTGACCTGTGTAACGCACCCATTTGGGTGTGTATTCATCTCCATCATAGCGCAACTTTTGTCGACGTGGTGTTGCTCCAGGAGGTGGTTGACGTAATGGATGTGTGGTGGATCCTGATGCTGTGGAGCTGCTGTCATATGGATGCATGCCTGGATGGGACTCATTTACGCCATCAGGTTGTTGTTGTTGTTGTAACAAATGATCACCACCCTGATGTTGTTGTTGTTGATGATCCATCACACCCGTCAACTTCCTAGCACGTTTGTTATTTGTGGATGTGGCAACAAGAGGAGGTGATCCATCAGGATGTCTTCTTTTAAGATCAGCGGCAAATTCTGCTGTTGGGTGATTTTGTAAGGAGGAGGAGGCTCGTGCACTGCTGCTGCCATTATTAATGTGAGTATACAATGAGCTTGGGGACATGGGTGGCACTGCCATTGCCGTTTGGGGTCGATAATGCTGCTGCTGATTGTACATATCCAATGAAGGACGTCGATAGTAAAGATCATGAATATAGTTAGCTGCAGCTATAGGATCAGTAGTAGCAGCTGCTGCAGCTGTTGTTGTTGTTGCTGTGGTGGCAGTAGTAGTGGTAGTAGTGCCAGCACCACTACTATTACTGCTTGTTGTGCTGTCGTCAGGAAGGTACATGGTCATGGAGAACAGGTCTAGGTAAGCTTGAATCAAAATTCCATTGTCGATACACAAACATTGATAGCTAGCTGTCACCCGCCCCTTTTCTCGAGGGGGTGAAACGACAACTCACCTTGTCCAAATCCTGTCGCATAGTCGGGTTCCATACTAAACATCCCATGTGAGCTTGTATCTACCTCTGTTGCTTGTATTGCTGTTGCTGCTGATGCCTCTGCATTGGAGTTAGGTGTTGCTCCAGATGCTATCACACTACCATTGGTAGATGTAGGCGTTGTCATAGTAGGCCAACAGCATGAAAGAGGGGCCGATGGAGCCGCCGAGAAATGTTGATGTTGATGTTGTGGAGGTTGTTGTTGTGGTGGTAGTGGTGCAGGTGTGGGGGAACGTGTTGATGGTTCATGTGGTGACAAGTCGTTTTCAAACATGGTGGTGGATGAACGTGGAGGAGGAGGAATAGCCGAGTCTTCGTTGCTCCCACAATATCCGTTGGAAGATGTGAGCAAGGAAAGAAATTCTTGAGGATGTGTCAGCGTTGGCTGATACATGTGTGTAGTGTTGTCAACGAAAGAGATGTGCGAAAAGAGAGACGAGGTGTGGAGGACGTAACAATACCGAGCAATTGAAGAAAAATATATTCTCGGCACAAGAAACGGGAAAAGGAGCAAAGGGGTTTTCTGTGCAAAGGCCAACTCAAGGACACCCATTTTGATGATGACAAACACTTTGTGACTTATGGCAAAAGAGCCATCATATGTTCAAGGAGATTTCCCCCATCAAAGTGAGCCTGTGATTCACGAGAGCCGCACATACGGCTGTCAAAGTGCCGAGAGACGAATGCAACCCGTGGCACCCAAATCTATCTTTTGCTCGGCGATCCAACGGCTTCCCATATCGAGAGCGTCCCTGATCTCGCTCTCTTTTCTCTCTTACTTTTGCATTCAAACCTCACGTTCCAACGACATCTGGTCTGGTTCTCCTTGGCTCCTTTGTGCTCTATTCTTGGATGTTCAGTTGCGATGGATGACTAAAAGCAACGAAGGTTTCAAATCTTTTTCAACCTTGTGCTTTCGAGTCACCATCATCGTATGTGTGTGTGCGTGTGCGTGTGTGTGAAAATAAAGACCCTTCTCTATTGAATGTTATGCATAGAACATATGATCACAGGTGCTTGTTCTTTACATTGCTCATTGACGCTTACTTGCATAAGGCTGTTCCAGCCTCTTACTATTGATTGGTCTTCCTTCTATACATACTTTGAATGTGCGAAACATGGTTAAAGTTGTTGCACACCTCTATCATGTTATATGATTTCCCATGCAAATTTGAATGTCCCGTGGTTCCTGCAAATACAAGAGTGCCGGCAACGCATTGATACATACTTTTGAAACGAAAATGTAAGGAGACGGATGCGAGTATCCAAAGCAGCAGCCAAGTCCTTTATGACATTAAAAAGATAATTGATGATGCAAATGGGGTAGGATACATGATAGCTGATTTACATTGCCAAGTCTGTAATGATAGCTTATACATCATGGTGTATGCGCATCTGCTGCAAATTGAAAGCTGGGCACCATTTACGTACTGCGGATGCACACATGGCTACTGTAGCCATGGATTTGTGCATAAAAGACAAACATTCAACCACACACACACGAGCAACATACTCTGTGCCATTATTAGAAACAAGAGGGTTCCCAGCACCCATGGCATTCTTATGTACACGACGACGTATACATACCATCACCATTGTCGTCGTCCATACGTCAAGCGTTTATGATAGGATATTTCTCGCCAAGCCATGGCTGCGCTTTACCATGCACAATGAATGGCTAATTACTGTTCGTACGACAACCTAGCAACATGCGGGGCATTAGTCATATACGTATGTTGTTTGCTCGGTTGCAAAATGACACGCACAAGCAACCATAATCGTCTTGTTACCGGGATCAACTCACTCACCGGGCAACAATGATTGCAGCATGGTCTCGGAAAGCTTAGCGAAAATGTCCTAGCATGTCTCCTTTTGTGCAGCTTTTCGCCTTGGCTGATGGTACTCAACATCATTACAATTTCAAACGTGTAATAATGAAGCTTTTACTTGAGCTTGGGATCATTTTTATTGGTGCAGCTATATGCGTTTTTTCATCAAGATGTATAAAAAGTCCATACAGGAGGGGCGTTGTTGCTGCTTACTACAAGATCATCAGGCCACGTTTAGGGATGACCCCAATCTGTCAACAGGTATCATGGCAACCACTTGTTGATAGGGCAACGTCGTGTGTGCATGGAGGAGGAGGGTCAATAATCTTGTTGCCTTGTAGTTTTTTTTTCTTCAGCATTCTTTCCTTTGTGGATATATCACGCAACGCAAAATGACGCAAGCTATATGCAGTAACACATGGATCAATCAAGCCATTGGGTATTGAGAGGTTTTGCAGGTCAAGTTTGAAACTAATATGTTCTCGTAGGAGCCAATACCATTTTTGAAACCTCGGCACTGCGGATGGCCGAACAAGCTGCTGCAATCCCAAATGTGTCAGAGTTGATGATATCTTCATACACCAAGCTACATATTGAAATACCAGGCTTAGTCGTGGGATAAATAGCGCATGTGATACATTGTGTGTGGAGTGAGAAAAATATAAAGACAGATTTGACAGAAGGAGGAGGGACGAGGGGGGACGATCTTTCAAAACAATAACAAATGCACGGATCTACGTGACAATGTTGGTAAATGTAAGGCTCGATAAAGATACTTGTTTACACGTGTCGTTTATTCCAACTAGCTAGCTTTAGTGTAGATGTATGTACGTACATGTCTCCCCTTTATTATTGTGTATGTGTATAAAAGCAACATCACTCACCGACACACTTTTACCCTTACCCGATTTGTCACTTGCATAAAAAGCGAGCCTTGATCGCATCATTCGTCTCAGTTTTTCCCGCCATGGCTTCCTCTTCCCGTGCCAAGTTATTGAATCCCACGCAGTATCACCTGGAACAGCAGCAGCAACAACAGCACAACCCGCTATCGTTGTATGATCAGGAATTGCCATCGTCTTCATCACCCTTTGTCGATCAGGACAATTTCTCCCAAACGTTCCTCTCTCCCAATGCAACCACTTTGGACGAACTAGACGATGTCGACTATCAGTCAGGGATGTATGCTGACTCGACTTGGCTTGGTGCTACGTCACCACCACAACAGCAACAACAACGAGTACAACCTATGCCAATGATGAATACACATCATCAATACCCTCTTCATCCTTTTGGTGGTGGTCAAGGCAACAACAATACATCATCAAGCCCACCCTCTGGTGGATTTACAGGGCCAATGTCTGCACCTGCCAATATCCTTTCAGGCTTTCCAATACAGCCCACACCATCCTCCTTCGCCAATCATCATCAACAACAACCAGAGATGGCAAAAAGTCTAGAAGAGGACTATGCGATGCAAATGAAGTAAGTTTCACTTTGGGTGATGGGAAGAAGAAGAGAAGAAGCAAAAGGTCAAAAAAGGCAATTGCCTAACATGGTTGTCTAGTCTACAAATGGTGATGGAGAAACGACGTCGTCGACGTGAATCGCATAATCAAGGTAAAAAAGAACAAGTATACTGATGGAGAAGAATGGATGGATTGATTCATTGAGGGACCTTTTTTAGTGGAACGTCGTCGCAGGGACAATATCAATGATCGAATCCAGGAACTGGGCACATTGTTACCAGAAACTATGTTGGATACCAGTGGCACATTCAAGCCCAACAAAGGAATGATCCTTAAAAAATCAGTGGATCACATCAAGTTCCTCCAACAAGAAGTCAACACTTATCGACAACGAATCCAGGAACTAGAAAATGTGCTCGGCTCATATCAGGCGGCGACGAAACGGCAATAGATCCCTTTTATGGGTGATTGTTTTCTTTTGTTTTCTTTCTTTCTTGCATCTACGTATGTATGTGTGCTCAGCAGTATCGTCACTTTATCACCTCTTTTATCTCTCTATATATATCTATCTTTATACACTCTCCTGTTACAATACCATTGACATAACTTGTATATCATCCAAGTAGTAGTAGCCCCCGACACCTTCTACCATTGTATACCACCCACTCTCCTTTCTTATGTAATCATGCCATTCTCATCCATGTCTCCCTTCGACCCATGAATCATTATTTTTTTGGATATATAAATCTCTTTGTTTATCGCCATGGATTATCGGTCTCTTCAATATCCCACAAATGATGATTACTACTACTGCTAAGATGATGATGACGATGACGATGCTGATCTAAGCCGTGTTCTTCCTCCTCCTCTTCCAATTTCCTATCAATGCCTGCAAATCCAATATCCCTTTGTTCAGCAGCGACCCGCGTAAAGAATTGCTCATCATCGGCTGGTGGCGTCACTTGTACAGGTCGGCGTTTGTCATTGTTCCAGCTATCAATGAGATCGGCAAAGGCTGATCGCTTGGAAGGTTCAATATCCATCACTGATTGTTGTTGACGTTGCTGTTGAGGAGATTTGATCAAAGGTGAACTCGTTGTTCGGATAGGATCCACAAGTATTGACCAAGGATTGCTTTCACTCTGAGGCGTGCTAATCGATGGATTCATGGCGGGTGGTGTAGTGTCAAAACGAAGAGCATCATTGGCAACGGATGCAAGTAATTCTGGATCGTCATAATAAGGATCATGCTGCTGCTGCTGTTGTTGTTGCTGTTGTTGTTGCTCATCGTATTGTTTGTTGCTATCGTCTGTATAAGAAGTCGATTGAGACTTGCTCTTTTTGTTGTTGTTGTTAAGGAATCGACTAAAGAGGGACGAAGATGCAGTGTTGTTGGTCTTGTTGTTATTGGATACTTGTGCTGGTGCTGGTGCTGGTGCTTGTGAGAGGGATGAGGATGATGCAGGTGATGATAGTTGTTTTTGTTCAGGGGCCATCGGTGGCGATGTTGCCGTTGTTGATGGTCTTTCAGGAACAGGTGGAGGTGCTGGTTTCTTAACATTCGATGGTCTTTGAGGCACAGGTGGTGGTGGAGGCTTCTTTTCAGGTGGTGGTGCTTGTTGCTGTGGTCTAATTGTAGCAGCTGCAGAAGCTGGTCTTTCGGGTACGGGTGGTGGTGGAGGTTTCTTGGGAGATGATGGTGATGTTCTTGTTGTTGCAGTAATTTCTGACTTGGATGATGCATTATCAGATAACGATGAACGTGCTGATGAAGAAGAAGATGTTGTTGCTTGCTGTCTACGAGGACTACGACGACTTGCTCCAAATAATGCATCTTCATCATCTTGACCGCTTCGAAGTGCCGACCGCTTGCTGTATAGACTACCACTTCCAAGCTTGGAGACATCGATATTCCCAAAAATACTGCCATTGTCCTTGCTGCGTAAAGGGTCACTTGGTTTAGGCGACTGTGCACTGGACCCAAACAAGGGGTCATCCGTTGCTGGTGACGATGCGCTCAAAGGATCTTGAAATAGTACAATCCCATTCATAAGACTCGTGTTCACCCACTATCAACCACCCATGTCTTCCAATGTGCATTGACACCTACCATCGCCAAAGAGGTGGCTATGTTTAGCCCTTTGTCTAGACTTGAACGACATAACTACACACAAGAGCCGAAAGGAGAGAGAAGGCGTGTGTCCAATGGCCAAGTTGACCACCACCTGTCGGGCTTTTATCTATCAACGCCCTCGTGCTTCAGATGATTGACGTAGTCGCTTTTAATCAACCCACCTGTCAACATTGTTCTATACACATAGCCCTGCGTGGAAGAATCCCATCACCTTTATTATAATGTACAAGTGGATATGGAATAAAGAATGATACTTTTTCTCGTTATCTTTCTTTTCAATGATCCCACCTCTATCGATAGCTAACAAAAGACAACTATCTAATATCATGCATCATGCACTATGCTGTGTGTGCCTAACTTGGTTCAAAAAATGATCCTCGACCTTGGCTACCTTCCTAAAAAGAACCTTTTACCCTGTTGACAAGAGTCCATATCTCAACCAGCCCATATACCTTGACATTTTATCAGTCAAAATCTAGGCCTATCAATCACCAGCAAATATTAAATACACAAGGAAGATGTTGTAGTATGGGCCAAACAAAAAGCTGCACTCTTCTTTATTAATCCATGTCTTCTTCTCAAGGTAGTAGTAACGGTATCATTCTTCTTGTGATTTACATACAACATCAACTCACTTTGTTACATCACTAAGAGCTAATTCTTGTTTCCATGACCACAATCCATTCTTTATTTGGGGGAGATGGTGGTTGCATGGCAACGATTTTATGCAATTCTACGACCAAGGACAGGATGTGTCAAAAGCGGCGCTATTCGGGGTTTCACAAACGATGACCGATAAATGGGGTTCAATCATTCATTGTCTTCCTCACGTATACAATGACAGAAAGAGTCTTTGTTATTGGTGGTACAGGTAATATCGGTGAGCGTGTTGTGCGTCAGTTGTTGGAGAACAATGTACAGGTGACTTTGTACACGCGATCGCCAACCAAGGCCCAGGCCATGTTCCCGAATGCGACGATTGTGCAAGGCGATTATGAAGATCTGCAACCTCTTGGACGTGCACTTGAAGGACACACACGGCTCTTCCTCCTCATTGTCGATTATGGGTGCATGGGTCGTCTCAAGGGAGCAATTTCATCGATGGCTTATAGAGCTGACATACGACAAGTGGTGGATATCTCATCTCTTGCAGTGACACTCCCATGGCGTAGCTCTTTTCTCGGTCATGCGCATCGTCAAGGTGAAGAAGCCATTCTTGCTAATCCTAACCGCCAAGGCTACTACGTGGCACTACGCCCATCCATGTTCATGTCCAACCACCTGTGGATTGATGTGCACACGATCAAGAAACAAAATGTGCTACGACATACAGCAGAGCCTGATGAATTGGAAGGATGGATTTCGCCAAATGATATCGCTGATCTTGCTGCTCGAGTGCTTTTGGAACCTATGGAGAAGCATGGCGATGCTGTCTATGAGATGAATGGATGTGTGTTGACACCCAAAGAACGTGCAGCAGCTTTCAGCAGAGTCCTTGGACGTGAAATCACCTATGAACAAATCACCCCTCAAGAAAAGTACAATTTTATGACGCAAACAATGGGTATACCTCATCTAATGGCATTGGATCTCGTGGCGTTATTCAAAGGTGTCAACAAACAATCCATGTGTCTTCCCATTCTACTTGGCAAAGAACCCGAATCATTTGAAGAGTACTTGAAGCAACATAAGAATGTATTTGAATAGATGGCATTTGTACATATAAAGATCATAGATTACATCTTACATAATGTAATAATGGTGGGAGAGTGGTGATCATTGTTATCCGCTTGTATCGGTGACTTCACGACGCTCGGCTATTAACGAGTTTCACCGCATGCATATTAAGAAAATGATCAATGATGGTAGTCATTGGAATATGGCAAATAGACAATGGACGTATTACACTGAAGGATGAAGAATCCGTTGCATGATGCACATGAAGAAGGATCTCGTGACCGGCAACCATTGATTTTTTGCTGAGTGTCGATGGAGCAATCACACACCCCCGCTTTTCTTGTTTACTCTTTACAACTTGCACTAATGCCTGTCGCCAAGATCGTCACCAACCCCCACTTTGCCTTCATCACCCCCGAGAAGCTCGTCCGTGTGTAAGTAATGTGAACGCTACAATCGCATCATGGCCGTATCGAGATGACTGAACACGTTTATCTTGATAGTGCTCCTTCTCTTGCTATTTGGGGTGCTGCTGCCGGTTCCGCTGTTATGTTGCTTGGCTCTGATGTTCCTCTTGTCAAGAAGGATATCTTGTCCCGTATTCCCGTTGTTGGCTCTTACTGGGCTGTTCCTGAGGAGAGCTCTGAGTAAATCAGATGTATTCTTTCATCATAGGTATGTATGTGGATGGATGCGTGGGCGTGTGTTGGTCGACCTTAGAGGTGGGCTACCCATCCTTTTCCCCAATGATGCATATAACTAACGCGTATGTGTATGTTGTGTATTGTCTCGTAGATCAAAGGCATTGAATCAATTCGGTTTCGGAAATATTGAAAGCAATTAAAAACGACAACCGGCTTGTTTGTTCATTCCAAACACTGCTATTCTTCTTCACTCGTATTATTATTATTTCTTTTTTTACCATGATGTACTGCTGGCTGCTTCTATTATTGCTACTATCGGTTGGGTGGGTGGATGGTCAGAAAACTAAATGTCGCAACATACGCACAACATTCAATACAACAACCCATGGGTGGAAAATGGAATCGAGTCCAGCAGAGACCTTTTCTTTAACAGATGATGGATTACGAATGCATCTTGTACCGCCACCACAATACGAACGATTGATCCATAAAGCAACGAGTAAATATCCTCACCCATCATCATCATCATCATCACAAAGGGAATACGTTGTGGGCTCATCATTGGATATTCTTTCTTGTGGATAGCATTACCGTACAATAGCCATATGGGTCATGGTCCTACATTGAATTCTACTACCTACATGCATTATGGTCGATTATCAGCGACAATCAAGTCCTCCAAAGTGGGTGGTGCAATCACAGCTGTCATCCTCATCAGCGATAGTGGCGACGAGATAGACTTTGAAGTAATTGGATGTAAGCATAATTTTCTTTTGTATTACTATCATCATGGCGGCTGACTCTATTCCTTATAGCGGAAGATCACACTGCACAGTAAGTCGATATTGGTAACTTGATACCTTCTTCCATATGCTAAATGAGTCATCATCAAGAACAAACTTCTTTTGGGGTCACCATCCATTATACACAGTCAATGGCGGATCACATGATATCCAGGGCGAAAATGCTTATGATGCATTTCACACGTATTCCATCGACTGGCAAGTGCAATTATGCTATACGTGAGTCAACATGAGCTAAATGAGCCACCTTTTTATAGGAGTCCGGAACGTATTGTATGGGCCGTTGACAATGAAGCCATCCGCATAAAGAACAGGGACGAGACGTGTGATGATCAAGGTTGCAAATTCCCATCGACGCCAGCGTAAGTGTGTATTATAGGAGAATCCTTGCATAGCATACTCATAGTGTGGGGTTGTTGTAGACGAATCCAAATCGGCTTTTGGGATGGTAGCTTTGAATTTGGTACAGCAGAATGGTCGCATGGACCAATTGATGTAAGCAAATCAATCGAAAAGGAGGTGTATGCTGTTATACTAATTGCCTCTATATAGTGGGAGAAGCATGTTGACACACCCATCACATCCTATCTAAAAGAAATTGCCGTTGAATGCAATCCAGAGTATAACGAGATCGTGCACGAGCTGCCTTCAGATGAAGAAACAGAGACATTGGAACCAAGTCTACCAGGGGAAACCAACGAGAATGGATCAAACAGCCCAACCAAATGGAGGCCAAAGCCTTCCGATGATCAACAACAACAACAACAACCTCAAGATCCTCAGCAACAAGAAACACCAAGAAATGGAGCATCGATTTTTTCACCTTTTACTTTAATACCTTTATCTATTATTACATTTACCCTTGCTGTATTGATGGGTTAGAATACTACCTAGACCGTGTAACGATAAAAGAATGGCTGTTTTCAAAATGATCTGTCAATGTCAAGAATGTTGGTGCAATATTCAAAGGCACAATCCACACTATGTACGCATCCTTTTTCTCCTTTTACACAACCAGCCCATTCCTTTTCACCATTGTCGCTCGTTATGGAAGTTTACTTTCACTCACCATCGATTGAAACTAACGGTGCTATCGCTTCTGCTACAACAAAGGAGCACTCAAAGCCAGCATCAACCATTGATGGGACTCCCAATATGGCTACAGCTGAACCTACAAAGTTGATGAAAACATCCCGTTCCAATAATCGTAGTGCATGGAAGACATCACTTACACGCATGATTGATTCACAAAGACGAATTGCACCCACTACTACTACCTCCAACAACAACAATGATCATGAGCCATTAAAAAAGCAACCTATCAGCCAGATGATGAAACAACGAGCTCTTTATTACTTGGAAAAGAAACCATGGGCAACAACAACAACAACAACGGCGACAGAGGATGCACCAGCCCCTGCTGTTGAATCCTCAACATTGGATACATCAGTGACCAAACAGCAGCAACAACATCATGGGCAACAACAGCTACGTAATGCAATGGCATGGTTAGGGCGATCCTTTCAACGCCTACACACTGCACAAAAATCTAAAGAGCTTTTGCGAGCTGCATTTAAGAGGAATCTATCATTACCAGCACTATCGCATTCGACAGCATCAACCATGGAACATACAACTGACAACATATCTGCCAAAGAGCAAAAGCAAAATGATGATGATGAAAGCACTGGGCGACCTGCATTTGACCGTGAGCGTAATAATAATGCTCATATTGAGAGGTAAGGTTTGACATGCGTTGCTATGCTTTCCTTGCATTCTAATTGATTTTGTTTCAGCGAATTGAAACCTGGTACTCGAATCATTCATTGCAAAGGTAAAATTAAATGGTGGTGGCCCACCGAGAAAGAAGACAAAGAAATGGCTAATGTTGATGTGCTTGGAAAGTATTACAGCTTATCAATCTTTCATCCAACAAAAGTAAGTAGGCAACATACATGCAATCAATTCAATGAAAATAGTGATTCAAACCACTTTTTTACAAAGCTCGTCATTATCAGGTGGATGTGCGTATGAATGGTGTTAGCCAAACGATGGTGTATGGCACGCTGAGCAAGTCATCCAAAAACAGTAGTTGCACTACAGAGCCATCATCTGTATTCCCAATGTAAGTGGTGATCACGAGGTGTGTCAAGGGATGAACATGACATGGTGACACACGCATCTGCTATAGCCACGTGTGTACTGAGGATGAATCAGATGGTCCATTTGAATTGGAATTCGTGGTTAGTAGACGCCATGGACACAAGGGTATCATTGGAAGAATCGCTTCAAAGAGTGCTACAGTGGTGGTGGGTGTAGGTCATATCTCCTCGCATGACATGCCTCATTTTGCTCGAGCCGGCACACGACACGTGAAACGATGCAAGCTTTCCAACCCAAATAGAATACGAGGATGGGATTTGGATTTGACATTGGAGTTGGTGTGTGAGCAAGTTGTAGGAGGTGCTGGTGGATTAGTGCCCCAAAATCGAGCACCATGGACCTATTACACATATGCCTCGGGGTTATCGGATCTAGCAGTGGAGGACGATGACGACAGGGAATGTGATGCTGCGTCACTAGAGACTGCACAAGCTCATTGCACAGCCGGAGATTATCTCACTTTTTATATCCATGGACGATCTTTCCCGGTAAGCCATAGTATGAAAAAGAAAAATTGATTATAACAGGGGACTTAATGGGGTATATACACATCATAGACATGGGAACGATACTGGGTAGTGCTAAAGCAAGATAGCTTGTTGCTGCATGACTTTTCTTATGGGGAGCAACGAGGACCTGCATATGAAATCTCACTCAACGCCATTGAGCGTGTAGCAAGACCCACATTGGATGAACAAGATAGGATTTGTTTGGGACGTACACATGGATTAGTACTTCAAGTGGATCCAAAATGGCTACAACCACCACCTGCTGCTGCTGATAATGATGATGATGATGATGAGTCGCCGACAGCAAGAGTACAGCAGGAGGAGGAGGAGGCGGCCATTGATGAAGGTAAAATCTTCCTCTATGCAGACAATGCTACCCATGCTCTTTATTGGCGACGTTCTCTTGCTGGCCATGACAAAAGTGATAATGCTACACATGATTCAATCCACACCCGATTCTTATGGTGATCCTATATCGTTTGAAGCAATAAAATCGAAGCGTGATCCTAAATCGCTCAAAGTGAAAAATTTGCTGTGTGCTGCGGCGAACTCTTTCCTTAAAACCAACTCCCTTCTTTATTCTCTTCCTTATTCCTTTTTCTTTTACCGAATAATGAACAATGGTAGCTACAACAATGAAAGCCTAGATCAGCGATTTGGTAAGTAGATCTATCCCATCTGCACTTTGATCTTGCCCTAAGACTTCGTCATCTAGCTGGAATGGGCCTCAACAACTCATCTGCTCCTCAAGCATCAAAGTATGTTCCTCCTCACATGAGAAATCGCTCCTCTGGTCCTCGTCCTGATGGTCCTCGTCCTGATGGCAATGCCAACTCTGGTTGGGCAGCCTGGAACAGTGGCGATCGTGCTCCTCGCAACAGGTATGTGCTTAAAGATCGCAACGTATATGGATTCCCTCCTTCTTACATGATATGATAGCGGCTGGAACTCTTCTCGTTCCGATTATGGTCGTGGTGGTTATGGTCGTGGTGGCGGCTTTTATGAACGTGGATCTTATGGTGCCGGCAACTATCGTAATCGCCGTGAAGAGGGAGGTTATCAACGCCGTGATGAATCCCGTGGTTATTGGAGAGATGGTGTCCATCATGTCGGTGCCAGCAACCCTCGTGCTGAACGTGAGCTCTTTGGCACTGCCGATGATTCAGACCGCCAACAAACTGGTATCAACTTTGAAAAGTACGATGACATTCCTGTTGAAGCAAGTGGTCATGATTGCCCTGAAGCAGTGACAGTGGTATGTATTCATTTCGTTATTTATAACCAAAGTGGTAGTTGTTGTATCACTTTTACTCATCCTCTTTATCACATAGTTTGGTCCTCCTCTTGATGAACATCTTTTGAGCAACATTCAGTTGGCCAGATATACTACTCCCACCCCTGTGCAAAAGTATTCCATCCCTATCGTCGGTGCTGGTAGAGATTTGATGGCATGTGCTCAAACTGGTATGTTATTATCTTCATTGGGGGGATTAGGAGAAAACACATACAAAATGAGATCATGAAAGTTAACTAAAACCTTGCTACTTTTTAGGTTCCGGTAAAACTGGTGGTTTCTTGTTCCCTGTGCTTTCGGAATTGTTCCTTAAGGGTCCTCTTGAAACACCTCCCGAAGAAGCTAGCCGTGGTTACCGCTCTCGCAAGGCTTATCCTACTGTGTTGATTCTTGCTCCTACTCGTGAATTGGTGTCTCAGATCTTTGATGAAGCCAAAAAGTTTGCTTACCGTAGTTGGGTGCGCCCTGCTGTTGTCTATGGTGGTGCCGACATTGGTTCCCAAATCCGTCAAATCGAACGTGGTTGTGATTTGCTCGTTGCTACTCCTGGTCGTCTTGTTGATTTGATTGAACGTGCCCGTATCTCTCTTACCAACATCCGCTACTTGGTCTTGGATGAAGCTGATCGCATGTTGGATATGGGTTTCGAGCCCCAAATCAGACGCATTGTCGAGAAGGAAGATATGCCTGGTGTTCAAGATCGTGTCACCCTCATGTTTTCAGCCACTTTCCCTCGCGATATCCAGTACCTTGCACGTGATTTCTTGAAGGATTACATCTTCTTGTCCGTTGGTCGTGTTGGTTCTACTTCTGAAAACATTACCCAAAAGGTTGAATACGTCGAAGATGAAGATAAGCGTTCAGTCTTGCTTGATATTTTGCATTCCACTGAAGTCAACGGCCTTACTCTCATTTTCGTTGAGACCAAGCGTATGGCCGATATGCTTTCGGATTACTTGATTGGCCACAACTTCCCTGCTACTTCTATTCATGGTGATCGCTCGCAACGTGAACGTGAACGTGCTCTTGATTCATTCCGTACTGGTCGTACTCCCATCATGGTGGCCACTGCTGTTGCTGCTCGTGGTTTGGATATCGCCAATGTGGCTCATGTTATCTCATACGACCTTCCTTCCGATATTGATGATTATGTCCACCGTATTGGTCGTACCGGTCGTGCCGGCAACACCGGTCTCGCTACTGCTTTCTTCAACCGTGGCAACAAGAATATCGTGAACGATCTCATTGACATCCTCAAGGAAGCCAACCAAGAAGTCCCTCAATTCTTGGAATCCATCTCACGTGAAACCAGATCCTATGGTGGCCGTGGTCGTGGTCGTGGCCGTGGCAACTTTGGTGGCCGTGATTTCCGCAAGTATGACAATGGCGGTGGTTACTCCCGTGGCGGTGGCGGTGGCGGCTATGGCGGCGAGTAAGTATTATTGTTTCCTATTGATTTTTGATGTTGCATGATGTTGACTTTCTATTACAGTAGCTTTGGTGGCTACGGTGGTGGCTATGGCGGTTACAGATCTGCTGGTGGTGCTTCGAGAGACGTGCCTCTTCAATATCAAACCAAGACCAGCTGGTTCTAAACGAAGAACGGGATGACGGGATGCGTGCTTTCCCAGTCCTTTTCTATAGTTTAAAAAAAAAAAGAAATCCCTTATCAAAAAAGTCCTGTCTTTCTCTTCTTTATCACGCGCATCTCATCCATCAACCCATTCATTCCATGTCTTTTTTCACCTCCATTGGTATCCTTTTTTCCGCACATTTATGTATAGAATTTTTCCCCTTTCATTGTTAAATGGAAAAGAGAGAATTAAATCAATCAATTTAATGCAAACAAACAGTGGTTGTCATGGCTACGTGCTTCTATGGATACGTGCGTTGGCTGAATTCAAATCGAGTTGCTGCAAGACATTGGATGTGTTATAGAAGATATTACAGATGCCTTTATATTGTTGGGTATGGTTCGACACATGTGATAGAGTGATGAGGGCGTTCCATATATCGAGTATAGGATAATATATACAGGCTAGAATACAAAATGATGAGAAAAAGAAGACTATCTACATCCAATTGGGCACGACACAATGATTGAGGTGATTGCTAAGATCATTCATATGCTTTGATCAATCCTTGAATGGAATCCTTGGTACCAAAGATAAGGCCCACAATGCCTAACACAGCAATGAGTGCGCACCAGGCGAGTTCATAGATAGGCTTATTGCGTACACCAGTGAGCTTGAGATAGAACACCACGGGGAAGATGAAAATCAATCCACAGTTGGCGAAGGATCCAATTAGACCCATAAGCAAGTCAAAGTGAGGCACAAAGCATGCAACAACGCCAACAATGACGATAACGATAATGCGTAGAATAGCACGAAGAATGAATTCCTTCCATCGGCCAAGCTTTTCGACAGTGATGCCAAGCATGTCTTCAAGATCGAGAGCGAATGAGGTGCACAAGAGTGGACTGGCAGTGAGCACGTGAGCTGTCATGAGCACAATGGCGATCGTCTTTGGAACACCATCGGGAATGCTGTCATAAACGGGACTCTTTACGCTGACACCATAGACGTAGTAACCGGGAATAGCTGTCAAGAAGTAGAGGCATGCACATGTACCAAGGCCTGCAGCTGCAACCTTTGGCCAATCTTTTGGACGACGCATGGATGCTTCCACGTGAGAATAAATAACATTGCCACCATAGCTGAATGCAATTGTTGACAATGCAATAGGGAATTGATTCCAAATAACAGGGTCATGGTGTACAGGGCCGACATCCTTTTGATCGATACAAGCAACGACAAGTACAATGATCACCGTAACAGCAGTTGACAATGAACCAAAGGCACTCATCAAGGCTGTTTCTTTCATGTTTTTAAGCAATACAAGTGGGATGGCGATGATGGCACATGATACGATCGTCCATGGAGTCGGACCAATTGCACCGGGTGTGTTTTTACAGAGTTCCTGAAGATTGGCACCCGACAATACCATGTATAAAACGGGCACACCAAGTAGAAGCCATGCGTTGAAGAAAAAGGTGATCCAGCCACCTACGGCGCCAAATGATGCTGTAGCCACATCCTTGTAACAAGACAATCGTCGATCGCCCTTTGCATACAAGCATCGCACCAAGATGATAGCGGTATACTAGAAATGAAACCGTTTAGGATTTATACGACCCGCGGAACAGCGAAAAAAAAAAGAATTACCGTGGACATGAGCAAGGCCAAAACAAGGATGAAAATACCAATCCAACCTCCTTGAGCCAACGCATGTGGCAAGCCCAAGGTACCAGTGCCAGCAATGACACACACAACATTATAGTATGCATAAGTAGAAGATGCACCTTTGCTACGATCTACGTCTTTGAAATCGGTGCCGTAATCGTATTCGCCTTTAAAAGAGATACGTTAGCTAACCATGATGATTATCAAGATCATAAAGATGACTCACCATCATGATGGACAATCGAGGACCCATACTCAATTGAGCCATTGCCGCCCTTTTCTTTGTAAATTGACATCTGGAAATAGAGGTCACAGGTGTAATGTACAGATGCCGAACCTCACAAAAATACCCGCCCTTTTATACTTGAGGGTGGTTCCAGGGAAAATTTGATGGTTGCACCGAGTATCCTTGGCAGCTTATTGAACCAGGTAAAAAAAGCATAAACCCCGTTTCCAAACACGTATGTATCAAGCGGAGTAGTAGTAGTAAAGATCAAAGAGAAGATTTTCCCCACACTTATTCTCACGATCAGTATTGGCCCCCACTGGGGTGTTTATGATAGCCTACAAAAAAAGACAAAATATCGACCATCCATTCGTTACATGACGTATCGAATTGGGCATGACTTTTTTTCACCAACCCCACAGCTATAAAGTATTCTCGCCATGTCGGATCAACACGGATATAGGTTGCACGAAGGCTATTCAATGGCGGAACACAACAATAAAAACCTGGTGATAAGATAGCAGACCACGTAGCGTCACACATCGTAATAACTTTTGTGCATAGGCAAATAGGTTGCATGAAACATGATCCTTGTGAGGGGTGGGGGTGTGGTAACTGTAAATGTCTAATTTTTTACTGATGTGGACAACATGCAATGATGTTTGATGATGCTGCGCACCCACTTGTCCCAGAAAGTCAAATGATATTTCTCACGCAAGAGCTGCACCCTTCCTCTTTTAAATGTTGCAGAGCACGGGTCCTTCCGTGACAGACGTGGGAAGAAACGTTGATAGGATATTGGCCACCACCCCAACATCAAACAAAACAAAAAAGATGCACGTATCCAAGATGTGGCTAAGTATCTTTGCTGAATAATACTCGTGTCTCATTTGTCCCTGAATGTCAGGGTACAAGTATTCCACATTCCTGTTGTTGTTTCCATGCAACATCAGAAATGAGACATGGATGACGACGACCAAGAAGAATATAGTCCTCTACTACAACTACCTATGAGGTGTTAAAGGAACACAGAATATAACTCATTTCTCTCACATGTACATAAATTGGAACGTGTTCACGAGTACTCGTTAATAAGCATTGGTATCATACTCAATCAGGAATGCTGAAGGCATCACTTGCCATTATTGCCATATCGGGTGATCGTACAAGCTATTGGTTGAATCAGCAGCCGCCTCGTGGAGTGTCACTATTATTACTAGATACTCTCCACCCGCACACGTCATAGGCTCTTTTCTCTTTTAACATGCATGATTGGGCAAAGAGCCATTGATGGGTTGGGGTTGAATATTACTCTTTATGCAAAACCATTCCAATGGTACAATAAATGGTAGGGTGGTGATGGAGGATCATTGTTATGGAAAGTAGGAACCATTCATTATTCGATACAAGACAATGAGGATGGGCCCATGTGAATACGCTAACATTATCCTATAAAGGAGATATTTTCATTGAGGAAAGTTGCATGACTCCAAGTGTGGCGGGTTGACGTTCCGAGAGCAAGAGAGAAAGAAAGAGAGAGAGCGAGCGAGCCTTGACCACCAGCGGAGAGAAAGGAACAGTTGAGCCGTTTATTCCCAACAGCTCTCCAACATCTTCTTGATCGATTGCAAATCTACGTCAACAGCTTGACTCTTTTGGTTGTCGACCACTTTATCTTTATTCTTTCGTTTGAAACAACCTCTGTTCACCAACACCTCACACACCATCTCACTATTCCACAAACATGTCGCTGACCAACTCACGACATTCATCCGCGAGAAAGGATTTTGGCCATCCCAAGCAAAATCAAAGGTAAAGACACGATTGGATATGCGTTCATGGACATGAGGAAACGGCCATTTATTCTATATGCTCAACTCTAGTCGCGGGAGTAACAAAAAGTGGCCCAACAGCAACCGTGGAGGAAGTGCAAGTGGCAGCCATGGACACGCCAATACAACGTCGTCAACAGCAACAGCACCACCACCGCCACCACCAAAGACCATTGAACCTTTGGAAGATGCCGAAACAGCACGTATGATGCATGATCGTATGCTATTTTTGCTTGCCAATTTGACGGTAAGATTCTGAAGATGGGATACATAAAAAGAGAAGCATGATGGGAACTAAGGGTATGATTCATCTAGGGCAGTGCGGTTCAGGTTACTGTCAAGAATGGAACAAAGTTTGAAGGCATCTTTCATGGCGCATCTACTGAAGGTGATCTCGGGATCGCTCTCAAACATGCACGCAAGATCTACGACCCTGCAGCTCCCAAAACTGATAAACAAAAGGTCAACCCTTATCCTGTCAAACCTTCCATGTTGATTATGGGCAAAGATGTCGTCGAGATTAGTTGCATGGATACGGATTTGACAGCTGGCGATCAGGAAAAGAATAGTGAGTATTATATGCAATGAGCTTGTTGGGGCAAAAAAAGTCTAATGCAATGATGGCGCACGTAGCATTCAAGACCGATACGGATATCAGTGGAAAGCTTGAGATCAAAGAGCGTGAATTGCATCGATGGAATCCCGAAGCTCATGTGAGCGAGGGCGAATTACTTGGATCTTTGGAAGAACAAACGTCGACTGTGGATGGATCATGGGATCAATTTGCTGCCAATGAAAAGCTATTTGGCTTGACAACCGATTTTGATGAAGAACTATATACGACACGTTTGGATCGATCAGCACCTGATTATAAGGAACGTGAAAGATGGGCCATTGAAAAGGCAAACGAGATTCAAAAGGTAAGATTCGATCGATGAACTTTATTCATCATCATCTAATATTTCTCTCGTATAGTCTGCTACTAGCAACGTTCACGTGATGGAAGAGCGTGGTTTGATTGTGGATGACAGTGGAATGGATGAAGAAGATCGATATGGTGCGGTGGTGCGTGACGTCAATCCCAACAAGTATACGCCTCCAGCTTTGCGAAAGCATCTTCGTACCGAATCATCATCCAAAAAGGAAGCTGCTACAGAAGGCAGCAAGACCGAGAAAGCTGCAGATGCCACAACCGCTTTGCACCATCTCAAGATATCCAACCTTCCAAAGGGTGGTACAGCTGCACGATCACCTGTTGCAAACTTACCTACTTCACGCCCACATGCAACTGATAAGGTGAGAAAGAAAATGTGAGATACATGATGGGATGGGTGTCTAATAGGTTCATCTTTAATAGAAGTCTGCCGATGGACAATCCAAACATATTGAAGCTGAAGTTGCCAACACATTTCGTGCATTTGCCATACAAGAGAAAGACAAGCTCCATGCAAAGAAACAAGCGATCAAGAAGAAGGAATTCGATGATTTGATGCAATTCCACCAAACGTTCAAGCTCAAGTTCCCAGTGCCTACCGATATTGTTCCTCTTCTTTCAGCTGGCAAGAAGCCAACATCACCAGTATCAGATGACAAGTCTCCGACTGATAAACAAGAGAGCATTTCAGAGGAAGAAAAGAAAGCTGAGCAACAACAGGCAGCATCATCCAGCTCCAAGCAAAGCTCTTCAGCTACTGGAGAAAAGGCCACTGACAAGACGACGACTACAACAACAAAGAGTGAAAAGCCTTCTGCAGAAGCCAACAAGCCTGCCAAATCCACATTCAAATTCAACGTTAAGGCCACTGAATTCAAACCAAACCCAACAGCACCAGCATTTGTTCCTGTAAGCTTTTTTTAGGATGAAAAGGAGGAGGATGTATGTATGTATATATTGATGGGGGAAATGATATAGGGTGCCAAGCCTGCTGCTGGTGGAAGTTCTCCATTTTTCGCTGGACGTCAATTGAAGAAGGGCGCGGCAGCTGAACCTCTTACATTAACCGAAGCTTTTCATCCACCTTTTGCTAAGGGCAAGGAGCCAGTGGCACCTAATTCAGTCGGTAAGGAAAGAAGGGAACCGCGTATGAGAGCAAAAGGAGACATGAACCTTAACGTGAGCCACTCGATATAGGACCAACATGGCCATTTGGTACCAAGCAATATCGACTCCAATTCAATCAATACTCGGCATATGAAGAAGACATGTACGCTGGCTATGGTTCACCTGGTTATCCATACGGCTATCCTCAATATCGCTATCCACCAGTATGTCCTTCCTGAGAAATAGGCTATTGATCCTTTGATCAGCATACTGATGAGCGTTTCTTTTTTTAGCAATACGTGCAAGGAATGCCTCCCATGCCACAGCAAGGAGGTCATCCATACATGAGTCCTCAAGTAAGCTTTTTTTAACGATGTAATTCAAGGAGACACTTACATGGATCTCTTTTTTTTTTGAAGTTTGTGCAAAACGTGCCTTTCACAGCGGCACCGGTTCCTCATGGTGCACCATCCGCTGTCGCCTATAGTCCTCAAATGGCCAATGTTTCTCCTCGTAAGTCTATTTTTTTGATACCCAAGGTTGTCATGGAGCATGTGCTCAATGTCACTATATAGACGGTTCACCCTATATGCAAAACTTTTCCTCACCGCAACGATCACCCATCCCTCCTCACGGTGCACCCCCTCAACCTGTTTACCAATATCAAGGCGCTGGTCCTCATGGTACATGCAATGAATCGGAAAAGTAATACATGGTATTGATATAGCTGCGACTATCTTTAGGTGCTCCAGTCATGATGACATCTGGTCCAGGCCAAGTGATGGTACAAATGCCAGTGATGGACTACAATCAGGCCCCATACCCCTATCCGCAACAGCAGCAACAACCACAACCACAACAACATCCCGAACAATCGCAAACCTCCACACCTTGTAAGTTATTCTTTATATGATCACGTTACTATTTACTGCCCACTCACACGAACATTCTATAGCTACCACCAACGAATAGTCCGCATCATTTACCGAAGCTTGATATGCAGTTTTGGGACATGTGAAAAAATAAAAAGGGTTTTATCACACCCCAAGTGCGTGTTTTTTTGGAGCTGGGCTGCAACAAAGTTAGGGCCTTGTACTGCTTGTAAATTGTGTGGGATCCTGTTGTCGAGAAGGCCTAGAATGCGAGATTCGAGAGAGAGAGAGTGGTGCATGAGATCAACCCAACTCCGCGTTGGCATGTCTATAAAAGCTGAAACGACCTATTGTTTGTTTGTCTTTTTCGTTTTCCAACATTCAGTGTCCAAACCCCCTTCTTCCTTCATGCTTCATCCTCCTGCAATAATAGTATTAGTGTTCGTGTTGACAGCTCTTTTGGCTGCATCGGCAGCACCTATGGACACCAACGATTGTACTTCCTTCATGATGGACGATTCAAATGACAAGATACATCCATTGGTAGGTTTTGACAGAGCCCATCATGTCATGTAACATACCATTCATTAACATTTCTGTTTTTTCACTAGTGCACAAGTAAGCTGCAATCAACATGCATGTCTTTATTCCACAGCTTGTTAACCTGATGACTTTTTAGACCAAAGCGTCCGAGTGCATGAAACCACGGCCACTGCAAGTGCCAAAGCTGTGTTACCAACATCGCCAATGGTTCCTCTCCATGGCAACGACAACGATAAACAAAACCATGGCAACGATTCCGACCAACACACAATTAATCATGACACGACTACTGGAGATGATAGCAAACAAGACGTTGACCACCAAGGTGCCCATCATCGATTTGATTTCCCTATCGACCACAATACTGGCAGTGACATGGACCATGGTGTTGACCACGACATTGATCATAACACTGACTACGACTTTGGCCATGACATTGACCATGACACTGATAATGACAGCGACAAAGATGATGACAATGATGATGACCATGAAACTGATAATGACAGCGACAAAGATGACGACAATGATGATGACAATGACATTGACCATGATTCAGACGACACTATGGAACATGCTGTTGATGACAACAATGATCACAGCACAGCTGACCATAACATCAACCATGACACGTTCAACGACACCACAAGTGAAATTGACCATGACTTGGATGATGATAAACAAGACGATGATGAAGACGATATACCAAGCAATACCACTATCAGCAAAAACAAGAGTGGCCTAACGGTGATACTTCAAGATGATAAAAACTTTTGTCTCTTCCTTCCAAGCTCCCCGGGCAATCGAGACGAGAATAATGGAAAGAATGATCCTAGTGCTATCAGCGATTCAGAAAAGTCAGCTCGTGTATTTTGCACATCCAAATCGAGCCAACATGCTGTCCCTGGTGGAAAGCCCATGCCCAAAGGGTTTATCAAATCCGCAACATTTGCCAGTGATCGTAGTCGTGATTTTGTGCAAGTAACGGGATCCATTGACCGTGATGCATATGCATTATCGCCCAAAGACGGAGGTGGTCAGGTACAGATTTCAGTAGTACATTCACACTCCTCACGTCACTGATCCACTCACTCTTTTTCTCCCTCTCCTTGAATATATAGTACGATAATCATGGGGCTGGATCACCACCTGAATCCCAATGTATGGGTTATCCCTATTTCGTCGCATTGGTCGAGCCCGACATTAATCATTTTTGTATCCGATGGTAAATGATTTTGCCCATATGGTACATACACACACAAGCAGCATGATTAACAATTTCCCTTTTTATTGTATGTAGCTGCAAATGGTATAGCGACTGCCATGCAGGCCGAAGCGCTTATGGTTGCCAGCGTGTCATCCCTGAATTGCCCCCCGATCATAACTTGTAATGTGTGTATCTTTTGTATAATGCGGTTGTTGTAGTAAACAAAGCTATGATGCTTTTTATTTGCCATAACGTATCAATGTCGGAAATGATTTTCATGTCAACGTGAACACTACATTCATGCGGATGTAACAGTGATACAGCAGTGACAACATTTAAAAGCAACTCCGGTTCATGGACAGCATGCATCGGCATTTGGAAGTTTCATCTCGTGGCATGCATGTTAATATCAAATGTGGGATAAGCAAGGTGGATGATGATAAAAAGACAATGCTATCATCATGAAAAACCAAAGTCCAACGACATGACAACGAGCTAGTGGTGGTCATATTTATAGTGCGTAGAGGAGAAAGGTAAACAAGATATCCAACGCATATTTATTGGGTCGCCAAAAGATTAAAATGAGGGAGAATATACAGATGCTAAAAAGTATTTACATTGCGATAGCGCTTTTTCATGGCGAATTGCTTTTGATTTTGGAATAAACCACGCAAAGCATCAATAACTGCCGGGGAATCGATTTGATGGTCTCTGCCGAATTGGTAGGCCAGTCTAGATGGATCATCGTGAAGACGAATATTAATCGGTATCTTGGTTCCTTGCTCCAACTCAACGTTGATGGATACGACAATGGGGTTATCAACTTTGGGTGGATCGGCTGCTTTGCTGGGAGGTACAAGAGGTGTCCCTGCTCGATAGTTGGCTGGTACTGGCTTGGAGCTCTTGGTCGAGTACTTGGGTCGGCTGCGATTGGAGAAACGACCACCTGATGGCTTTTCATTCGCACTCGTATTAGTATCCTCTCCCCATCCTTCTGCAGAGACACCATTGCTTGTATTTGTTGTATTTCCCCATGTCGTATTCGACGTTGTTGTTGTTGTGGTCGTGTTATTCCATGTGCCCCAAGGTTCAGATTCAGCTGGTATCCAATCATGCTCAGGTGACCATCCATTATCAACCTTGGGTTCCTCCATAGTGCTATTCGTATTATAATCTCCTGCTGGTGGTGTAGATGGTATATTGGTATCAGTGGATGTAGCTCGTTTTGGTAATGGCGACCATGAGTCAAAGTCTTCAATCAGCTTTTCAACCGGTGGATCCGATTTCTATACATAAGCAGACCATTGTAAGTATGAAACAACGTGGATCTTTTACACACAAACACACCTTTTCATTCTTGTATTGATAATCAGCAGGAGATGGTTGTCCATTCATTGGAGATGATATAGGCTCCTATTTTATGTATTGTTAGTAACAATGTCCCATTAGAAGAGAAAGATAGAGAGCGAAATAAATAGGATGAGACTTACCGATTCCCAAAATGGATGATCTACCAAAGGTTGGTTTCCCCACGATGATACGCCATTGGATGGTGGTGGCCGAGTTGTAGTAGTGGAGCGAGATGATGTTGTTGGTGGGTAGCCACGACTACGAGCAGGTTGTGATGAATCCATCCAAGATGGATAATTGTTGTTGATAGGCGACTGTTGCTGCTGCTGTTGTTGTTGTTGCTGTTGTTGCTGTAGCTGAGATGCATCCCATTGACTCCATTGTGAAGACGCGTTTGGTTGTGCTTTTGGACGACTCAAACGTGCACCGCTCGGCGACTTTTTGGCGTATGTCTCGTCACGATTGGAGTGTGGCGTTCGTGGTGAAGAGCCTTTCTTGTCTGGTAGCTTTTTGCCTTTACCACCACGAGAGCCACGCTTCTTGGTACCCTTCTTGCCTGGTACTTGGATCTTTTTGCGTTGTTGCAGGATAGCTTCTTCTTCAATAGGCTTGTAATTCTTTCCTTGTCGATGCAATCCACCGCTACCAAGTCCTTTGGGACCAATCTTGGCATTGGGATCGGCTAGTGCATGCCAACCTGACAAGACAGCCTCGTCCTCTGCATCGTTGCTCCCCTTTTGATCTCCCCATGCGCCAACAATAGGTCCATATTCGTCATCGCTGTTGTCGCTACTGTAATCGCTCATGTGTGTATGTGTCTCTCTCTCGTCGTCGACAGGGAAGTTGACAACCCTGATTGTATACAAAGAGGAATGAACGGGGAGGAGACAAGGTTGATATTTTCAAGTGAGTGAGAAAAAGAACGGGATTTTGACTCCCATCGTTTTGACACCTTCGAATTAAACTACCACGCTTCCTGACTTGTTTCACTGATACACATGCATTAGATTTCTTTGATATTCCACGTGTAATTCATCCCTTTTCATTATATAAAGAAATCCAATTCCTCTATTACAACATGCTATGGTGTGGCTAATCCTTGCTTGATTCGTTGTCTCTGGATCAACCCCCAATTGAATGCATTCATTGCATACAAGATGTTGATCATGTGTGCAATAGTGTATTTATGCCTGTGTTCTCTATATGTGATTCCTCAATGGATGAATTGACTCTAGAAATCAACTTTCCATTGTATGCGTCATTCACGTATGCTCTTCTGTACTTGTTATCATGTCCAAACTCGCATACAGTATTGTTTTTCTTGAAGGTTTCGATCCGCGACGTCCCCATCAACAGTGAACAAATACCCAAACGTGGACTAGACATGGATTTTGGAACCAGGTATTAAAGCACAACATGAAGGAACCTTATCCAATCCCCCCTTTCCGATCTTCAAATTTCTATCCCCCAACCAAGCTATCCACATCTTGCACATACAAGTTGATAGTACGATACCCTTCTAAATGATACGTTGAATCCAATTTTCATTCAATCAAAGTCGAAGAATAGCACGTTGTAGTGTGAATGTTTATGAAGTAAATATGATAGAGGAACAATATTGCAAATTCACGAATAAGATACAGGGGGGTAATCACATTGAGGAAACAAGGGAATATGTGTCATTGTATTCTTGTTTGTTGCCATCATATGTAAAAGTCCTTCATCCATGATTGCAAAATAGCTGCTGCGTGCATCTCATCCATCATCATCATCATCCTCGGCCGTATCCACGTGATATGGTCCATCGTTCCTGCTGACAACGTGACAAGTGATCACCATGATTGAATCCACTGCATTGATTGAATCCATCCACCATCACCATTCCAAATCCAATATGCTGGTCAAAAACCAGAGATTACTGCTGATGTGCTCCCTTTCCCATCTGCTCCCTATCCTCTCTCTTTGTTGGTCATTTTCCATCGCAGCTCAACCAGGCGAAGATTGCTTGTATGGCGATGTAGGTGGTAGCTGATACGGGATCATCCATTGGAATCCGTATGTATCCAAGCAAGTGCTACACGTAAATAAAGCTGCTCCTGTACAATGGGCTATCTCCTGTTCACGCAAAAAGGCTGCAAGGCAAGTTGCTGCAAGTAACTTGAGTCGATGGAGAAAAGACGTCGCTGATAGCAACTGTTGGAATGAACGTTGCTACGTTTGGTTGTGGTCGAGAGGTGTGCAAGAAAGTGCGTTGTAGTAAGAGTGACAAGACTGTGTACACGCCATGAACGTGCCATCTAGTCAAAGGCTTTCGGATCAAGGCAATTGATGATTAGCAAGGTAGGTTGAAGCATGACAATCGTTTGCAAGATGTAGTAGTGTAGTTGTACTTGAATGGGGCCAGCATTTGAGAATGGGAGGAAGAGGGAAGAATCTAAGAGAGGAAGAAGTGGAAATTAAATGCAGGGTGAATTGACATTTCTTTGTTTGACCGTTGCTCAGTCAAATCCACTCGGATCAAGAGAAGTTGAATGATGACAATGATGGGTTGGAGCAGGACAATCGTTCACATGCATTGAGTTGCTTAAAAAAGGTGAATGGGAGGAATGGGCTGCTAGCTGGCGGTTTACAAATAAGTTTGCAAAATGATTTCTCTGAAGTTGGATGATGTTTCTGTGTTTGACCGTTTTTCAGCCAAATCCCCTCAGATCAAGAAAGTTGAATGATGGACATGATGGACTGGATCAGAGCAATCGTTCGTATGCATTGGGTTGGGTAAAAGAGCTGAATGGGAGGAATGGGCTATCAACCAGCAGTTTACAAATAACTAATCACAATGATCTTTGTACTTTTGGATGATACTTCTGTGTTTGACCGTTTTTCAGTCAAATCCCCTCGGATCAAGAAAGTTGAATGATGGAAATGATGGGCCGGAGTAGAGGAATCGTTCGTATGCATTGGATTAGGTAACAAAGGTGATCGGTTAAGAAGTGCACTATTGACAATATCCCGTACATTGCGAGCTAACAACCATTCCTCACAATCGGCAATGTGCGCTGATACGACAGTGGAACGATTCTCCTGCTTCAGACATTCATTTCCATGATTGGATTATGTTGATCCGAGTTGATTTGGCTGAGCTACTTCATACAAGGTTACTTCAGTTGAGCAACATAGAGCATGGTTAGATGTGTGGATTGATGTAATCCCTCTTTGGCTGTATCTCAGCCAAATCAACTCGGATCAACATAATCCAATCATGGAAATGAATGTCTGAAGCAGGAGAATCGTTCCACTGTCATAGAATGGGCAACGTACACGTGAAATGTGTTATGATTATTGTCAGCGGGGTACAGTATGCATCCTTCCATCCTTCTAGTCATGCAAAGTAGCTGGTCCCGAGACCTCTGCATCTTTTGCTCTGTCAGGGTCTAGCTACTTTACATTAAACAAAGACCACTTCTCATATAGCATCACGCTTACAAACATAAAAGTGCCTATATCTCCAAACTTTACAATGAAACGTGCGGTTTTTATTAGAGCAATGGGCTCGGCTTGGCCAACAGCACCTTGTGTGAAAGTTTCACGTTCAATGTCGCAACTTGCCCAAAAAATATTTTTCTGGTCGTCGTCGTCGAAGAGGTCGACCCCCAGATCCAGTTTGGCTGGTAGCGACATTGCGAAATCTGGGATTGGCATGCTTGATCGTGAAACTGGCATCCAAGGTGCAGTTGGCCAAGCCGCGTCCATTGCTGTAATAAAAACCCCACGTTTGATTGTAAAGTTCGGAGATACAGGCATCTTTATGTTTGTAAGCGTGATGCAATACAAAAGATGGTCTTTGTTCATTGTCAATCAACTAGACCCTGACAGAGCGGAGATGCAGAGGGACTTCTTTGTGTAACACAGCTCATTGGGTGGTACTAGAAAGGATCAATGCATGATAATACATACTATGATAATAGTTCATAAAATGCCAGCTAACAGCCCGTTCCTCCCAATTCCATCTTTTTTCAAATCCACTGCATGGGAACGATTCTCCTGCTCCAGCTCATCATTTCCATCATTCAACTTCCTTGATCCGAGCTGATTTGACTGAGCTACACCCAAACAGCAAACATGAAAATAAATGAATCGCAGACCCTGCGAATGTCTCCGTCTTTCAAACTTTTGGACGCTCCCATTCCAAATTTTCAAATGAAGCGTGAGGTTTTTATTAGAAAAAAGTTGTTCAGCATGCTCGGAGCATCATTCTGACCAATCTTCAAGTTGGAGGTGGGCAATTTCGGGGCGGTGGGCCGTCCGCTCTTTTGTTGGTGTCATCCACCATTTGGACAGCCCCCGCATTTTAAATCTTCACAATGAAGCCTGCGATTTTTAAATGAATGAAGGTGATCAGCATGTTCCAGCGAACCTCCTGACAAAGTTTCAAGTTCGAAATGAGGAATCCCAAGGTAATACACACTATGTCGATAAATCATGAATCGGCGCTGTCCTCCGTTTCCGATTTACATAGTAAACCCACACTGCACCCTCCCATTCCAAATTTTCAAATGAAACATGAGGTCTTTTTTAGAACAACGTGATCAGCATGTCCAAGACCATCTTGTGTGAAAGTTTCAGGTTCGAGATGGGCAATCTCAAGGTCATGGATCAATTACAGTATGCATGGATTTATACAAGAGGTGTCCGACAGCTCAGCCTACTTTAATTTCCACTTCTTCCCTCTTCCTCCCATTCCCTACTGTTGGTGCATTCAAGTACAACTACACCTGCGAACGATTGTCCTGCTGCTATCCATCATGTCAATCCTACCACACTCTTGATCCGATTGTCTTTGACTGAACGGCAAGTCCATGGCGTGTACACACCATTCTTGTCACTCTACTACAACACGTGCCTTCCTTGATACTACACAATGTCTTGCACATCTCTCTCTTCCACGATCAAGCGTAACAGCATTCATTCCAGCAGTTGCTATTAGCAAGGTCTTTGCTCCATTGCCTCAAACAGCGTTCTTTACTTGCAGCAGCTTGCCTTACACCCTTTGTTACGTGAACAGCAGATAGCCATTGTATAGAAGCAGCTTTATTTACGTGTAAACAACGCGTTTCAATACATACAAATTCTTATGGATATGGATATGGACCGGAATACTGCATTGCTTTGGCACATGGGATGGAAGGAATGGTTCTCTTGGCCGTTTAGCACATGATGTCTAGTTTGGATGACGCCATGTCACCAATCAACTACGCCACAATACAAGCAATCTTCATCTGGTTGAGCTGTGAACTGCGATGGAAAATGACCAACAAAGAGAGAGGATATGGAGCGGATGGGAAAGGGAGCACATCAGCAGCAATCTCTGGGGCTTCTTTCAACCAGCATATTGGATTAGGGATGGTTATGGTGGATGGATTCAATCAATGCAGTGAAGGGAGTCATGGTGATCACTTGTCACGTTGTCAGCAGCAACATGGATCATATCACGTGGATACGGACGAGGATGATGATGGATGAATGGGATGCACGCAGCAGCTATTTTCCAACCATGGATGAAGGATGTTTACAATACGATGACAACAACCAAGAATACAATAGCACATTTCCCTCCGTTGCATCTTTATGATTCACCCCACCCCGTATCTTATTCAAATCGCAATGCTGTTCCTCTATCATATTTACTTCATAAACATTCACACTACAATGTACTATTCTTCGACTTTGATTGAGCGAAAATTGGGTTCAACCTATTATATAGAAGGGTATCGTACTATCAGTTTGTATGTGCAAGACGTGGATCGCTTGGTTGATTTTATGGATTGAAGGAGGGGGACATGTCTCGATTCTTTCTTTTATGTACGCCTAATGATTGTAGGATTTATGAGCAACGGCTGATATTGGGATATTGGGATATTCTTAAACCGGTAATCTTGCATAGTCTTCGGGTTCCTGCAATTCACGATTGCCCTTGCTGTATGCGTGAATCGTGGCTTTGAATGGAGCATTAGGCTTGTGCTCTCGTTCACTATACCATATCATTTACCTTCAAATCCCAAAACATCACTCCCGAAGTCTCGTTCCAGCAATCTTGTCACCTCTGTTACTCCACTAGCAACTCCTAAACTATTCATAACATAATTAAGGATGTCGCTCAAACCTTTGTATACTTTCTTTTTACCTGAAGCTTGGAGAAGGTCGAAGACATGCACCCAAGAATTGCGACGTTGCCAGTCTCGAGGAACAACTGCTGATCGCACTTCAATCAAGCACCACTTGCCTGCAGATGAGCATTTTGTTGATAACAATGTGATCTTGTCGGATACACATTGGATGGAGAGTATTTGGCGGAGAGTGAAGGTATCCCAAGAGGCAAGAAGAAGGTTGTCCATCTCGGCTTTCAGACAGTGGTGCGAGCATTCCATCAACTTGAGGGTGTCTTCCTCCACCCTCTCCAACTTGTGCTGACCAAATCCAATACCATCGAGTAGCTTTTTTTTGGCCATTGGATAGGCAAATCATTACTTGTTTTTGTAATTTGGATCCGATTTCGCACCTATTCACAGAATACATTGAGCTTTGAAATTAGCTATCTCTTAAAATGGGTATACTTAATGTACTTACCATAGGAACGACACTACCATGTGGAGGCTCCATTGATCACCATCCCTTCCGAAAATAAGGGCTGTGTTATGTTGACGTGACATTACGGGTCCATAGCTAGAGCCATACTGAATTCTTGACCTTTGGAAGTGACGGACGCCTATGGAATCAAGGATCGTAGTAGGAGAAGGTATGGCTTCATTAAAGGCGCTTTTAGGGAAGCCGCTATGTCATCCTCATGAGAGCTATAGTACAATGTGCCGCCTAATCCAATTCTGAAGATGCACCTAGGGAGATAGCTACATTGAAAGAAGTATAAATACGTGCTTCATCAAACGAAATGATTGGGTCTTCCCTTAATAAAAGAGTCAAATATCACAATGATAGCAATGACAATGAAAATGGGAAAACAATGAACACTATGGATGAACACAAAGATTAGCTCTCATGCATAAGGTTTAGAGAAGGCTCTCCACCACGATACTTACCAAGATCTTTTGAAGGTGTCAGCAATCAAAGAGTGATATGATAGGAAGAAAGAGATGTGTGGGTGAAAACCATATGGACGACGACATTCTTGCTTATTTTTTCATGGTGGGTGTGGGTATTTATGTGAACACAAGCAGGGGGGAATAGGCGATAAATTGTTTGTTGGGGATGATGATGGGATGATAGATTATTGGGAGTACCTTTACCAGTACTATGTGAGACTTGGTGTGATGCATAAATCAGGATTTGTGATAAATAAGGTGGCGATATCCATCAACCGTTTGGTATGACAAATCACTTTCTGTGCTACTATAAGGCGTCATTTCCGGATGCTTGTGTGTGGGATACGTTGCAGAAAGTAAAGTTGATAGCATCTTTATCGATAAACATAGTACACAGTCGTAAATGCATCGCCCAGCATTGGGATGGTATAACGCCTTCCCGAATTGCATTGCCCCACGACGCAGCACAATAATAACAAGACACCATATGGAACCTGCCATTTTACCATTGTATTCTAATATCAAGAGGACTATGAATGCCCCATTACCTATCGAGCGTTTATAAATCGCTTATCAAGAAACTTGGCTACAAAGACAAAGAACATCGGTCTTCATGTTAAACCCATAACGTTTGTAGCGGCGCACATGATGGATTGTTCCTCAATTACTCCAAAAAGGTCTATAATTGGGACAATATTTATTTTACAATACGAATGTACAATCTCAAGGGGACAACCCAAATGTGTTATGTTTCCAATATCAATAACTTGGATGAGGATGATGATGTTAGCTAGCGTTTACTATGCAAGACACCTAGACTTGTAATTCCGAAAGTGAGTCGCTGATGATGGGATCAGTGCCGATCAGGAACTTGAGATAATCTCGTATCTCCGTTTTATCATCTCTCTTTGTTCCCTTTGTCTCACACTACTCACACTATTTTTTACTCCCAATGGCGTCGAAGGAAAAGAAAGATCCCGTCTTCTCACTCATTTCTGGCACTGTGGCAGGTGCTGTGGAAGGTGTCATTACATACCCAACCGAATACGTCAAGACACGGTTACAACTTCAAGCTGGCGGCAAACTTCAACCTGGTGAACCACGATTCAAGGGTCCCATTGACTGCTTGGTGCAAACATATCGTACACGTGGATTCTTTGCCATTTACACAGGTGTCAGTGCATTGGCAATCGGCAATGCTGCCAAAGCTGGCGTACGGTTCTTGACCTATGACCAAATAGCGAACCAGTTGCGAGACAAGGATGGCAAGTTATCTGGTGTTCGAAGTCTATTAGCTGGTCTTGGTGCTGGTATGACAGAGGCAGCTTTAGTGGTAACGCCATCAGAGACCATCAAGTATGTATTTTGGAGAGGTGGGGGTGGGATTTGAGATAATGCATGATTACTTACTCTCCCCTTTTTTAGAACCAAATTGATCCACGACAAGAACAGCGCATCACCAAAGTACAATGGCCTTGTTCATGGAACACGTCTCATCATCAAGGAAGAGGGTCTTAGCGGCATTTACAGAGGTCTGGGTCCAGTGATGGCACGTCAAGGTGCTAATAGTGCAGTGCGCTTCAGTTGCTATTCTACCATCAAAACGTCTCTACAAAATTTCCGTGGTCAAGGTGATGTGCCACTTCCATCCGCATACACATTCCTTGCAGGTGCTATGGCTGGTATTGTTACCGTTTACTCGACGATGCCCTTGGATGTCATCAAGACTCGCATGCAGGGTTTGGATGCAAAGGTTCTTTACAAAAACTCGGTCGATTGTTTGGTTAAGGTTGTCAAGGAGAATGGTGTATTATCCCTTTGGAAGGGTGCTACTCCCCGGTTAGCGAGATTGATTGTAAGTGTCAATGAGGTGATGGAGAATGAGCATGCATTATTAACATACGTATGTGCCTTTAGTTCTCGGGTGGTATCGTGTTTACAGTATACGAGAATGTTTACTCAGGCCTTTCCTATCTCAAGCACTAATTAGAAGCATCACTCAATAAATGCAACATACACATCAAAGTTTGAACAGGATACAAATGCAAGGTGCGATATATTATGGAATGGTCAACAAGTAAACTATACACTAGAATGCAATAAGGGTAGTTGTATACATATATAAAAAATTGGATATCGTATGTCGAGAGGAATAATGATGCGATGGTGCTGTGCGTTTGCTATACAGGAGAATGGGGTGATCTTGGGCTAACAGGTCGATCGAGGTCTTGCAGGGATGCACTAATGGAAAGCTGAGTGACGGATCTCATGACTTCAGGTCGACAGCTATCGGGCTCTTTGACAGGATCATCCATGTTATAATCATCATTGGCAAAGGGTGAAGAAGGACGTGCGAGAACAATGCTATCATGATCGGAACCAGAAGGACGTCGACTTGCAGCACCTGATCCACGTCGATATTGTTGATAATGTCGAGCATCCAATGAATGGCGAGAGGTAGGTCTGCTGCTGCTGTTACTGCTTTGCATACGAGTGGGACTACTTGGTTGACTTGATGGATCACGATGCTTGCAGTGTCGATTATTTTGAACAGGCTTCAATGGCGTACGAGAAGTGTAGGACATTGCAGGTGATACAGGGTGGCTGTTACTGTCGACGGATGTGGGAGACTGTACAGTAGCTGACAAAATAGTATCAGAAATGGTAAAAAGCAATAAACCAGCACGGACTCTTCCACATTTTCCCCCAAATGGTTTTCCTTGTACTTACTGCTGTTTTCAGCTTCATATTCGGGAGGTTCGATCCATTCATCGGGAATGACGCAAGGGAACATGGTACCTAGCTTAGCTGCACGATTGATCCATCCTGGTGCTCCTTTGTTGGTAAGCTTCTTGCATAGCTCATGGGTGAAATGATTGCAATTCCTCGTCAATAGGTTGTAAGATGTGCCAACAAATTCGTGGGATATTTCATGTAACACTTCTTTGACTTGGGCTTCGCTTAGATCGGTGCATCCCATAGAGATGGATTGTCTAATGTGGCAAAAGCGGGTGATCAGTGATTCATTTCCTTCTAATTAAGCCATTGTATCACCATCACCATCACCACGATCATATCATCAGAAAACTTACTTGAACAAAACACCTGGAGGACCGATCTTGGGCTCAACAGCAAAAACACCTGTGAGATTCTCGTATTCATGGCCACCAAAGCAGTATTCACGTCCTGCTACTTCCACACCAGAATGATAGATCCCTGAATTTCATTGTTATCAACACATCCATCGATACTCCTTCACAACAACAGGTTTTTTTCTTTGTCCTTACCAACCCCAAGCGTATCTCCAATGTTGGTGAGAAGACTCGGCTCAAGCTGCAATAGAATCCAATATCAGTATCCTTGCCCAAAGTTTGAAGCATGTTGCTTACCATATCATACACGTTAATAAAGACTATAGAAGAGTTGAATCACGATACCAATGAAAGAATGAGTGCATGTCGTAAAGAGAAACAACAGATGGTGTGAAGGGGTACCTCGTAGCTTGTTTGCATTGTGTGAATGACGTGATTTCCAGAACCCATTGCACATGCTTTCGAACATTGTGTTCCACCATAAAACAAAGAAGTCCAACCAACTCGGGAAGGGCTCACCACTTTAAAAAACAAGACCTTGTGACACAAGACATCAGGGTGGATTTGAGAGATGAATGTTCAGGCACTCTACACTGACGACCGTCATATATCATCCTTCAGTTTAAACATCACTTGCATATCCTGCTCATAGCATTACATCATATTCAACGCACAAAGGTACATGTATCATTTACAAACATAAAACAAGCATCGCTTTTATTTGTGTTTGGAGTATAGGGAGAGCGAATACAAGAAAGAAGTGCGTGTGTGTGTGTGTGTGTGTGTGCACGTAGTCTACAAGGCAAACAGGGTACTCCAGCACAAAGGTGAAGTTTAAAAAGGTAACCCAACACCCCCCCATAAACAAGTGCTCGTGTTTAAAAGGAGTACCATTCAACGAGCTTTTCTTGTTTTTATATTATCATTTTCTTTTGTTTGATTGTTAGGCCTATAAAAGGCCGCCAAAAATTGCCGCAGCACTGGGAGACCCAGTACTTGCAGACGGGTTATTGGTTGTAGTTTTCAACCAGCAATAAACCAGCATCGGTAGAACCTCACTTGCGTGGTTTTGCCCTAGCACAAGGATAAAGAAAACGAAAAGGGCCTTGGGGAGACCCTCTTTTTATAATTTTTCGCAACCCCAAAAACCGTCACAATGGAAAGTTGTAGAAACGTTTCATGGACCAATAAACGACGGCAAACGAATTCGCCAGATTGAGTTCGAAATCGTCGCCCGCAGCGACGTTTTCACTCACAGCCTGCTTGCCTGTGCCCCAATTTGCTTCCTTGGTGTTACTCCTTTTCTGCTGGCCGTGCACTGCCGTAGCATACAAATGATAAATTGATGGATCCATTTTTAATGACAAACGCTACAACTGAAATGAAAGACATCAAAAAGAAAAAGAAAAACAATGATGGTGGAGGTGCTCAAGACATTTGACGCAAAGCATCTTCTGCTAAAGCGTTGCGCTCACGTTTCCAAGCATCATCACGCTTGGGACGATTGAAAGCTGTTTCATACAAGGCCGAGCTACCAAAAGTCTCATCAAACTTGGCACCTGTTGGAGCAAATCCAGTGGCATCCATGGCTCGCATGCCCTTAAAGTCAACTTGAGACGCGTTGAAAGCACCAGCTGAAATCCTATCCCACAATGAACGTCTTCTTTGAGGAGGCATTTGTGGTTGCTGCGGCTATACATACGTAACACGTGAGATCATGTCATTCATCATCATCACTCAACGCTTATACAGTAATACATTCATCATACATACCTCGCTGTTGACCATGGATGATTGTTCAGTGTTGTTGCTGTTTTCACCAAGTGGTTGCATGTTGGAAAAAAGGATGAAGAAAAAACAGATGCATTCACACGCCCATTTTTAAAGCATCACCTGGCTTATGAGAAATTGTTGAATGGATGTAAACATGTCTTTTGCAGAGTACCCAATCAAGAATGGAAAAGGGTTGCATAAATAACACTGGAGCTATCCCATTTTCATGCTTCGGGCCATCCATCCTAAAGATTCTCTCATCCACCAACTCAATATCGATATCCATAGCGACAAGCTTGATTGCTGTCAAAATAGAACTACTTTTTATTGCATCATACAGCGGAAGAAACCATCTAATGCTAAAGGTAGCAATGGTTGGTGACAGAAGGCAATCATCCTGGCAACGAGGTAATCACCATGGCAACGAGGCATTCTATCCATGACCCATTGAAAGCAAAGTTGTTCATCTCGCGCATGACCCCAATTATGACAACCGCTGGAAAGCAATTTGCATCAACATTATCCGCGACTGATGGTGTGTGAGTGTATGGTGCTATTCGATCAATGATGCTGCATCCTTTTATTGATTGATGGCCAATACATCTAGTGATAATGATCATCTATAGGATCCCACATATCCATCCTCATATCCACACGTCGTCAATCTCCAAGGATATTGCCGTCTTGTCTCAAACGCATTGAAAAATAAACGTGTTTCAATCGTATCTTGTCTCTTGGAAGCTTGGCGTATCATCGTACGCTGCATATCCATTGTTATAATCGTCTTCATGACCCATTGATCCAGTACCATCATGTTGTGGACGTTGTAGTATTGGAGCAGAAAATCAACCCAAAACGTTCAGCATTCGAGTGTTGCTTTGACCACGTTCAAGATCTTGACGTCTCATTCTTGCTCCATGTCGTAAAAGATCCTGGACAGTAGATCGTGTGCGTTGTCAATGTCATAAAAGCAATGAGGAAAAGTAAACGCGTGTTGAGTTACGTATGTAAGAGCGAGAGAGCAAGAAGGATTCCTCTCCTGCAATGCGTTCGTTTACGTGCCGGCTTCCGATCCCGGATTATAAAGCTCCCACATTGATCTTTGTGCACCCATTCTTCCATGATGATTGTAATACAATGACAATGTCAACCATGCCAACAATGAATGTAGAGAACAATGGCACGCTATGAGTGATCAAGATTAAGATCGGCTTTAATCTACGGTACAAAAAAGGATCATCATCCACTATCGTGCTTACCAACAAGGTGTATTGGTGTAGGAGTGTGTTGTTGTAAGCAATGAATGAGATGCGTGGCGTACATTTCTTGTTGTTTATATGCATAGTAGGCGTGTGAATTGCCTACATTTGATGATATCCTATCATGTTGTTATGGTGCAACATTCCTCCTTGTTGATCACCAGCCGACAACCCATTTCAATATGCAATCTTTCATGTCATTGATTTCAGCAAGAATAAAAACAGGTGTATTGGACAAAGATATATAGTACAGGCCACTTTTCTCGTGACGAATTTGCTGCAGTAGTGGATGGCAGCCGAATAGGTTGATAGAACAATAAATAGTATAGAACAGAAATGTAATGGTAAATCATGTTACAGTAATCTAAGCGCGGTTGGCTTGTTTTTGATCATCATCTACGTTGTTGTTGTCGTCTTTTGGTTTGCTGTTTTGGTTGTTGTCGGCTTCACCAGCATAAGCGTAGTCATGCACGATGATACCATTTTCAGTACTCTCAACAATGCCGCCGCCGATTGATATTTCTTCAATAGCAAGTGAGGGTGTTGACCTTGATGCTGATGCATTGTCGTTTAGCGATACTTGAAGGGATTGTGATGATGAGGATGTGCCACTGGTAGCCGCGGGTGCCAATGTAGTGGGGTCACTCTCACTGTTACTGTTGCTAGGTTGATTGCTGCTACTACTGCTGCTGCCGCTGCTTTGCCCAGTAGAGTTATCGGCGCTTTGGCCAATATGTAAATGTGCGTATTGTTGTTGTTTGTGCTGTTGCCACTGATTCGTAGATGATGATGATGATGATAATGGAGGTGGTGGTGGTGGCATTTTTGCAAGTGGTATTGATCCAAGGTTTTTGGCTTGGCCATAATCAAGTACTGCTTCTTCGGTTAATGTAGGTGCTCCAGCTACAGTAGTTGATCGTTCTCCTCGTCCAAAAAGACGTTTAGCAAAGCTGAATGGATCAAAACGCCTCACTGAATATAGGGATGCAGCTGCTCCATCGGTGATACGGCTATTGACACGACGCATTTCTTCTCCCCATTCAACATAGCCATAGGCTGTTTCTCCCATTTGAGCTCGGTCGGTACCAATTCTTTCATCCTCGTGATGCAAACGTAACTGCATGGATGGAATCTTATCAATGATAAGAAGCATGATGTAGGTGACGACAAAAGACCATCCCGAAACAGCAGCGATCATGGCAAGTTGTATGGGCACTTGCATCCAATGACCATCGAGCCATCCGCCAATTTGAATATCTTCAAGAGGTGTACCTTGAGGACTTCCAAGGCCAATCACATAGCGTTCCGCAAAGATGCCTGTCAACAACAATCCAACCAAGCCGCCAACATAGTGCACCGTAAAGACATCAAGCGCGTCGTCAAAGCCATACTTGTGCTTGTATCGAACTGCATAATTGCATGCAACGCTGCCAAGAAAGCCAAACAAAAGGGCACTGCTAGGAGACACAAATCCTGATCCTGGTGTGATTGTGGCGAGGCCTGCAATGACACCTGTTGTCAAGCCGACGACACTCCATTTGCGTGTATACAACCAGTCAATCATGATCCAGACGACAGCACCCACACAAGCTGCAAGGTGGCTCGCTACAAACGAGTTGGCTGCACGTGCATCAGCTGCAAGGCCGCTACCAGCATTGAATGCAAACCATCCAAACCATAAGAATGCAAGGCCAATGTACATGTATGAGACATTGTGTGGTGTTGGATGCGTTTGTTCTTGAAGATGTCTTCTTTTGCCCAATAACATTGCATAAGCGACTACAACATTTTTCACATGCGTGAGCTTAAAGGAGATGATTTGTTTTTTGTAATCATCTTACCAGCAGCAAGGCCACTGGATGCGTGAACGGTGGCGCCACCTGCATAATCCATAGCACCCATTTTGTAAAGCCATCCATTGGGATTCCAAATCCAACATGTAACAACATCGTAAACGAGGGTTGTCCATACAAAAATAAAAATGATGGAGGGACCAAGCTATGTAACAAGATCATTATTAGATGCCGCCGCTATCATGTTGTAGGATGCCCAACACACACACTACTACTTACCGACATGCGTTCCGCGGCAGCACCAAAAGCCAGTGCTATAAATTTGAATCGGCGAAGCATAAGTAATCAGAGATAAGGAAAGCTGATTCATTATTTTTTACCTGGTGTAAGACAAGCAAACATGGCTTGAAATATCATGTAGACCATGGCAGGAATGGTTTGTCCTTCAAATGCAGGAGCTACGCCAACGCCACGTAATAAGAAATGAGCTGTATCATGGCAAACGATGATTAGATCAAGCACATTTGTGATTACGTTACAAGAGTGACTTACTGGTATCACCGATAAATGGACCAGCGTTGGGTGAAAAGGTCAATGAATAGCCAATAATGTACCACTACCCAAATTTTTCAGCGGTCGATCAATTATGTGCATGCGCTAAGTAATCTTACCTGGAAGGAAACCACTGCCACGCACAACATGGTGAGGTACATGAGAGACAAGGCATTCTTGGCTTGTGCGAGACCAGCATAAAACAATCCTAGTGCTGGTGTCTAAAAAAATCAAGTCAACAATCATTGTCATGTGTGTGTGTGTGTGTGTGTGTGTGTGCATGTTGTGTATTACGTACCATCAAAAAGACGAGGGCGGCGCACATCATCACCCAAGCCGTGTTACCGGCATCAATGGTGTATTCGCTATCCATGTGTTTTGTGGCTGGGCGTCGTGATAAGATGAATCAATAGGATGGTGATGGATGTGGGGGAGAATGGTTGTTATCTGCTGGTTGTTGTTTGTGGAACGATATATGACAAGAAGAAGAAAAAAAGAGGATAAAGAAATTGATATCGAGTTATTCTGCCGATATAAAAGATAAAGGACATGCAAGCAAGCACAAGCATAAGCAATAGCAATCGTTTCCGAGATCAAATGGGTCATGATTGGCTTGATCAATCCGCTATCGTTATCAGTTGCACCCCCCAAATAAAGGTCTGATCATCACTCCGATAACACACACACACATGCTGATAAGATGGTTTGTTGCGTAATGGATGTATGTATTTTTGCTTTCATTTTCTAATATGACTCTTTTAATATGTAGATCCAGTGGTCATTTGGTATTCAAGTGGGATGTCCTGGTTATGCTCGATTGCATTGGCCATAAAGCCCATAAAGCGATCACCATATTCAGCCGCGTTCACCGATGAAATGGCATGTTTGTCATGGGTCATGCTCTTGAAAAAGTGCTCGGATTTCTTTTTGGCGTCGTAGGCGGTCAAGATATCGATCACACCCAAGTAGTACAGTATTGATGTTGGCCGGTCATTTTCATCCGTTGATCGGAAACCACCGTCATCCGTATAGAATACACACCCAAGACGACTGACACATGAAGATGAAGAGAAAATCCCGTAATCAGCTTGTGTTACTTGAATGCATATATCCCCTTCTTGCCATGCACCCTTCCAACTCTACCCGATTATAACACTTACTCTTCCAAAGGCTCATCAGGTAATTCCGATGCATTGAGGCGATCCGGATTAGTCTGTGCAAGCGTATGGCGATATACCTCAACACGGCTTTCACGTCGTTTCATTACAGAGGCTCGTCGTTCCGCGGTCTTCGTATCAGGCTTATAAAAAAAGTAACGGAATCAAAATCAAGTTTGGTAAGACGCTAAACGCCTCCCTCCTTTCACCTTATCAACCTTACCTCAAAGAATTGTAATGTGGAGTTGCGGATGTTTTCCTTATTTCCTCTTGCCATGTAATGAACGCCGATCAATAAACTGTAATCCATGAGATTCATGCGTACAAGCAACTTGAAAATTGATTGGGTCAGTTAAATATAGGTTGATGATCCCTTGTTCCTCCTCCTCAAAATCCTATTTACCTTGACATCACGCACAAGCTGGCTAATGAAAAGCTTTCGCTTGGATGGACCCATTTGTAACTTCTTTTTGTTCTTTTCAAAGTTGAGATCCTTCATAACAGCATTCTTGCTCTTGGAAATCTCCTCCTCAGGTAAAAAGCGACCAAACGTTGAACCCTTGAGATCGTACATTTCATGGATATCATTATGAGGTGGGAAGACGTTGCCCATGACGACGAAATGAATCTTGCGCCCACGAGGAAGTTTGACTCGATGTAATCCATAGTAACGGCAAAGTAAAGTGTTGGGATTATCAACAACATGCTAACATAGGCTTATAAGCTCCTCATCCACAACGATTGAAATATCGCTTCGTACTTACATTATAATAATCGGGAAGGATTCTGCGTAGACATTTGTGCTCTGAATGATGAATAGTCTTGATGATGTAACGGTAGTCGCGGGAATAATAAAAGAAGCTACCACTTTTGCCAGGGGATCCCAATTCGGAGAGAATGTATTTACTTGTTAATGAAATCTATCATCTTAGATGAGACACCCTGTTCCTGATTCATCCAAAACCCTGTATCACAATTACCAAATAGTCTGCAGGATCGATACCGAATTGAGCTCTCAAATGTCGAAACACCCAAGGTGCATAATCCTTAAACTTGAAGTCGTATCGTGCACCAGGCGTTAACTCATCACCGGTACTGTAGTATCCATACAACTTACATGAGCGATCCATGTTCCTGACCCTTTTTTGATCCAAAGACTTACACATCAAAAGCAAGCTTGTGAGCTGCCCAAAAGTCATCTTCCACCAGTTCTCGATCGATTTTTGCTGATACACGACCCACAGCGATGCGTATACCAGTGAGCATGTTGTACATGAGGACGTAATTCTGATGACCTTCAGCGACTCTTGTGCCAATAAGGACTCGATCATCATCCAAACGGGACATGCGACGAAAAGCTTTGCGCCTGGCTGATAATTCTCGATGAAACTCTTCTGAGGTACGTCTTGGCAAACGATCACGAGGAGAAGTGGGTGCTGCAGGTTCTGATTCTGCAATGCTTGCTGGTATGGGGGTCGATGGCGGCGAATAGCTGTCGAATGAAGACACCGTTGTTGCTCGTGACATTGTATTCATGGCAGCCACCGGGGCCACCGAGAGGGTATCTGGACTAGTAGTTGTAGTTGTTTGACGCGCCTTGTAGAAATCGTCGTCGTTCAATGTAGACATAAGGAATGGAAAGGGTGGTGGTAGTGTTGGTGGTGATAATAAAAGAGAGAGAGAGTGAGAGAGAGAGAAATGAGTTGTCGCTAAAAAGGCAGCTCGGCTGAATGGCCAGGCAGTGTGTAACATGTACACGAGTAGCATACACAAAGAAAGCAATAAAGCTGCCATCGGTTATCTTGCTATTTTACTCTCAGGAAAAGGAGAAAAAGAGATCAATACCAACAATAGAGTATTTATTCATAGTAGCTACTTTTTACCCTTCTTTTACTTTTTCTTCTTCATCTTCCTTTCTAGTAGAAAGGGCGTAGTGAGTGGTGAGAAAAGAAATGACACGCACCCAGGTTGAACCGATCTAATGCATTCAAGTGGTACACACGCACACACGCACACACGCGCACGCAACACATGAGCAAAGGCGATCCATAATGACAGCTATAGAATAGACCTCCGCCCTGGTGGTTGCATACATACAAAATGTGTTGTCACCGAGCAACAAGCACAACAAATGTGACACTGACCTCATATGACACTTGTCCATGCATTATTACTAACGCTTTGTCCTTCCGCACAATAGCGGAGCAAACACACTAGCCACATGCTGTCCTTCGTCATTTCCTTCTCCTCCTCCTCCTTTCCACCCTCCCACTCCCCCAACATCATCATTGTCCTAGTTGAAATACCACCAACTCCCACTTGTAAAGTCATCTGATTCTATCCTTCTGCACATATATCAACCAAGACGAAATCCATATGTTGAGCAGCATACACTCATACACGTGTTGAGTATGTAACAACCCATGATCAGATGCTGCGACAATAACGAGGGCATGTGGACGTTTGATGCGTGATGATGGCAAATGAATGATGGTGCCACACTCATATGTACCCAAACGCATCATGATGCATATAGAAGACCAAAGAAAACGATCAATGGCAGCAACCTCCATCGCTTCATGTATTGCATAAATGACAATTACAAGATCGACCTATATAGTAGTGTACGACCCATATTCTTGGATAAAAGAAAAACACATGCACACAGACGAGATCTGCTGCTGTGGTTGCTTTACAACTTTGAATGATGATGCGTATGCAAACGTGATCCGATGCATGCACTTTACTTGTTGTTGTTGTTGATTCTATGTATCATCCAAAGAAAGGGATTAAAGACCTATTGGTTCAAATTTGGATGGGGGCTGTAAATTGTTTATGCTTGTGAAGCAAAATGTGCATTGAACAAAATGTCGATCATCATAATGATGATGATGATGAGCGCATACAACAAAAAACGAGCCACTTGCTGTGCCCAACGCCCCATTGCATGCAACACCCATTTGGATTTTGGCCGTGCCCATGTGCAGATTTGTTGTCTATTCCATACATGTGAACCTCATGTTGTTAATTGCATCCTGAAACAGTTTTCCCTTACGACTTGACGTATTCCATATGATCCTATCATGGGAGCACACTACTGGGAAAACCTGATCTATAGTAACGAGCAAGAAGGCTGCTCATCCACATACATACAACACCATGAGTGGTAGAAAAGAGAGCAACAGGGTTCTTCGGACACCACTACCGGTTGCCATGTCATCATGTCATTATCCCTGCTTGGCATGATACGGGCATGGATAGCAAGAATAGCAAGTGCAGGAGTGTTCTTTTTCTATACATCCATACATACCTTCACTATTACCATTGTACCGACACGTGCCGTGTGTGATGCTGGTGACGATCCCGCATATGGGATACAACAAAAGTTTTCATACGGAACAACAGAAAAAGACAAGATGCCCTTTTAATTTGGCCATTTTCGTCATTGGACGTGTAAACAAAAGGCAAGGACGCGGGACACCTTATTTTATTATTGCAGACACTAGCATCATGCATTCAACACACTTTGTGTGTGTGCAAACATAAAAAGGCATCACACGTCTACTACTTTTTCATTCATTGCTTTCTCTTTTTCTCTTTCTCTCGCACCAAAAAGAATGACATCCTCATCCATGTCCATCTCTGCAATTACCACCAGCGTTCCTATCTATCCACCTTCACCTCCAACCACCTCCAACCATCATCCTAGTACCAGTGGTTCGGTTGTTTCATCGCCTGCTTTCTTTGGTAGTAGTAATAACACGTCGTATCACCCCCATCGTCAACAATCGTCAATATCGCATCACCATCATCCTTATTATCAACCTGGTACTGGTGGTGGTGGTAGTAATAGTGGCACTCCAAGTTTGGATAGCGCGGCGTCATGTTATGCATCGCCTTCATCACCCTATCACCTTGGCTCACCACCTACCTCACCTACGGATCCAGCATCATCCCCGCTGACACTTCAGGAGCGTAGAATGAGAAACAAGGCTGCATCTGCAAAATATAGACAAAAAAAGAATCAACAACAATATGAAATGAGGCAAACGATATGCCGCCTTACCGAACAAAAAACTTTACTTGAACGCAAACTCGAGGAATACCAATGCGAGAATGAGCGTCTACGAAGTACGGTCGATCGATTACGCGGCAAGCTAGAGGCTAAACGAATGCTACGTCGCTGGGTGAGGCAAAACAGGCATCAAAAAGATACACCCACCTCTGCTTTCCATGCCGTGTCTTTATGTGACGAAGATGATATTGACGACTTGGACTTGGATGATCGACAATGATATATACATATTATACCCCCCCCGCACACACACACACACACCATTGTTACCTTATTGCCATCGTATCTACAACACGCACTCCATCCCACCATTATACAATGCATATTTAGAAAAGATGCCGAGATGAAAAGTAAAATCCTGCTGCTGCTTGCTCACTGCCCCCATCATGTACAATAAAGATAAGATCCGTTGTAAGTATATGGTCGTTGCCAAGAGGATGAGCACCCTCATGTTTGTTATTGAAAGTTTGTTCATGCGATCATGTTTGTACTTTATCATAACGTAATGCAACCAACGCAGCATGCTCAATGCTTCCATGTATAGGCTGCAGCTACTTGTTGCCTTGTTTTGTTGATGTATGCTTATGCTGCTGTGTATGTTTAGATGACTTTGAGAAATAACTAATGGATCATCCTCCACCCCCTTTTCCTCTCCTCCTCCATTACGGTGGATAAACCGCCAATCGCATTATTCTCGATCACTTCCTTTGGGATACCAGAACAAGCAAGAAAGAAATTTAGAGATGGATCATAAAAAAGTGATCTTATGCAAGGAGACTTTTTCCACACGCATACACATACACACACATTTACATTGGCTTTCCACCCAGCACATTCCTCCTCCAATAGCCATCAAGACAAGGAGCATGCAGCAACTATGGAGATCAAGTTGTAGTCCTCTTCCACACTCTTTTTCCCTCTTTTCGTTTTCCTCCACTTTATAATGGATCATGCTCCCAAAAAGGAAGATCCCTCCACCACCTTTGGATCCATTGGCACTATTGACGCAAAACAACACCCACATGACCGAGATGACACCGATCAGGCCTCTCTTCTTTCTACAAAGACACGTCGATGGCTCGTTTTGCGGCGTATCACCTACATCGTCATTGTGAATGCTGTTACACCTATCCTCTTGTACTATGCATTAAAACCATATCTGCCAACTGTGTGGGCTCTTGTTCTCTCAAGTACACCTACGCTCGTATCCGTCCTGATTCAAGGGGTTGTCCTGAGACACATTGACACTATTGGCGTTGCATCTATATGCGGTAAGTGTGGATTGGTGGTTGCATCCGTTTTCAACGTATAACGCGTAGTCCTTGTACGTACACAGGATTCTCAATTTCCATCATACTTGCCGTTGTCAATGGTGATCCAAAGCTTATGATGATGCGAGAGTCTTTAATGCAAGTATCACATGTATTCTATGTAGAGGACATTCTTGACTCACTCACGCACGCACCTATAAATGTAGAACTGCCGGTGTTGGTGCTGCATGTGGATTTTCACTGATCCCGATCCGTGTTGGTAGCTTTGTACTTAAACCTGTTATGTATTATCTTGGGAAGGATCTTATACCATTGAAGCCTATCAACAATCAACATCGCATCGCCTACTATTGGGAGCACTCACGTTATTGTCGTTTCCATATTCGACTCCTCACTGCTGTCGACATTGTGCTTTTGGAACTTGAATTTGGGCTCAAGTTGTATTATATCTTTAAATTTGATATTGATACGGTCGTCATTGCTAGCAGCATCACATGGGGCTTGACAGGTGCTCTCATATCGGCATTTACCATTTCATACGCTGTTCACATTCTTCGGCGTCTCAAGCAAGATGAACCCAAGATGATGATGATGGTGCAAGAACACCAGTAGTAGCTATGGTAGCATTGCATCTACAATATCATAGGCATTGTAATATAAATTCGATTTTCAATACGACATTCACGTTGTCTAGGATACGACAATGTGAAATAAAAGATGTAACAACGCAAGTGGTATCCAATAGGAGCAAATGCAAGATGATGATTGTTCAAGGGTAGAAACAAAGAGCAACATGACAACTATGAATGAGGGATAATGAACATGTTTATTGATGATGATGATGATGATGATACACAATCCATGCACCAGCCCAAGGACCCATTTAGATCTAATGACAAGTGAACCGGGGTTGTCTGAGCCACTTGGCCGTTTCCTTCTTTTGTCGGCAGACCACCACCACCACCACCACCAGCAGACTTTACAATGGACAACGAGGCATCGTCTTCTGAACAACGGTTCAAGGCTGTCGAATACAACAACCACATTTACCAGATTCCTGTTCGGCGTATTGACCATGATCAGTATCTTTTCCTCAACGATGTGCAAGCCATTGTACCGCAGGCCACAGCTTTGACAGCATCCGACAAGTTGATACCTTTTGAAGCCGATCCCATTACCCACATGGAGCTCATGCCGAAGCGAATTGGCGTTACAGATTTCGATAGTGCTTGGCAAGTGCATGTACCTGGAGCTGCCGTCGATAGCCAACAGCGGATAGCGGATATGGACACTAAACTTGAGCGTTTATCTCGACAACTTCACCATGTATTATCAGCCATTACGACGACATCTACACCAGCTTGTACGAGTAATAATGCAACCACAGCAACAGCAGCAATCATGGATGATACGACAACATCTGCTGAATCGAATGAACATGTTGAAGAGGATGTTGCACATGACCAACAAGAGGCAACTACGCCGCCACGACCACAAAGTCCTCCACCTGCATTTTCTTCTTCTCCACCTTTACCCGTGCCATCGAATCGACCTTCACCACCCGATCATGCATCAGCAGCCACAACAACAACGACAACAACCACTACTGCTACAACTACTGCCACTACTACAGCAACAGCTGCTGCACCACAAGCTAGTAATACACCTCCACCACCTATGCCACCACCACCACAATCATCCACAAGTCATCGCCATGTGGAAGGGGATGCACCACCATCGTATGAAACATCCATTCTCGGCAATATCAAAGCATTGACGGATCAACTTCGGCTCTATGAATCGCATATAGCCAATCGACACAAATCGCCTCGGTGGCTGGCACGAAGATCTGAATGGGTACAAAGAGAGCCTGCAAGTATCGAGCAAGTTGCTTACCAGCTTGTACAATTGGAGATGGCCTTGTTATGGACCGCTGTTTCGGAAAGTTGGATACAAGAACGTGAGACGTGGTTGACTTTGGTGGCAAGTGCAAGGACAGAACGCCATTTGGCTGCAGCCATGTTGAATTTGGAACGCCACACGCTCGTAATGGATGAAAGCTGGGGACATCACGTGCGCGAAACTTGGGTGAACGAGCTGCTAGAAATGATTGTTTTACCTTTGACCCATGGCAATTAGTAGTAGTAGTAGAACGATAAATATAATAATCCCTTTTTCTATCAGCACACATTCAATCTTTTTTCATGCATGGAACAAATGGAAGGATAAGGGAACCAAAAGGGGGGTCTGGAACGTTTTTATAGCATAAAGTGATATATATCGAAGGATAGGAAAGGAGTAGGTATGTGCGTGCGCGCTTAAAATAAGGTGTCAATCAATCAATGAGAGAGAGGTAGTAACAGAGTGAGGGGGCAAGGAATAATTGTATTGGTAAGCGGCTGTTCTGGATCTACCTATTTTTGTCCTTTTGTGGATCAGCCTGCATGGGCGTGTGTATGTGCCTTTGTGTATACTCTGTGTGTGTGTGTGTATGTATGTGTGTGTGTGTACACGATTTTCACCGCGGATGATACGGCCTAGAACCTAATGGGCCAATGTTGATTTGGGCCGTAGTTTTTAGGAATGGATGATAATCCATGTATGCTGTGTCAACTGAAACAGCCTCTAGAACATTGCTCGAATATTCTTGAAGGTGTAAACAAGCGAAAAGGTTGCAGTTGTCAGTTGCAAGAAAAAAAATCCTGTACTAAACCGTTGGGGAAGGTGTACAAAGGTGGTGGTGTACATAGTTCCAGAATGGAGATGGGAGAACAGAAATTGAAAATGCCTGCGTCTATTGGTGTAAGGAATTGGGTCACAGCACAGAACGTAGCCCTAATATTCCTTTTTTTGCACATCCCACTTCTTCCAACTCTCCACTCCCTTATTTTGCTTTCTTCCTATTTTTTCATTTTCAAACGCCCTTCTTTCTCTCTATTGTTTATTCTTCATACATACCATGGTTGCTCCACGATCTACTGCTTCAGTAGCAGCTTCACCTCCTTCCAATAGTAATACCACTCGCACACCCACTTCTTCTTCCTCCGCAAGGCGACAACCCAAAAAACCATACAAGAGCTGGCTCAAGGATGGTGTCAATGGTGGACCAAGTTCGATGCAAATTGTTGTTCAATGGTTATCTGCCAACTATGCTACCAAGTGGAGAGATGATAGTGACAATCGGATGCCGAAAAAACTCCTCTTGCAGGAAATCCTCGATCAAATGCAGCAAGCAGGTATCCATCACCGCCTTCCAAAAGATGTGGCCAGCAAAATCTCAACACTGCAAAGCAATTATCGAGTTGCTCGAGAATGGTACGATGTGATCGGTAGCCAGTGGCGCAAGGCTGGTGCACAGGAAACGGATGTGAAGAGTAAGTTACACACACGCACACATGGGGTCGCTCGTCGTCTCACAATGGGGACGAGGAGAAGAATTGAGTTTGGGTTGTGCCGCGTTTGCTTAGCCGAGCATGATTGGGCTAACAGGCTCTTTCTACCATTTTCTTAGAGGAAGTCTTAAGAAGATTTCCCTACTGGGACGAGCTTCATGCCACTTTTCAAGCATCCATGCCGGATGCAACGGGCACTATTACTACGACGACAACAACAACCACAACAACAACCATTGGTGGAAACGTAACAAGTACCTCGACCATGACCACCACCACAACCCATGATACAGATAATGCAAAATGGCCAATGTCGATTCGCAGCATTATACACTCGATAGATACCGAAGCACCTAGCATTGCATCATGGTTCTCATCGTATCCTGAAGAAGCCATTGAACGTGAACAACAAGAGCAAGCTGTTGCCACAGCAACCGTTGCTGCAGCTACTGCCCAGGCCACAGCAACCAATGCCACAGCAACAACAGCACGTGTCATCTCGCTCACTGAAAACAGCCGAACGGTCATTGTATCCACAGCCACCACTAATAACGACGACACTTGTTTGGAAAACCATCATCCACAAGATTCAGTGCTTGGCAAACGACTTTATCATGAAGAAGAAGAAGATGTACAAGAAGATGTTGTCTCGTATGAACAGCTACTCAAAGAGGAAAGAGAAAAAACACGACGTGTGCGTGCTAGGGCTGATCTTGTCAAGAGGATGGTCCAAATGGGTCGATCCAAGGATGAGATTTCGGCTGAACTCAAGAAAGCTTGTGTGTAATAGGACACTACATTCGTTTTTTTTCTCTCTCACTTTCACATATTACCATCTTCATCATGACTCGCTCCTTTGTAAAGCTGTACTCGTCACCACCATCATAGCATCTCTTTTTACCTACTACTACTCCCCCCTCTCTTTCTCTTCAACTCTTTATCAGCATACAATCCATTCACCATCACCCCCCATCAAGCATCTTTTGTCACCAACCCCTTCTTTTCTTTTGCATATAATCATTTCTTTTTCTGTTGTTCTCTGTATTAAAGCTGTACCTATCGTGGACCCCCTAATAAAAAAAGCGTGTCGTGATCAAAGCACGAACGCAACCACCCCCTTGCCCTTATCACCCTCATATGTCACTGGCATAATAGCAGTAAATGCTCTCCTCGGTAATGCATGAACACCACTACTCTCCAAACAAAGCTTGTTGGCATAATCGGCATATACGTTTTCGGCTTCATGGCTTTAATGGATGATGGATGGATGGTAAGTGATACCCACGACATTGAAACATTACAAATAACTATTGAACTCCAATGACAACGCTGGCATGATGAAGCTATTGAAGCATCAAGCTCGTGAGAAAACCTCTTCCAGTCAGCTGGTTGCAAACCATACCATGTGAATCCCAAGAGTCTTTTCATGCTCGACCACTTTTTCTCTACTACATACTATGGACACTCTTTCACGCATCGCTGTCGATCCAAGGTATCGCGATGTGTTGACCATCGTCAAAGGCTTTCGCAATGGCGTCGTTTATGGTGCTCGCATTCGCTTTCCTCATGCTTTGGTCATGTCGTTTCTCTTCAAGTCGGGCTCGTAAGTAGTAGTGGTAGTAAAGGACAACAGCTGCATGAATAATTTCGTTCATGCTCCATTCTAGTCTCCAAAGCAAGTTTCGACACATTTTAAAGGCCACTCGACAACATGCTTGGAATCTCGGCCTGTTTGCCACCATCTACAAGAGTGCCATGTTTATACAAAAGAAGCTAAATGGTAACAAGGACGCTGACGTTCATCCATTCATCGCCGGATTGTTGGGAGGATATTATGTCTTTGGTACAAACAACAGCATCAATCAGCAGGTAGGTCTCTTTGGAAATGTATATGGACGTGGTTAACATGATGATTCGATCAAGATTGTCTTGTATGTATTCGCTCGCGTCGTGATGGCATTAGTCAAGATACCCGTCAAACGTCAAATCATCGACGCACCACACCACACATACCCAGTCTTTGCAGCTGTATGCTGGGGCTTGGTCATGTACCTCTTCAAGCACGATGCTGATACCCTGCAGCCATCTCTACGTTCATCTATGCAGTATATTTACAAGGATTCAGATCACTGGGATTCTCTGCGTACGTTGATCTGGCACAACAAGTAGATGTACATAAGTAATTAAGACTAGTGGTGAAATAAAAGGTGGGGTTGTCATGGAAACCATGATTCCGTAATATGGGAGGAAGCAAGCTTTAGAGGTGATCCATTGTATGATCGTGCAACCAGCAGATCTTGATGATTCACATGTCCATGGCAACATTAATACAGTAATTCTCATCCCATAGCAACAAACCACGTTGACCAGCAACTCCAAAACCCCGATCCTTCGAGCCTAGTGTATATGGTTAAGGCGATCATTCCATTTTATGTAAAGTAATGCTATCATGGATTGAAGCTAATAAATGGGGGAGATAAATAACCTAGCAACTATATCCTTGTGTGAGTGAATTGGGTGAATGCATTGACCATGTCCAAGTTGATTGAGGCTCCGATCGAGAGCCAGATGGCCAACTGTGTTGCAAGATGCAACATTGGATACCTCCCTCCCTTCCAACGGGTAAGTTGAATCATCAGCCATCCATCCATCCATCCATCCATATATCCATTAACATGTAATCCATAGTTTCGTCATGGTCCAACGTCTCGCCTACAGACGCCGTCTTTCTTACAACACTCGCTCCAACCGCGTCAAGGTCGTCAAGACCCCTGGTAATACTCATGACCCATTTTCAACTCTAAAGAAATCAGCATTACTCACTCCTCTTTCTAGGTGGCAAGCTTGTCTACCAATACCAAAAGAAGCCTGTCAAGGCTCCTCGTTGCGGTGATTGCGGTGTTGCTCTCCCTGGTGTAAGTTGTCATTTTCATACATGTACAAACACACCCACTTTTGAACTTTTGACTCACGTGACGATGTGCTCTATTATAGCTCAAGGCTCTCCGTGCTCGCAAGTTGGCTAACCTTGCCAAGAACCAAAAGACTGTCAGCCGTGCCTATGGTGGCTCCCGCTGCTCCCACTGCGTTCGCAGCCGCATTGTGCGTGCCTTCCTTGTCGAGGAACAAAAGATCGTCAAGAAGGTCCTCAAGTCCCAAACCCAGAAGAAGTAAATTCAGCATCTTCATACACATACGCATAGCCGGATTGTCGTCGACATGTATTAAATGACGTTTCAAAAGGCAACACTTTTTTTTCTTATGTAATGAGGTTAAATGGATTGGAAAATGGGCAAATATGGATGGGCAATTGAAAAGGTCGAAAGGGAAAGAGTGGTAATATTGTGTGCAACATGACAACGTCGTCTTTGCGATTGATTGTTGACTTGTGAATACGTTGCAAAGGTGAAAAATCTTCCTATTGATTTATATTTCGGAAAGGGATAATGCCACCGTGAGAACCCGATGATATGTGCCCTAATCTCCTTGCAAAATCATGGCACACTCAATATAAAGGGAAACCCGGGGATGTGGGAAAATGAGAATCGTCATTCGCATCATGGTTGCTTTTGGTGAATTGAGCCTGTTGCTGGTCACCTTACTTGCTAACATTGTCTCAGCTGCTCCACCATGGAAATCCAAGGGGTTTTGTTGGGATAACATTGAAAATTTGTAATAGTCTACCTTTGCATACCTGCATGTTGTCGTTGACTCATTCTATTATAGGTTTGTATTTGGCGACTCTTACAGCTATGTGGAGGGCAAGCTAGGAACACCCGAATTCTCTTGGAACAATTTTACATCACCTGGTGATGTTCATCGTAGCCCTATTTTGCTCAACAAGGTATTGTTATCATTGACAAGTGAGATGATGGCAAGGCTGACCACATGTTAAAGACCAGTGCTGGTGGACCCAATTGGGTGGAATACCTAACAGGCTGCTTTGAAGGACTACCACAAACATGCCACCCCCATTTGTACGACATTGCATTTGCTGGGTCAGACATTGATCCCGCCACTATTACCAAACATCATCCCTATACAAAGTCATTCGTTGAACAAATTGATCAGTGGAAGAGTTGTGTAAATGGTCACGTGCATTGGACATCAAGTAACACGCTAGCTACCTTCTGGATGGGGTAAGTGTGAAGGAAGGCGGGTGGTGGGCGGGCGGGAGTGATGATCACCCGCTCTTTCAGGCACCACGTGGATTGTAGCACTGATTACTTAAGCATCCATGCAAATGCAGGATCAACGATGTGGGTGATACATGGAAATGGACCAATGCAAGTAGCAAAAAAAATACGAGACATTTATGGCATGTTGCATTCCTAACCATCCATTGGACAACAAAAATAGGTGTCATTCCCAACCTTTTACAACCAAATCATTGATACTTACTTTGATGGCGTGGTGAGCTGCTGAATTTACCTTTCCAATGACTATGAATGTTGACCTCTTTGATTTAGAATGACTTGTATGACCTTAATGTACGCTCTTTCATGTTCTTTAATGTGCCTGCGAGAGATAGATCACCAGGTGCTGGGAATCAAGAGCAGCGTGCAAAGTACAATGGGATTATCAAGACGTTCAACACCGTGTTAGCAGACCACGTGGCCAAGTTCCAAAGCGATCATCCGGATGCAAATGTGATAAGCATTGATGCATTTGCGCTATTTAACAAGTATCTTGATCAAGCCAAGGAGTTAGGTTTCAAGGACATCTCCAGCTTTTGTCCCAATTCGACTGCACCCGACTTTAATACCAATTACGAGAAATATGGATGTCTTGCCCCTTACGAGTAAGTGCTAATGTTTTATTAATACTTGATCTAGGTATGTATACTGATAGCATCATCATCAACGTGGTTAATAGATACTTTTGGTTGAGTAAGTAACTATCCTCCTGCCTTGTGAGATTGGGATCTATTAACTTCTCCTTCCATCATCATCATCATCACCATACTAATATGATGTGCTATAATAGATTCCGGTCATCCCACCTATCCCGTACATCAATTGTTGGCATCTTCGATCGACAATCAACTTAAAGATAGCAGCCAATGTTGAATTTATTGAATACAATCGTAATCCCCTCCCCACATACTACTACATTTATATCAAAGAGAGAGATCTACAAGCTTTCATTGGTGTTGTTGCACCAGCAAGTGCACGAGCGGTTTCACTGCGGCGTTACAAGTCGTAAGCTGACTCAGGTTGGTTTCAGGGCAACAGGCAAATAGGCCAAGTGAGAAAAAAAAACTTTGTATCCCGGCCAAATTCCCTTGTTCCTCTTTGACCAGCAATAAGCAAAAAGCCGATCTCACCAACGTCCGAATGAGCATGCACGAAAAGGAATGGATCCCTTCATGGGGTGGCTACACAGAACAAGCTCATCGGCATTCAACGTTGCCGGCCCCGATTCACCCAACATCCGCACATCGTGCTGCTGTTGTACCACCTCATGAGACAAGTTCAGATTCTGCCAGTGATCACACACCAACAACGACGACGACGACGACGACGCCCAATGACTCTTACCTAAGCTATTATTATCATCATCCGTAAGTAGATTTTCATATGGGGTAGGAGGTGTAGGAAGGAAGGGAAAAAAGAGTATGGTGTGTGTGTGTGTGTGTATGTGGGGGGTTTGGTTGGTTGGTTATTTTGTCCCACGCACGCGCAGGGGCCCAAAAGGCGTAGATTCGCCCACCCAGCAGGCAGCAGCATCATCATCAATTTTTCCTCTTGGTTACATCTCCTTCCCCTTTTCTCCTTGCTCTCTCTTTCTCACTTTCTTTCTTCTTTCTTTCTTTTTCAGGTCGAGTCCACATTATTACGGTTATCCTGATCCACGTTCTTCTGCTGGTGGTACTTCTTTACGTCGATCAGATTCATCTCAAAGATCTTTTTACACTGCGTAAGTCCCCCTTTTTTCATATTACTCTTCCCTTTTTCTTGTGCAGCGTTTCACACTTTTTTGACACAGATACAGTTCCACCATGTCTTCACAACCCACAACACCCAAACCAACATCGACACCTTCTTCACCACAACAACCTACCACACCACCTCAACCATCCACTACAACCACTCCTGCTGCTGCTGCTGCTGCTGCTTCCGGCATCGATCATACACCACCTACTACAACAAGTAATAATGATCCTATCGCATCGCCAACACTTGCCAAACGTACGCGTCAGGCATCAGGTGTCTATTCTGTGCATGAACCAAGTCCCAAGTTTGGTGCGACAAAATACAATGGCAACCTTTACGCTGTAGATAGGACCACAGTGTAAGTATTGTTTGTGTGTATGTGTATGGGTGTGTGTACGTGTGTGTGTGTGTGTGGCTGACGTCGAAAACAGGCTTGATGTACGCATCCAATCCAAGTTTGATCGAGGATTCTTCATTGCGGATAATGATTGGACATGTTATCGACGCAACTACTTCCAAGTCAGTGCAACCTTCAATGTTCAAGGATTTCCAATGTATTATCAAAACCAAGAAGAGATGGGATATCTTGTGCGAGGTGACAATGATCAATTGTATCCTGTGAACGGGTTCATGATGGGTATATCAGCGCGGGTCGCCGATGAAGACAAGCTCATCAGCCTTGTTCAACACTCTCCAAAACGCGACAAGGGTCCTCAAAGCATACCAGAACCAAAACCTGTTCGAGCAGGTGGCGATCTTAGTGTCATGTCAGCTACGACCGATCAATCTGTGGTCACTTTTGAACGTATCCAATTTAAATCAGCTACAGCAAACAATGGGAAACGACGTGCCGCACAGCAATATTATGTCCTTTTGGTGGAGCTTTTTGCACGTCTTGAATCAGGTCATTTGATAAAGGTAGCATCGAATCGATCAGCACCCTTGGTTGTGAGAGGACGTAGCCCTGGTCACTATGCGGAACGAACTGGAAAGAATGGTAGTGAGGAACCACAAAGACCACAACAACCATCATCAGCATCTTCAGTCGCATCACCCCCTTCTAGCAGCTCAGCAACAGTATCCAACATGGTGCCATCCGCTGCTGTCACAAGCGATTACTACTACAATCATCATCAACATCAACCACCTCCACCTCCACCTCCAGCACAACAACACAATTATTCAGGCAGTAATGGATCCCACATGTCAATGATGCCGCCTCATGTGGAAAGTAGTCCAGTGGTAATGCGAGGTGCACATGATCGATCCATTTCAGCTCCTGGTGCAGTGGATGTGTATCAACATGATATGAATCAACGCTATGGATACTATCATCGCCATGACAACAGCAACAACACAGCATCATGGATGCATACGCGAATGGCATCAAGTGGTGAATCTTATCCACAACAACCACAACACATGTATCCCTCTTCTTGGTATTATGGTGGACGTCATCATCATCATCATCATCACCAACAACAACAACCAACGACACCTACAGATCCTGGAATGGGTGGTGGTAGTAGTGGATCTCATGGCGTGGTCCATTCTTATCATGGGTAAAGTATTTTTGTGAATGAGGAAGGATGATGAAAAAGTATACTCATAAGCAATGATGGATAATAGAATCCCACCTCCTCCACCTCCACATACATCGTCATCTTATCGATCCATGCCACCCTCATCTTCCTTTACAACCATTGAATACCACAGTGATCCAGCCACTACATCTTATGCACGAGAAGAACTCAAGTTGGAAGGAGGAATAGGAACGGCAGCTACTTCAGATATCAGAGCAACTCATGCACCAGGCCATCAAGATCACAAGCCACCTCGCGAAGTTATGGAACAATGCGCACAAGAGTAAAAGCAAAAAAATGACAATCCCCAATGGATGTACTTTTATAGCGCAAACCCACATGTATACATTCAATCATATATAAAACATCTACTTTTTTCGTATAGCGTGTAAATGAGAAGAAGCGGTCATTGGAATTGGTCTGCATGAGAGGAGCATGTGTTACCAGATGACACATGTCAAGTTGGTGTGACATGAGTTGTAGCATCATCTTTATTTCATACATACGTCTGCTGCTGGCAATTGCATTGTAATGGGGGCATTGGAGGTGCTCCGTGCGGATCATCCTCTATTCTCTTGGCAAACGCAAAACATACCTTATTTCAAGAATTTGATCTCAAGATCATTATCGTGCATTGCATATTGGTCACACGACCCACAAGCGGCGGACGATGATGATACATAATAACAATGGGCCTTCTTGATAATGAACCATTGTCTATGGAAATTTGAAGGAGACGAGTCTTAAACCTCCTTTGATTGTGTGTGCATGCGATTAATAAAAATGTGTAATCTTGAGGCATGCATGTGGTGTACAAAGTATGTCAAGGCATGAAAGGAGAAGATGAGGATGCAACGAATTGACTTTGCATATCTGACATCATATGCGTGTGGGGTTAAGATTTTGTGATGACGAGAAATTGACATTATTGTTGTTGTTGATCACTCATCCCATTTCGAAAGGGAGCACCAAATGACGATTCTGATATGCATGGTTACCATTTATTTCATGCTGCGATCACTAAGTGCAAGCTGGCTTTTGCAGATTAGTGTACACAATCGAGACCACCATTTTCCTCTTCTCTCTCCCCACCCCCAATCTTTTTATGCTTGTTTGCATTGTACCACTACATGTACCACGCCCGTTCTTCTCTCATGTTCTATAGCTTGCAGAAAACGTCAACAAGCATGTTACACACACGCACTCACATTCATACTTGAGAAGATAAGACAAAACGTTCCAGGCCGGTGGATTTTATATGGGGGGAACGATGATAAGCCAAAGTAAGGGGTAAAGTCTAAGCCGTTATGGCTTATTTTTCCTGCTGCTGCATGATGACATGGTTGCGTCTTCTTTGTGTTCATCGTATTATACTTTACATTCTTCTTTCTTGCTCACATTGTCTATTCCAAAAAGGAAGAGCATACATGAACATGTGTGTGAATGAACAAGTGTGTGAACAAAGAAAGCAAAAAAGACATCATAGATGTACTTTTTCAGGCAGGCCGTCTACTGCCGGTCCAAGAATTGAATGGCCTGTCTTAGCCTTTAGGCTCATTCAGGTATACGATGATATCATACACGCTATGAACAAAGTAACTTCCCCGTAATCCAGCCAATCTTTAACGCAAACCCCCCTTTTTGGTTGATTTCTGTTCTTTTGCGTCTTTTGCTTTTTGGCTGGAATACCCATTACAGTTACTGCTCTTTTCCCTCCTCCCTCTTTTCTTTCTTTCTTTTTATGTTCAACCCTACTACTACTATGATGTCGTCTTCAGCAGGCTTGTCTCCTTCTTCGCCAAATGGAAATGAAAACTTCAACAAACGATCATCATCATCACCTTCAGAAACGGTACTCGATATGACCGGTACTATTACACCTACAATGTCAAAACGTCGATCATCCTCATTGACACGAGAGGATATCCTCAGCATGGCCCGTGTTGAATATGCAAGGCGTTTATCACAATTTACATTATCGCAAATGAGAAAACAACAACAGCAGCAGGTATTGGATGGTGGTAGTAGTGGTAGTGATCCAATCATCACCAGCCGTGATAGCAGCGGCAGCAGCGGCAGCAGTGGCGATGATAGTAGTAGACACGTCGAACAATGAACAACAACCAACCCCATCACCACCATCACCACAGCCACCATGAACATTTTATGCAATGTATGCCACCACCGTGTATGTATGAAAAAGAAATGTGTAAGGCACAATAATATTAGTAATAATGGTATACACGCGCCCTGTTATTTGTCTTTGTCTCTTTCCTCTCTCTCCCTTTCTCCTTCCAACCTTCCCATATGCTATGCAACAAATGGCCAGTAATAAACCACACAAGCACGCACGCATGTAAAAGCCGTATGCTGTAAACCCTTTTCCTTCTATTCCATGGTTTGCCTTTTTACTTTGAGTGGGTATATACATATGCAAATCATCTTATTGTGTGCGTTAAAGAGTTGAATGATGGCAGGTCGCTGCATTCGATATAGATGTCAAGCAAAAGCATCACCAATTCAATATGGATTGTACTACCATGCAACTACAATTGTCACTTGTGCAAGATGACGCTGGTGGTGGAAGCATGTAGTATAATGGCATTGAGCTAATCACACACAGCCGTACATCCAAGCAACAAAAACCTTCTGCAGCAAAGGAAGCGATACTGCAAAAGGAAACATTTCCTTTTGTGCGATGGCGTGGTATATAACCTTGATAGTAACATTGACGTTGACATGCATAAAGGAGATTGGATACGTAAATTTTCTGCATGTGGCGCTTCGTGGGACCCATGCGTTATCATTACAAATGCTCCGAGAAGGATCATTCGAAGAATGGGGAGATACATACATAATGAGGATGAGGAGAACAATACATGACATGTTAAAAGGAGCATCTTTTTTGCTCATCATCAACAACAGCCATCTTCATTATGATAAGAATGCAAATGAATGGTGTGCCACATACTCAATCGTAGGGTGGTAGTAGTAGTGAGATGAATGTGTGTTTGGAATGCAGCACATTAAACTTGGATGGCGTTGCATTTGTTTGCTGCAAGGGTTCAGTCGAAATTTCAAGTAAAACCATTGTCATCCAGGTACCATGTTGGTGGGTCGATCCCTTTTTGGGCCCCCCTTGTTAAAATGGATCATAGAATATACGAGAGCATTCTTTTTTATATAGGAGATGATAAGCCATCTAATATGTAAAGGTGTACTATGTGTATTGTGGGGTGCATTGGAAAAGAAGGTTTAGAAGAAAAAAGTGTCAACGTTCTTTACCATTAAAGGTACTGCATTCCAGGTCACAGACTTGTGGCACAACAGCAATGCTTTGGTTTGATGGCACACAAATGCGTAATTAGTATGCGGAGTGTATGGCATTTTAGCTTGATGGGGTGGAGTGAAAGCCATGAAGAAGGTTGCACGGGAAGAAGGGTTTCTTTGGCATGTTAAAGAGAGGGGTGTTGAATCCATTACCCATTCATTCTACAGCGTATGCCTGCAAATGCCGTGGTGATATGCCTATGGGTGGATGCCTGCCTGCCTACTGTGTGTGTGTGGTGTGCCCAATACTTTTGCAGTCACGAGAAGCGCTCGGTGTTGGTTGGTTCCCTTTTGTGTCGCTGTGGTCAACGATCCCTTTCACATTCACCCATCATGTCATCATCCGACGTCGTTATCCCTGGTGTGTTTACGGCATCTCAACGAGAGGCATTGCGCACATGGTGGAAAAAGGTCACTGCAACATATCCAAAAGCGAGTAGTTTCAAAACTATGGAAGTCCCAGTAGTTGGTATGTCTTTGTTCTACTTGTTCTCGATACACACATACGAATCGATCTACCTCTTTTATGCATATACATACACCCATATCCACATTCTCTCTCTCTCTCTCTCGCTCTTTAAGCATATGATTTCTTCACATCGGATGGCTAATCATGTATTACAATCGACTTTGTCTTTGTACAACCATGTAGGCAAAGGGGTCTTTGGTGTTCCGCTGGCGGAATCGATCCAGTATGCACATGCCACCATATCCTACATTGATGATCGCACCAGCAAGCAGTGCTTTGGTAGAATCCCTATTGTCGTCGCAAAATGTGGTTCGTTTCTAAAGGAAGAAGGTAAGCTGTTGTCTTTTGTACTACCTTGACTCGGAATGGGTCGGCAGCAACCATGTGTAGATGCTTATTTCACTCATCCATCTATCATCCATATCTCCATTTGTGGTTTAGCACTCACCGTCAAAGGGATCTTCCGATTATGTGGCAACGTCAAGAGGATTGGATTATTGCAAAGCATCTTTGATGCGCCGGATCAAGGTTATGGTGTAAGGCTTGATTGGCGTGGCTATACCTCCTATGACGCAGCTGGTGTACTGCGACGTTTTCTCACATGTTTACCCGAGCCTGTTATTACACACGACCTCTATCAAAGCTTCAGAGAAACCATCAGTAAGTCATAAACAAAGGTGGTCAAATGGAAACAATGTCATAAATAATGATTCCACTTTTTTGTAGAGAAACCCTTCCCGACCGAAGATGCTAAAATTGAAGCATTTCAATGCCTAATTGAGTCATTACCTCTTCCCAACCAATATCTGCTCTTGTATCTACTTGATTTGCTGGGACTTTTTGCGCTACACAAGGAGTCGACGCTTATGGATATTCCTTCTTTGGCGGTTATCTTTACACCGGTAATGACCTTGTTTTGTTTTCCCGTTGCCTCTGGAAATTTCTCATGCATTTTGCTTTCTTTTAGGGTGTCCTTTGTCATCCTCGTGATAATATGGATCCCGCAAGTTACAAGGAATCCCAATTTGTGATTCAGTTCTTGGTGGAAAATCAAGCAAGGTTTGCCATGCCACAAGCTCGACAAGTACAACATCCCGCCCACACCCGACCCAACAAGGATGACGACATTTCTACACACCAGCCGAAGGATAAAGGTAAAAGTGGGAAGGAGATGAGATGGTGGTATAGCGTTTATGGGTAATTGACTATCGTTTTACATAGGTCATCATCCACCTATCCCCGCAGCGCGGAAAGAACAACCAAAGCCGATTTGTGATCTATCATCATTCTCAACAATTGTACCGTGCGAGGAACCCTTACATGTCCCGACCGTAAGATTACGCCGCTCAAGAACAGCCCCGAGTCGAAGACGAAAGTATGGTGAACATGAGCCACCTCAGGTGGTGCACGTTAATCGTTATGCTAGCCAAGGTATACTTTGTTTTCTTTTTCCCTTTATTCAGCCCATTTACCCTTTTTTCTCACACACAAACAGGTGCAAGTGCACACAGCAAGTGGAGAGAACGATGCATGAACAAACAACAACAACAACAACAATTGAAGGAATGATTGCCACCACCATCCATCCCTCCTCTCTTTTTCTCTCACACATTGAGCATTACTATCATCCCATTTACTATAGCAACCCTCCCAAAAAACAGCCCACTTGTACATATATTTGTAACCTATAGCAACAACAATAATGAACATGCCACATGTGACCTTTTACCTGCATCCGCGGAAGAACTTGGATAGTTTTCTCTGATTAGCAATCTCTTCAGGGAGGGTGAAACGACCCTGCCATTGAATCGAATATGGAATTTTTCTTACCGTATCGAATGGCAACGAAGGGCTCAATCAAATATGGGAGGCGGTATCTTTTGCACTACATGATCCGTTCTGGGATCTGGGGTATGGAATCTGGGGAAAGCAATGTCCGCCGGGATAGCAACAATGGTAGTAAGGTGATTGGTCTTGCAGAATCACTTGTTACAGGCGGCTGTTGATCTATTCCTTCCCATCTTCCCACAGTCCACTGTACCCATTTCATTCCATTCCAGCGAAAAAGGTCAAATGGTGAAAAAAAAAAAACAAAAATTGGCACTTGCCATTTAACCGCATGAATGCTTCATGCACCACAACAATGAATAATAATGATCCCAAAGAACAAGGTTCATTCTTCACATGGCATAGGCGCTCTCTTTCTCTCTTTGTGATGGGATCAGAAAAAAAGGCTTTTGAATTTGCAATAAATGTTGAATCGGCGCCCCACTTGAATGAGACCTCTTGACTTGGGGAAGTCTCGGGACAACCAAGAATTGCCACTTTGGGACACCTGTAACCAGATCAATGCATTCCGCGCCCTGGTGCTACGCGGCCACACTTTGGTTACACACAGCCTGGGTTAGGTTGTGTTGTAGCAAAAAAGATACCAGGTAACACATCCCTACATACACACACAGCCATTTTACGCGTGCACATATGGGAAGCTGGGAAAAGGGTGTTAGGTGGGCTTTGTATAAAAAGGACCGACTTTTCCCTTGTCTCACTTACTTGTCTCCCCCTTTTTTCCCTTCCATCATCACTATGAGTGAAAAACAAGAGTTTAGCTGGCGGATTTATGTGGTTTGCTTCTTTTCCGCCTTTGGTGGTTTGACCTTTGGCTATGATACAGGTGTCTTGGGCGTGAGTATTCCTTTTTTGTAGTCGTTGTCATTTTTGTGTATGTATACTAAACCCTTAATCATAGAGTATCTTGACCATGCCCCACTTTCAACAAGCCATGCGTGGAAGAGATTACTTGACAGCTCTTGAACAAGGCACACTTACTAGTTTACTTCTTGCCGGCTGCTTTGTTGGTTCCTTGTTGGCTGGTAAGTCATATACAAATTGAACCAAGAGTGTGTACCTAACTTTTCTTTCATAGGTCAATCCGCCGAAATTTTCAGCAGAAAACGTACCATCATGATCGGTTGTATTGTCTTCATTCTTGGCGCTGCATTGCAAACTGGTACCAATGGATATGCAATGATGGTCACTGGCCGTGCTATTGCAGGTCTTGGCATCGGAACGCTTTCCATGGTTGTGCCTTTGTATATCAGTGAATTGGGTATGTGTCTATTATCACGTTTATACACGCTATAGTGCCACTCGTATTGACTTTTGTACTTAACATAGCACCTAAGGAAATTCGTGGTCGTCTCATTTCCTTGCAGCAATTGATGATTACCGTTGGTATTATGCTTGCCTTTTGGGTTAACGTGGGCACCGAAAAATACGATAGCGAAGCCCAATTCCGTGTCCCTCTTGGTATTCAAATGGCTCCTGCATTGATCCTTTTCGTGGGTGCCTTTTTCCTTCCCTACTCCCCTCGTTGGTTGATGAACAAGGGCCGTGAGGATGAAGCATTAGATGTATTGGCCGCTTTGCATGGTAAAGGTGATAAGAACCACCCTGGCGTTATTCAAGAGTTCCAAGAAATCCGTGAACAAGTCGAACAAGATCGACGTGTCTCCAACGTTGACTACACTGAACTTTTCAATGCTCGTAACCGTAGACGTTTGCTCCTTGGTATCCTCATTCAGGTAAGCAAAAACTCCCATGCTTATATACATTGCTTGTTTTTTATTAACACTTTGTATCAAAGGTGATGCAACAATTCACTGGTATCAACAGCATTATGTAAGTAGTAGGAGGAGCAATGTAAATGCTTGCCACAAAAACTCACATTTGCTTTCTAGGTATTATGCACCTTTGATCTTCAAGCAAACCGGTATTTCGGATAACTCTGCCACTTTGATTGCTTCGGGTGTCAATGGTGTGCTCAATATGCTTGCCACCATCCCTGCCATTTTGTTCCTTGACAAGCTTGGTCGTCGTAAGACTTTGATGAGTGGTGCTCTCTTCATGGCTGCTGCCATGTTGCTTTGTGGTATCGTTATGGGTGCCTGTGGTGAAGTATACTGGGACGAGACTGAACAAAAGAACAACATCTATATGGGTAACAACGTCCATGCTTCGTACTTTTCCATCGTCATGGTCTACTTTTTCGTTGCTGGATTTGCCACTTCCTGGGGTCCTGTTGGCTGGGTTTATCCTGCCGAGATTTTCCCTCTTAACGTTCGTGCCAAGGGTACATCACTCAGCACTGCTGCTAACTGGCTCATGAAGTAAGTTGATAGAGGGCGGGGATTTTGGAAAGTGTGTCTCATTGTTTCATTTCATTGATAGCTTTGTGATCTCCCAAATTGTGCCTGTCATGCTTGCATCCATCACATGGGGAACATACATCTTTTTCGGTTGCTGTTGCCTTGGTAAGTGGGATACGACCATAATCAAAAAAAGAGAGACGACGTTGACTCACACAATACATCATCCTATTAGTGATGACTTGTTGCGTTTTCCTCTTTTATCCTGAGACCAAGGGCTATTCGCTTGAAGAAATGGACGAAATTTTCAAGGGATCAGTATTTGCTTTCCGCGCCAAGAATATCGTGGTGACTCACTCAATTGGCAACGAGGAAAAGGCAGCTTCGGTTGATGCCAAGGAGTAGAGAAAAAGTGGGGAGAAAACGTTGCTGGATCAATGTATCAAACATCAACACTTTTCTTTCATCACGCAAATCATCTCTTTACAAAATCGATGCGCATACATCACATAGCCTCTCCTACTTATTATCTACGAGATCTTTTCTTTTATTCGTACATTATTACTGTAACATAATTAAACCATATTGAATCAATCCTATGTGTTCACTCTAGATGTATAAAGTGCATGTCATGCCAACATGTTCGATCGATACGTCGATTTCGAGGCCCTTTGCCTTGGCAATGTTTCGGCCTCTTGAGAGCCATTGTAGGTTCTTGTAATGATTATTTGTCTTACATACCGTTGTCTATGTGGTCGATAACATTGGCTTTTTCTCTGCCGAAAACCATCTACGAACGCGTGTGCTACCGCAATATGGACTTTGATGACGATGGCATATGACCCACCGTTGCGTCTTTGCTGTCGATTCAGTACCAATCTGTACTCAAAAGACATCGCTTTCAAAACTGGTGAATTGAAACGACGCAGTCAATTGGAAACCATTAAAAAGAAGGTAAATTCTTTCATTGATAGTGCAAGGAGGTGGGCGGTATGGTAAGCCCCATTTATGCCGAGGACCACCATCTTTTTGCTGGCATCATTTTCTGATGCGATCGTTGTCATACAAAAGCATTGCATCCTCATATGAGATCGCTCTCTCTGCTTCAACGGACCATGATTTGACATGTTGGTGAAACTTTTCCAGCTCGCAAGATGGAAAAAGTGGAATGTTGCGTGAAGGATACATGTCGAAACCCAAATCATTGCAATCCAAGATACGTTGACAACACGTGCGGGAGACATCAAGATAGGGGCATGCTTTCAGCTGGAAGTTGTCAAACACCAAAGGCAACAATAATTCTGATACGACAAGATCCAAAGATAGTTCACTGATAAAATCGATACGCGTGCTGGCTCAACTGGATGCATCACCTTGCCACATTGGATGATGGCACATTGATGTGTACTGGTTCATGGTACATCCCGAGTGCTATCAGCCGCTGTCCTTGTTGTTGATGTGTGGCAACTGTTGTCATGTATTCATGAGACTAGGGTGGCTGGATAACTTGTATAGCCTCTGCACCCCGCAAAAGCATGACCGAAGTTGCCGCCATTGGACATGTACTTATGTCATCTACAAAGGAGTCCCAAATTTCCCATCAGATTGAGAGGTTGCCTTTTGCCTACAAATGCACCTACCACAAAGGTCCATCAAGGAACACACCAAATGCCATTAGGCAGCAATGAGCATACCAAGTGCTAAAGCAATAAGTGGGCTACATAATAGATGAATGCATTATGAGTACCATCATCCTGGGGATTACCTAAAGACCATCCTTGAGACTTACCAAAGACCGTTCATGATGTGCGTACAAGTAGAAAGAAAGGGCGTATGATAGTGTTGATGAAAACAGCCTTCTTTATATGTGATTGGGCGTGAGAATTGTTGTCATGATGGATCGAACTGATAAAGTGGTCAAGCATTTTGAGTCGAAGGGATGGAAAAGTAATGGTTGATAAATTTGTAGGTGGCATAAGTACGTCCGCCTCAGTGTAATAGCAGTAGGGGATTTAAACTTGGGGGACAGCAGCTCCAAGACTTGAGGCAACGCTTCTTTCTCTTTCTCCTTCCTCTGCTTTTATCCCCATTCAACGACATCCCGATCAAGGTAATGTACTATAAAAGAGTGCTCTTGTTGGCTGTGAGGTGTTAATGTAGTTCTGAACATGCATTGTCAGGGAGTGAGCGTGTCCAAGTGCTGCTGAATGAGCGAGCGTGGTGGGTGGGTGGTTGGTGGTTGCCATGGCGATATCGTTGCTTCCTCTTGTTCGTTGCTATTCCCGCTCTGTGCTTGGTGTCAGCAGGTACATTCAGAGTCCAATGTTGCAGCCGACTTGGTTCCATTGACGTGTTAGCTTGTATAGGGGGCAAGTTTGGTCTCAAGACGTTGGCTCGTTTGGCGTTTTGCTTCAGCTCAACTACACTACACCATGGTTTTCGGTTTCCAGTAACCAACAACAACGGGTCTTTGTGTATATGGAAAAGGCAAGTACAATGAAACAAACAATGAAAAGGGTGTTTATTGTGTGTGTGCTAATAATGAATTGAATAGGTTTCTTTGGTCAGGCAATGCAACTTGGGGCATCATCATCATCTCTTTGGGTTCAAGTCCCAGCCTGTAATAAGTGGTCGCTGCGTCGCTCTGCACTAGCCAAGTGTGCTGGAAAAGCTTCTTCGAACGCGTCCAGGGCTCTATAGGCCTGCGTTGAGGTGATGGGTCGACGACGATGGGTTTTTGGAAGAGCATGGTCACCGTGTTGAGGTAAAAGGGGATTTGCAACAGCTCGTGAATGTGTTGACATCATTGTGAACCAACACGCTCTTCTCGTGATAGGCTCGTTTACCCTTGAGGATTTCTTTTCATGAGGTGGAAAATGATTGGAAGGATTGGATTGGGGATCATTCTTTCTTTGGAGAGGATGAATGAGGACAACTATTAGCCTGGACTCTACGTAAGTGATGTCCTTCCTTGCCATGGATCGAACTGGTCTTGCGTGATTCGTGCAGTGCTTTCTCAAGAACAAGGGATCGCCTAACGTTACACCAAATCGCCATCATTCCCGGTATCAGATGGTCTAACTTGGCTGCTTTTTACTTATAGAGGCGTCAATTACGATGATTACCACATTCACAGCGATTGGCGATTACATGACAACGACATTCACAACAATGACGATTACGATGATAACGACAACGAGATCCAAAAGGAAGCCTGCAAGATCCCATTCTCTTCAACTTGTGTGTTTTTGACATTTGCGACCAGGAGATTGACGCCTGGTGACGAGTACGAGTACGAATGATGATGGACGACGACTACGAGGATGGTAGTGGCAATGTAGCAAGATAGCTAGATGAAATAAAGCATTGTTTCTTTATTACACGCTTGGACTTTGCTAGCTTGTGGATTACATACTATTGCTTCGAAGATGGAATAATAAAGGTGGTGATGCAAGATGTCATGCACATTGACAACCATCCTCCAGGCAACAAGCAGCTGCGAGGCACATTTCATTCTCAGACTTAGATGTTTACGATACAAAGGCTCAAATACCACAATGACGACCATGACAATGAGAGCAGGATACAATGGATCAATGACTGGTGCATTCATGAGCTATGTTTCATGAGATCCAAAACGACTATCCTCCTTCCCCCCTTAATATCCGCATCAACTTGGACATTTGAAGGTGCAAACAATAAAGTGGTATCATACATAGATGTTGAAAGACATTGGTGAAATAAAATGATTCACAACAGCAGGATCAAGTCTGAGACTTGTCAAAGAGCATCGATAATTGACCTCCCATGGTAGATGACAGCATGAATGCAGCACACGTCCTTGATGACCAACAGCACATCCTCAATCATATCCAGCATCCAATGCTCATTTCCAACACATACATGACGACCCCACATAGTATACTCATCATCATTCACATGGAACAATAGGCCTGATCGCTTTTGATCCATCATCATACTTTCCATCCACAATCATTCCAGCAATCAACCCACGTATTCTTCGTTTGTTGCATCACATGAACATTGTATTTTTTGCTTGTAGATAATACTTACAAATGGTGGGGTAATATGATAGTAGTGGAGAAGACTAGATATTCCTATATACCCGGTCAACAAGTCTCGGCTATCAACAATACCTTGTAAGTGTTCTCAGTCATTGCCAAGTTGGTCGACGCGTAATGTACCTTGACCTTGACGATAACCGTCATATGGAAAATGGGTGGACGATCAAAGCAAGCTAACTTTTCTCAAGTCGACAATGGCGGTCATATTCCTTTGTGCATCACAGGGTGCTGATCACTGTCAAAGCTCGTGTGTGTTGTGTATGTCTTTAATGGGTGGCGTTCCTCTGGTGGTGTTGCTTATGGCATCGCGTGTGTCAAAAGGTGCGAAGGGTGAAGCAAGGCTGAGTCGGTGGTGGGCCCCCTTTTGGATTCTGCATTTGTAATTCATTCACAAGCTTCGTGGTGCAGGCACATCGACAATACATATGAATATGGGATCAATCCATGATATAAAACATTGGAGATAATTACTATTCCATGCTTCTTTATCTATCTCTTTCTTCTGGTTCAACAAATGTGATATGAAGTGTGCGGTGGAGTCGTATGGATAACGTGTGGCGGACATAGCAGCTGCTGGTTAGTGTAGTAGTACATGCGCGGTGCACGTCCCTCCGCATCGGGATTACATGGATTGGTGTTACAGAGGGAGGCGTCAACTGCATGATTGCCATGACAACACAATTGTATTTCCCCATCCCACTTGCCCACTTGTGCAAAAAAGAACGGCATCTTTAGGCAGGAATTAGCCTGTATAACGCGCTGCTGCGGCACCCCGTAAAAAGTCACGCTGGGTCTGAAATAATTTGCGGGTTCCCCTCTCGGCTATAAAAGCAGCGCCTTTTTTCTCGTTTGCGCAGTACGCTTCTTTCTCTCTTTTCGGGAAGGGGATCGAGGTTAAGTGATAAGAAGGGTTTTTTCCCACCTGATCTTACGCGGAAGTGATGGTGGTTTTCCCATAAGGAGGGTTAAGGCTTCAGGCTGTTGGAGTGTTGCGTTATACCAACAAGTTCTGCTTGCCGCCCCTCCAAAAACATTCAAAAGCAAATGATAATACACATAATGACTACCCCCACTTGCTCTTTATTATGAGCGCTTCACGTCCTCTTGGATGCTAAACTAAAACCCTGTACTTTACACTGTATGCTGTATTGCTATGGGTCATTCTCTACGCGTGTTGACTATTTGTATCTATGTATCTGGTCAACTTTAATGTTCTATCTTGGGGGAATAAGTAATAAAGTTGATTGCAACGCGTAAAGATCATGTATGCGCTCTTTTTTCTTACTTTGACACAATGAGCACACGATCTCCCAATCTAAT